GCTTGCTGATAACTTCCTCCATCTGAATGACTCCAAAACAGAAGTAATCGTTTTTAATCCTCACAGCATCCCGGCTACTCTTCAACCTGACCTCAACTATCTCTCACCTAATGTCTCCACTGTAATTTCCAACCTTGGAGTTAAAATAGACCAGGCTCTGAAGATGGATGCTCAGGTCAATAACACAGTTAAATCATGTTTTTACCACCTCAGGCGTATCTCTAAACTTAAGCACATCCTGAGTGTCCGTCTTCTCAAATCAGTAGTCCACACTTTCATCACTTCACGGCTGGATTACTCCAACTCCTGCTTATACGGCATCAGTAAAGCAGCTCAATCTAGACTTCAGCTAGTCCAGAATTCAGCAGCTAGGTTCCTGACTGGAGTTGACAGAAGACAGCACATTACACCAATTCTAAAATCTCTCCACTGGTTGCCCGTTCATCTCAGGATCAATTTCAAAATCATGCTGCTCACTTATAAATCCCTGAACAGTCAAGCTCCTCCATATCTGTGTCAACTCGTCCATTACTACAATCCGCCTCGTGCTCTCAGGTCTGAGGATAAGCTCCTCCTAGCTCTTCCAAACGCACGTCTGAAAAGCCGTGGAGAAAGGGCTTTCTCTGTCTGTGCTCCCAAGCTGTGGAATGCATTACCACTACTAGTGAGGCAAGCACCAACAATTAGCATTTTTAAATCTCGCATGAAAACTCACTACTTCAACCTTGCATATAATACATAATCATGGACCACTTTCGACATCTGCATTCTTTCTACAATAGAATGCACAATAATTAACATCTGTATTACTGTGGTTCTTTCATATGTTTTTTTATCTGTTGTTTCACATTCCTTTGCGTTTTTAGTGTTTTACGACTGTTAGTTCGAGTATTTTCTTGTTTTCATTTTTTCTTATAAACTATGCTTTAAATGTCATTCTGAACGTGTTAATTTAACTGTAATCTTTTAATGTACAGCGCCTTGTCTGGTTGTAATGCCATGTTGAATGCGCTTTATAAATAAAATGGTATGGTATGGTATGGTAACAACACGGTGAAGCTAGCCATGCTAGGCAGAGCTAACGTTGCCATGCAGCTCGACAAGGGAAACGGAAGAAACGGAGGACGTTTGGCCAGGGAGAACAACAGCAGCTGGGTGCAGAGGTAAGCTGTACATTACATTTCTGTGAACAAGACAATCAGAATCAGAAATCCTTGGTTGTCCCACAAACCGGGACATTTGTTTAATAACATGTACATTGTTTAATGTGCAATAACTGTAAAAACTCCTTTCAACACACATACCTATTATACATATTTAATCATGTAAATGTGTATTTCAAGTAAATTTGTACATACATCAATCTGATTCCATTTTACTTGTTACACTTCTGCTGCAGCAAACAAATTTCCCAGCTTTTGGGACAATTAAACATTTCTGATTCTCAATTAGATGTTTTTACCTCAAATGTAAAAACATCTGATTGAGAATCAGAAATGTTTTATTGTCCCAAAAACTGGTAAATATGACATTTGTAAGAGGATACTGATGACAAAATTTCCTATGAAAGTGTTTCCTATGTACTTATCTGTTGTTTTTTTATTTATCTACTTTAAAGAGGATTAAGACTTTCCTGAGGAACACCATGACACAGGATGGGCTGAATGCTCTTGCCATGCTTTCCATCTTGTCACAAACATTCCTGACTTCAATAAAACGGTCATCGAGAGCTTTGCCAATCAGAAGGACAGAAGGGCAAAATTTCTGTACAAATGAGGTATCACACACACACACACACACACACACACACACACACACACACACACACACACACACACACACACACACACACACACACACACATGCATCCACTTGATCTTTGTATAAAGTTGACCTTGGCACAACACTCCAGAAATATTTAACAGTGTAAATTTCTGGCATTTTGTCTAAGTGGTGTTTACTACCATTACTGTAACAGTGACCTGCTCATAATTTTTCGTGTTCACTCAAATGTTGAAATTAAACAAAATGTTTTTGTTACTTGCCTCTTGCATTGCCTATTTACCATTTATGGTCATGTTATTTTATGTGCAATTTAATGCAGTATTTTTCAACCTTGGTCCGCAACGCAGCGTGCCAATAGTCAGACACACCTGGATTAATCAGTTTGTCCAATGATGTAAGACAGGAAATAAAAGAGCTGTGCTTAATTCAGGAAATAGTGAAGTTGTGCACAAAGCTCAGAAAGCACAAGTTTGTTTAAAAATAAAAAAAATAGCACAGCCCCACCAAAAATATTTTTCACCAGCCGCCACTGGTCATATATGTGGATACTGGATCTTTTCTTGGGCTTCCCGAAATTTGATTTTTAGGAAACCCACATCTTGATTCTGGGTTTAAAAATGCGTTGTAATTACCGCGTTTACAGCATATTACCATTTTCTTTCCCTGTAATGCCTTACATTACCACATTGCAGCAAAAAGCAATGCATTACAGTAATTAATTACTTCTGTATCGCATTTCTCCCAACACTGCTTGTGTGTTACTGCAATGTTACCCTCACAACCTCAGCACACACACACACCTTGACCCCCAAATTCCACTACCTCCGCTCCGCTGCGCTCCGCTCCGACACGAACGCCGGAGCAAAATCGGTCCCGTTCTAGTCAATCAGAGCAATTCCACTACTGCGGCCGTGCTCCGGCAGTGCGGCGCCGTGCGGCGCCCTCTGTTCCGGCGTCCGGCAAAAATAGAATCGATCCTATTTTTGCCGGACGCCGGAGCACCTCCGCAGTAAATGGACAGAAATCACAACCACCCAACAGGAAAAGGAGCAAGCACATCTTCCGTTTTTCACAATAAATCGCTAAACAAAAGGCGTTTTTTGTTTCATATGCACAGGTTTAACAACTTTTAACAACTATCAATGGCGGCTGAAGTTTAAATGCCCAAAAATAAGCCATAAATACAGTTTCCACTATCAAAGTAGTCACACTTTGTTGATCCAAACACTGCTGATCTCTCAACACAATGATGGGCAGATTAAACAGTTCATTTCCGATGCTTCTCCCGCACAACGGGTGTTTGGATCTAACTTCCGCGTTTATTGCTCGGACTGTATCGCAAGATCTCGAAAATCCCGCGCATGCTTGTTTGCCCCCCTCAGGTCTCCGCACCGGAGCGGAGCCGTTGTAGAGCGGGTACCAGTAAAAATTTAGTTCGGAAGCGAGCGGCTGCGGAAGGCGGGGGCGGACCGGAGCGGAGGTAGTGGAATTTGGGGGTTAGGGCCCCCAGTTTGGGAGCTGCTGCTTAAAGTCATCAGACATTCTGTACTTTCTCCTCCTAACCCAGGGATATTCAAACCTTTGCTGTTGTGTTCCACATCAGATGAGAGATATTTTTTGATCATACTTCTGAACGTTTGGGCAGCTGTCTGGGGATCAGATTCAGAGTTGTGTTTTAGGTTTTAGATGGCTGAAACCTCGGATCTATTCTTTAGGAATGTGGTATGCATACACACTAGAACAGCCAAAGAAATAATCCAAGAGTGAGAGGACAAGAATGGATCCGTTCATATCAATAGGCATTTTTAAAATCTTGGTTCTGCACAATTTTCATTTTGAACTGAGTCATCTCCTCAGACAAGAATGAAAGTATCTTTAAGAAATAAGGATCTCATGTTGAATTCAACACAATTCAGCTGTCCTTTATTGTCCAGTCTGGCACACGGGGGGTGAAAAATTGTTCAGCAGCCACCCATTGTGCAAGTTGTTCCACCGAAAAAGATGTGAGAGAGCTTTATTTTTCATCACTGGTACACTTTACCTGTGAGAGAATTTAATCAGATACGCAGCAAGCAGAAAGCTGTGGAACGACCAGTGACTCCACCCCCTAGCCGATCAGTGACGATCAACAGTCGCTGACGTTGTTTTTATACCAGGTCAGCACGCTGGGAACTACGACACAGCGGTACTGGAAAGTTGAGGGAAAGTTGGAAACAAAAACCAAACCGTGCTGTTGGAAATGAACGTCAACCTGAACCACACCCAACCGAGTCGTGCTGAGTAGCGCTCTCAAGTGTAGCTGGGGAAGCACAAAGAGCAGTTCCTCCAGATGGGTGATCTTTAAAAGGCCAGCACTTAAATATCCCGAACTCTACCCGTGTTTTCCCCACTTTAGCTTCCTCACACACGGCCTGCAGCCCTTCCTCAGCAGTGGTGGGGGGTCAGTGTTAGCGTGCAATGCTGGGATGGTCCCAGGTTGTGTAGCTCGTTAGCGTGTGCTGCATCTGCATGTGCACCACTTTGGAACAGAGAAGGTGCTTATTATTAAAACAACTGGATTTTACTGAAACGGAAACAAAAGTGGAACTACGGAATATCACTAAACTACTGGATTACACAGGGTATCTGCAGGTCCTTAAAAAGTCTTAAATTAGCTTTACCAAATTTAAGGCCTTAAAAATCCTTAAAAATGACAAATAATCCTTAAATACATTTTCCAAAGGTCTTAAATTACCAAAGACCCAATAATCAAGATTATTTTAATTCTATAAAATTTTCGTGAATTTCTAGTTGGTGTTCAGCATTTTTGTGTACGATGTTGGCAAAAGCGGAACCGTACACATGCAGTTGGTTGTGAAAGGGGGCTATTTTTAGATGAGCACATTAGCTGGTTAAGCTAGTGGGAGCTTGCGCCATGGGGAAGTGCAAGTTTAATGGTACCTGAATGGCTAATCCCACGTTCGCGACGTGGTTGGCACCGGTTCCAGGCAATAGCTGGAAATTATAGCTTAAATTTAATTTTAAAAGTAGCTTAAATTTGGTCAAAGTGGCCTTAAAAGGTCTTAAATTTGGCTCCCTTAAACCTGCAGATACCCTGATTACAGCGCCACAGTGTGAGGTATTTATTCATTTAAAGTAAAACACGTCATTACCAAAGTAAAGTACACAATCAGTCATCAGAATTTAGTTTGCTATCAGACCATGCTCACACATACCCATGTTCCAGGAGACCCTTGGTGCATTTGTGTCTGCAATCCTTACAGAAGTGTGAATAGTCACTGATGGGCTCTTCTCAAAGAAAAAATCATGAACCTCAAATTCCACCTGTCAGGAAAATGAATTTCAGCCTAGTGACATCACAAAACACGTGGCTTCAAGCATGAGTAGGAAAGATGCTACCTCATAATTCCTGCGCTGAACATGTGAGGAATTTGGAGGCTGGTATCCTATCAGCATGTCATTCAGATCGAGCCACGTGAAGGAGGAAATTGGACGAGTGTGATCAGAAAGATGGGTGATGAAGCCTTCTTCAGGAGGTTTGGTTATGTTAAAAACCAGGAGCTGCTTTGGGGTTTCCTCATCTTCAGCATCTAGTGTAGCAGTGGACAGTGGAGTGAGAATAAACTGGTCTACCTCCAGAATAAACATGGACATCAGGGATGGCTTGGGAGGTTGGTTGGGCATGGCATCACCTATCCACACTGGGATCCAGGCATGCTCAGACTACCAGAAGTAAAAAAATAAACAAAATGTTTTGTTTAAAAAAACAAGTACATTTAAAATGTGACAAATGAGAAGATTTACTTTGGTAAAAACAGTCCTAACCTAACTAGTTAAAGGGACTTTACGGACTTTTGAATTTTTATGCTCGCGATTGCCCCCTCAGGCCAAAAGCGTAACATCAGCTTCAATAGTAGACTCGTGCACGAGGCGCACATGCTGTACGTGCACACTCCTTAACGAAAATAACAGCTGAGATAGTCCCGTGTGTGTGTGTGGGGGGGGGGGGGGGGACAGGAGAACGTGCAGCTAATTAATTAAATAATTTGGTTCTGTAGCTTTCTCTTCAGCACAGCCGACAAAGGTTTATGATGGGTCAGTCCTCCTGCATGCTCAGATCATTCCCTTCCCTTGCTTGAAAAATTGTTCCAAAATGAAAGTTGAACCCACATCTTTTTTATCTGTGAATTCAATGCCGTTCGGCGAGTCTCAAATAAAAATTTGGGCATCTTACTGTAAAAAAAATATATCATTAATGTATAAAAGAAACTCTAAATGAACTATGTTCACATCCAGAATCGAACTTGAGTCTGCTGCACGAGAGTCCGACGTCTTACCAGATGAGCTAAAACGCCAGTGATGTCTACCGTATCTGTAACATGTATATCCTTGATGACAGCTGAAACAACGTTCAAAGAACGGTTCGGAGTGAAAATGGCTATTTTGTTGCTAATTAGCAGGAAATATCTAGAAGAAAGTTCTACAGAAAGTAGCTAAGGGTCCTCAGAAATGTAGCTAGCTTTGTCACTAGGCGTTAGGAACAGCGACAAAGTGGCACTGCCTCTCTCTCTGCTGCTAAAGCTACGGATAGCAAATGCTACGGGCGATGCCTGAGCGTGAACACGCATGAAGCAGCCTGCTCGACCCGAGCATCTCTCTTTTTCTGTGATTTTACAGAAAAACAGGCAATCACAGTAAAAATGCCAGGGCTCATTCTACAGGACCAGGGCATTGCAGGAGAACGTATGAAGAAGACATTTATTATTTCTATACATGTTTTGGCTGTCAAACTTCCATAATGTCCCTTTAAGCATGTGAAAGTTAAATTTAGCTCACTGGAATACCTCCTTCACTCCTGATGATCAAGACTCAAAGCTTCTAACCTACCTGATATATGCTGCCACTCCTGGTGTCCTTCAGGTCCAGTCTGATTGCTATGTAGTCTACATCAGGAGATGGAGGGTCTGTGTGCTGATACTTTAGTCCCATCAACAGGAAGTCGTCACAGGCAACTTTGGTAAACTTCACCAGCTTCAGACCCATCAGACAGTCTTCAGATTTACACATTGCGCGGGCTTTGTTGTCTAAATAACAACACAGTTCAGACACAACTTTTATCTTCTGTTCCAGATTGTGTTACAGGCATTTGATCTGTGCTTCCTTTAAAGAGTGTAGTGTAGGCCAAACTCCAAAAAGTAGAATATGGTGCAAAAATCCATTTATTTCAGTAATTCGTCTTAGACTGAGAGACCATTTAAAGGCCCAGGAAGCCTTTGCAGGTGTTTTAGATTCTTTAGCTGATCAGATTGTGACACTTTGAGTCTGGAATATTGAACCTTGTCACAACACTCAAATTTCCTGAGATGTTGAATGTGGGTTTCATCAGCTGTAAGCCAGAATCATCACAGTTATAACAAACAAAGGTCTTAGATATCTGGGTTTGCATGTAATGAGTCTGTCTCATATGTTAGTTTCACCTTTTAAGTTTTGCGTCATGTTCTAATTTTCGAGTTTGGCCTGTTAATGTCACTAAAATGTAAGTTATGCATTGTTTGCATGAACATGGGTTGTCCCAAGGGGTCAACTACCACATTTATGTATTTGAGACAATAGGTCTGCTACTGCTCTTGTCCTTGGGATTGTTCTACAGTGTCAGGTTTCTGAATCAGTTCTAATGAAACATCTAGTATGGCGTCAAAATCTAAGATCTTCCTGTCCAGACTAAAACAGTATTGTCTCTGACTTTACTAAAAATGTTTTAGTGTTGTCTGTGGCTCCTCCACATCGAGAGGAGCCGGTTAAGGTGGCTCGGGCATCTGGTTAGGATGTACAATGTTAACAGCAGGGGCGTGTCCAGGGGTGGCCTGGGGTAGCACATGCCACCCTTGGAATCTGATTGGCCATCCCACTGAATTTCCTTTAAATAGACTTTTCCACAAAAAGCTTGGGGTAAAAAAGAAAAGGCATAACCATTGGTGCCACCCATGCACAAAGAAGTGCACTACCCGGGCCACCCCATTTTAAAAAATCTGGCCACGCCAGTGGTTAACAGTACAGAACAATTAGGTTGTATTAAAGTTTTGTTGTCCCTCTCGTCCTGTTTGGGTCCTGCCACCACAGCAATAGATCATGACTTGGTACCTGATGTGAACCCAGCAGATGTGCAATTCAGAAATGGGACAAAATGTTGTGAACATGCCCAAAGGTTTTGTTTAAATTTGGTTCTTTGTTTAAATGTTTGAGTTTTCTTTTTGCATTGAAGTTAAGTCGTCGTCGTTGTCGTCGTCTTCCTCCGCTTATCCGGGTCCGGGTCGCGGGGGCAGCATCCCAACTAGGGAGCTCCAGACCGTCCTCTCCCAGGCCTTCTCCACCAGCTCCTCCGGCAGGGCCCCAAAGCGTTCCCGGACCAGATTGGAGATGTAACCTCTCCAACGCGTCCTGGGTCGACCCGGGGGCCTCCTGCCGGCAGAACATGCCCGAAACACCTCCCCGGGGAGGCGTCCAGGAGGCATCCTGACCAGATGCCCAAACCACCTCAACTGACTTCTTTCGATCCGGAGGAGCAGCGGTTCTACTCAGAGTCCCTCCTGAATGTGCGAGCTCCTCACCCTATCTCTAAGGCTGAGCCCGGCCACCCTACGGAGGAAACTCATTTCGGCCGCTTGTATCCGCGATCTCGTTCTTTCGGTCATTACCCAAAGCTCATGACCATAGGTGAGGATTGGGACGTAGATCGACCGGTAAATCGAGAGCCTGGCTTTCTGGCTCAGCTCCCTCTTCACCACGACAGATCAGCTCAGCGTCCGCATCACTGCAGACGCCGAACCAATCCGCCTGTCGATCTCCCGATCCCTCCTACCCTCACTCGTGAACAAGACCCCGAGATACTTAAACTCCTCCACTTGAGGTAGGACCTCTCCCCCGACCCGGAGTTGGCAAGCCACCCTTTTCCGGTCGAGAATTGATTGAAGTTAAGTGTCTTCATTAACATCAGGATTCCTTAATAAATGGTCAAGAAAACAAAGCAGCCGGTGTTCTGTGAAAAACTGAAAAACCTCCATAAAACATTCAGCTTTTGGCTCCTTAAAGCCAGGTATAAATGAGCTATATGAGCTGAGACCTTTACACAGTCCTATATGATGTCACTGTGGGTTTTACCTAGCTTCTGACGCAGGTAAATGAAGCTTTCTGGCTCATCCCCTCTCTTTGTAGCTTTGTCTGGTTCTCCTGTGACAAGCTTGCCATGGGCTGGCAGGTGGGTGTCATGGTGGCTGAGTTGGATGGTACAGTCCAGACTAGATCTCTTCTCATAGTGGAACGACACCACATTACCATCAACAGCATCAGAGAGACCATAGAACTCCGACACCCTGAGTGATTTGGGCCCCAGCCTAATTATACCACATTCTGGCTCCACGATGTCTACGTGGAGAGTCAACTCCTCTATGAATGTCTCCGTGTCTGTAAACCTGGTCAAAATTACACAAAACAAACAACAAATCATACAAATTCATTATTGCTGTGGAATTCAACATTTTCCTGAAAATTAGTGAATAAAACCGGTTTACAATAGACAGTACCTGTATAGACGAAGTTTGACCATGTCCTCTTTTAACAATGGACAGCCGTTGTGGACGTATTTGACCTCACCAGCTAGATAAATGCAATCAAACACCTACAGGAGTCAAAAGAAAGTTTGTATTGTCAGTGAAGCCTCGTGGATGTGGTCCGGCTGCTGTACAGCTTCCCCATAGACCAAAATCTTTGAGTCCAGTCGACGTCTTCACACCAGCTGTGCTGTGGTGCAAATTCGGTTGCAGAGCTCCAGAAAGTTTCTGCGTGAAACCTATTTAACTAAATGCGGCTTGTCATAAAGTTACATAAAGTGTCATGAGCCAGACAGGAAGTGAGACATGGAACAACGAGCCGCATCCAGTAGATTTCCAAATGCGTTATTTTTTATGGCTTTTGTGATATTATTAATGACAGGGAAATCAATTCACAGTGTATGATATTTTTACAGGTATATCTTTGAATGTTTTAAGCAGCGATGGGTACCGAATTCGGCACTTTTTAAGGTACCGACCGAATTCCATAGTACCGACCGAGCACCGATTCACGTCATTTGAAACGGTGCCTCGTTTCGGTACCCGTCCTTCATAACAAGAACTTGCCGAGACATCTGCGCATGCGCAAGAGCGTTACGTTGGTCGCTGCGAGCGAGTTGTAAACAGAGCAGCATGGTAGAAAGAACGCACGCTAAAGCTTGGGTCCACTTCACTAAATGTGATGGGTAACTGGGTGATGATGAAACCAGCGACAACGATCTAAGACATCCTCATCTTAATCTGCTCCGGTAGGTAAATAAAATGTTTAAGATAACGTTAGCTTGATATGTTGGCTTCCGTTTCGCTAATGGTGCATTCGCTTTCTCCTCGGAACTCGGAATTTCCGACTGGAAGAACATGAACGCGCTCTATAGTTTGGCTTCACTTTACTAAAGGCGACGGGTGATTGGGTGAAGATGAAACCAGCGACAACGATCTAAGTGTGAGGCATCATCGTTTTAATCTGCTCCAGCAGCTAAATAAACTGTTTACGATAACGTTAGCTTGATATGTTAGCTTCCATTGCCGCCATTGTTATCAGCTAATGGTGCGTTCGCTTTCTCCTCGGAAATTCTAACTTCCCACTAGGAAAAATCGAATGAAAAAGGACGGCAAAAGGAATGAAGATACACAGTAAATTTAGTTCACAGTAAAGATGTTTGCTTCAGTTTAATTATCAGCTTATAAAACTACAAGGACGATGTTAAAATACAAACAGTTGAATGTTATTTATCGTGATATTTATCAAATATGGTTATATATCGAGAAAAATATATTTTTAATTATAAAAGAGAATTAAAATAATAAACACTCAAAAGTATCTAAAATTGGTACCGTTAAGCACCGGTATCGATTCCTAGGTACCGGGAATTAGTACCGGATCGATTCAAATGTCAAAGGTACCCATCCCTAGTTTTAAGTCAAATTTCAAATCCTTGGTACTCGCACAGGAGCAGATTTCTGGAGATGAGCAGCACACAAACCAATCAGTGCGAGTGTCAGTCCGACCAAAAGCCGTACAAAAACCAGACTCCATATGTTCCACGCTCGATGTGAATGAGGGGTCAGTATGAGCATTGACACACATACTGGTCAGATAACTTCCATAGGCTCAAATGATAGGTTTTTGTTCCCAAATGGGAGGTTCCCACCACCGCCACTTTGACCGTGTCACACGTCTTGTCACGCCTAGACAATCCAAAGGTGGGAAAAGAGTTGGAGCTGAGGGTGGGGCTTTTACGGTTGGAACAAGGAAGCAACGTAGCTCCTAGCTAACTTAGCTAGCCCATGAAGCTAAGAAGGGGCTCTGGGCACCAGGGTAGCCCACCCTCTTGGCCGACTGACTTCCGTGTGAGGCTGAAGTCATGCTGGTCGCCTGTGGAGATCCAACATGGACCGGGACTGTTAAATTACAAGATTTCAGACCGCTGCAATTATAGCCGGACGCAGTGGCCTTTTACCTCAGCTCATGCTCCACAGTCGGAGATCAGTGGAACATTAGCTACATGCTAACCCGAAGCTAATGGAGTTTCTTCGGGTGTTTTTAGCAAGAAAAATCCAGTAGAGCGACTACAAAGTGAAGGCACCTCTGTCCTGCTTAGTAACAAAACCATAACTTGGTAAGCTGACTGAGGATACGGGCTTTGCTGGCCCTCAGCGGTCAAAGGTCCGCGAATCCACCGCTGTCGATGGTCCCATCTCTGGGAGCGTTGACTTGGCTACTGGCGCTGTGTTGACACGGAGCCGAGAGCCATGCACCCGGGCCGTCGACAACGGCGCACTCACAAGTCTTTCATCACGGTGAAACAGTGAAGCCCGATAGCCTCCGCTATCCTTGGCCAGATATGTAGCTCCTTGCTTTCATCTTCATTACCTTTTGCTAGGAACTTCTGAGAGCAGCAAAACTAGCTACATCCCTTCCTGGTACGACTCCTGCTATGTGACTGAAAAGGTCTAATCAGGGTCTCACTTCCCTCTCCACTCCAGAACAGATGGAAGAAGAAACCCCTCAGTGGTGTGAGAGAAGCCTCTCCTTCTACCAACATACACACATCCTGCTCTAGTACAAAAATCCAGCACAGCCAATGATTTTGCTCTACATCCAGTAAAGCAGCTGGATTTTTAGCAACACTTTTCTGGAAAATTGTAATGTATAGTTTTACAGTACACCTTTTTCATTGTTCACAAGGCACAAGTGTGAAGATATGAAATTTCAAAAGAACATTAAAATGTAGAAAATGAGTAATCAAATGTAGGGATGGGTACCTTTGACATTTGAATCGATTCGGTACTAATTCCCGGTACCTAAGAATCGATGCCGGTACTTAACGTACCAATTTTCGATACTTTTGAGTGTTTATTATTTTAATTCTCTTTTATAATAAAAAATATATAAAAATCACGATAAATAACATACAATTGTTTGTATTTTAACATCGTCCTTGTAGTTTTATAAGCTGATAATTAAACTGAAGCAAACATCTTTACTGTGAACTAAATTTACTGTGTATCTTCATTCCTTTTGCCGTCCTTTTTCATTTGATTTTTCCTACTGGAAAGTTAGAATTTCTGAGGAGAAAGCAAACACACCATTAGCGAAACGGAAGCTAACATATCAAGGTAACGTTATCTTAAACAGTTTATTTACCTACCGGAGCAGATTAAGATGAGGATGTCTCACTTAGATCGTTGTCGCTGGTTTCATCATCGCCCAGTTACCCATCACATTTAGTGAAGAGGACCCAAGCTTTAGCGTGTGTTCTTTCTACCATGCTGCTCTGTTTACAACTGGCTCGCAGCGACCGACGACATAACGCTCTTGTGCATGCGCAGCTGTCTAGGCAAGTTCTCCTTAAGAAGGACGGGTACCAAAACGAGGCACCGTTTCAAATGACGTGAATCGGTGCTCAGTCGGTACTATGGAATTTGGTCGGTACCTTAAAAAGTACCGAATTCGGTACCCATCCCGAAAAATGATACTCAACCATTCCAGCCTCGTCGTTTCATTACAGAAGACATGGTAAATGGTAAATGGCCTGTATTTGACATAGCGCCTTCTAGAATCCTGGAACCCCCCAAGGCGCTTTACAACACAATCAATCATTCACCCATTCACACACACATCCACCCACTGGTGGGGATGAGCTACGATGTAGCCACAGCTGCCCTGGGGCGCACTGACAGAGGCGAGGCTGCCGAGCACTGACGCCACCGGCCCCTCCGACCATCACCAACAAGCAGCATGGGTTAAGTGTCTTGCCCAAGGACACAACGACAGCGACAGACTGAGCGGGGCTCGAACCTGCAACCTTCCGATTACGGGGCGAGCACTTAACTCCTGTGCCACCGTCGCCCATATGTTATGCCGACATGTTACATGCGTGTTCACAGATCAGCTGTGTGATAAACCGAAGGTTTTCCCTTACCTGTGGAACGAGTTTTCCCACACGTTGAGTTATGGGCTCATTCAACACCACTTCCAACTTGCATGTGTCCTTCTGAATGGGAACGTGAAACTGCAGGTCACCCTCCTGAAGGTAGGCCGACTGGCCCTGTTTCACCTTCAAACCTCTGTTGACCTTCACAAGGGAACTGTGAGACAAGCAGCTTGATCCCAGCAGAAGCACCAGAAGCAGCGTTTGACCCTGTGAACACATCCTTCCCAGATGCAAAGCCACCTGTGAACAACCAGCCATCTCCTGGCAAAAACTGGACCTCTTTCAGCCACACCCCTCAGAGGTCGTCAAGGCAACGGCATGCTTTTCTTCCAGGAAATAGATCGACTTCCAGCCGGTTGCATGTGGGCTTTTGTTGGTTCACTTGGTCGTTCGTGAGCTGTAAAAACAAAAACACTTCACTTAAACTGTTAAGTCCCAGATTTTAAACAGTTTGTTTATGGGTTCAAACCATGTCAAAGCGCCAAACACATTATTGCACAAATCTTTCGGCAAACGTGCAGTATACAGGAAATATGCGGATTAATGGGTCAGGTTGCAACACAGATCCCCGCAGCTGCAGCTGGATGAAGACGCGCCTCTAAAGGAGACGGGCTGACATTGGTTTTACAGACCTGGTTTCAGAAAAACATCCTCAGTGAAATAATCTGGGTGACAGTAAAGTCCTATCTGCAGTAAAAATGCATATTAAAGGCCATGCGTTCACTAACCCATTTATTTTATTATTGTCAGCACAAAACACAGCAACACATCATTTTACCTGCAGTTGTTGAAGCAAAACTTAACTTCAGTGAGCAAAAAACCCATAAAAATGATTCTATATCATGGTTTAATAATTATTTCATCACATTTAGCTTGTATTTTATTTAAAATATATATAAACACCCACTTCCTTTCTCTCAGATCTTCTTCTTCCATCCATCTTGCTGTTTCTTCTGCCCGTCTCACTACCATGGGGAGCAGAGCTTTCAGCCGCTCTGCTCCCCGTCTCTGGAACTCACTCCCCACAGACATCAGGAACATCGACAGTTTTACCCTTTTCAAAACCAAACTAAAAACACACATGCCTAAATCTGCTTATGACCTCTGATTTTATTGAACTGTTTCTCTCTTTGTTTTTTCTTCTTTGCGTTTTATTGCTGTTTTAATGTATTTTCTGTCAAGTGACCTTGGGTGTTCTGAAAGGCGTTTTTAAATAAAATTTATTATTATTATTATTATTATTATTATTATGATAAAATATCTTCAACTTTATTCATTTTATGACCGTTTTTGTGTTGCATGTTTGGAAAAATAATCAAACAACGTAATTACTTGAAACGTTTTATATTAAATGCCATTTTCTAAGACATTCAATAGTTTTTGGAAGTTTATGATCATTTAGTACGACTAAATAGCTGGACACAAAGAAAAACTGACATTGCTGCTGAGGCTCCAGGGCACGGGGTCAGGAACTGAACAGGAGCAGGTTAGCTGTTCATAAAAGTTATGCTACTGAACCATTCTACAAAAATGTCAAATCATTCACACAGAGTAGATTTAGATTTCATTAAGATTTAAAGCATGTTATTTAATAAACCATAAGGCGTAATTATATATTTATATATATATTTCCATAGGAAATATGAAATCAACCTGATGGATCTGTGAGGTTATTTTAAACCAGAAGATTGGAACTTTTTATTGCAGGGATTAGATAACGGCTTCGTATTCACTCAGAGACAAAAGAAGAGGGAGTCAGGTTTTCAAAATGTAAAGATTTATCAAACAAATTAAAACTAGACTAACTTTAAACACTACATGTATGGTGTAACTAAGGTGAATGAGACGGAGAATGGTGTAATGTGTTGAATGTTGTTCAGAACCAGCAAATCCGAAGAAACGATTAGTTCTGATGGGAAATGAAGGTGATGTCTTCGCGCTAAGCTTTGGTTAGAAGATTCATAAACACATTCGACGCCATTTGTTGGTCTACATACCCTTAGCGGAAGTCCCCGTTAGATCAGGAGGTGTAAAGGTCCAGCTTGACCTTATGGAGCCGAAGCCTGTAGAAGCAGCCGCGGCAGCCGAGCACCAGTCTGTGAGATACTTCCGGGTCACGACAATTTGTTGGCATCTAGCGAGACCCAAAACTGGGTCTTGATGGTTCAGCTTTTATTCTGAAAGGAACCGTTGCAGCAGGTGGAACAGCAACAGATTTTATCCAGCTTGTCGTTGGTTCTTTCGGCTGAAGAGGAAAGTTACGGATTGGCCACTCCGACAACTTCTCTAGAACGCTTTGAACTAGTGTTAAAGATGGCGTGGGCATAGTTTTATACTTCGGACGTTTTGGTTTATGGTCGAATGAAAAGATGACAGATTTACCAAGCACCACCAAAAGCACGCCCCCATCACTTCTGGCAGATTCTGATTGGATCAGTGAAAGCAACGTGTCATGTCTTAACGCTACGTGAGATCAGTCCTAGTGGAAACATTTAAAGTTATATTACTTATTATATTCTATAGGATTATAATAAAGTAATATTTTGATTTCACAGATTGGTCACATCTTATTATTGACTAACACTTTGTTTGATTAGCTTTATTAAAATAGAGTTCTTTGATTTATTAAAAGGAGAGAGTCCTTTCTTCATTCTTCTGTTGGGCTGGAAAGAAGCAGTTTATAACAAATGCATGAGACCTTGAGGCCACATCTCATGCAGACTAGTTCTGTCTCAGAGGAGAGGGGGGAATGACTTTTGATGGAAAACAGTCATTTCATACCGTTACACCTGAAAGCATCTGATTAGTTAAAAACTAAAATGGTTTGTTTAATTTGATTTTCAGAACACCACTATTTCCGTGTACCTTTTTTATGATGCTGACACGTTGAAAAACAGATAAATCAATGGAGTAAGCATAGCATTTTAACATAGTAAGCATGGAAAGCATCAGTGTGAGTGAATCATATGGCTGTAGCTCTTCTGTACTGTGTAAAAGTAGCTCACAGCCCTGCTTTAGGCACTAGTCCTCCGAGGTTTCTGTTCATTTTTCTGGTATTGCTTGTATTCAGTTCAGTCTTTTTATGAGACCATCTTTAAAGGAATGTTGATTTGTCACTCAGGCTTCTTACTATTAATGAAATTAGTGGAAATTAAATTAGCCACACACCTACTTAATCACTGATGTTCGCCTGTTTTTACAATTGTTGTGTTGTTGGTGACAGTTGGGTGGGGGGTGCTGGGAAAATGTTCATGTGAAAGACATTTTTGTACACACTGGAGACACTTGATGAACAAAACAGCTGCACACGTAAAATTGCTTGGGCAGATATTCGAGCGAAGTAGGACAGAAAGAATCTTTGCAACGACAGCTTGGGCTGTAAATCAGGGGTTCCCAATCCTGGTCCTGGAGGGCCGGTTTCCAGCATGTTTTAGTTTTAACCCTGTTTGGACACACCTGGTTTTAACCAGTAGATGACTAACAGATTTCACAGGTGATTCAAGTGTGTTGGAGCAGAGAAACCACTAAAACATGCTGGATACCGGCCCTCCAGGACCAGAATTGGGCACCCCTGCTGTGAATGATGCAGTGTCATAATTTGCTGGTCATTGGATCTGTTTTAGTTTTCACCTTTCAGCAACTAATTAATGGTACTGCATCCCAGACTTTCAAGTTTGCTGTAAAAGAACCGTTACTTTAAAAAAAACTGATCTGATCCAGCACTTCCAGTGGGTTTTAGAACTATTTAGTCAACCAACCAACCAACCAACCAACCAACCTACCTACCTACCTACCTACCTACCTACCTACCTACCTACCTACCTACCTACCTACCTACCTACCTACCTACCTACCTACCTACCTACCTACCTACCTACCTACCTACCTACCTACCTACCTACCTACCTACCTACCTACCTACCTACCTACCTACCTACCTACCTACCTACCGACCGACCGACCGACCGACCGACCGACCGACCGACCGACCGACCGACCGACCGACCGACCGACCGACCGACCGACCGACCGACCGACCGACCGACCGACCGACCGACCGACCGACCGACCGACCGACCGACCGACCGACCGACCGACCGACCGACCGACCGACCGACCGACCGACCGACCGACCGACCGACCGACCGACCGACCGACCGATCAATATCCCCTTTATTCCATCAGAAAGAGATTGATGCGCCATTACAAGAACAATGCAGATGGTCCACATAAAACAACACTTAATGGTTGATGGTTAATACACCAAATCCTAATGTTTACAATTGCTTTGAATTCTAACAAGATTCAATTGGACTGTTTATTAATAGAGATACATGAAATTAGAGCATTTGGACTGGATTATGATCAGATTTCATTTGTACAGTACTTTGTGAAGTCTTTTAGTGAAATGTATAAATAACCTAAACTGAACACAACAGATCACTATTTGTGCTGCTTGTGATAAAAGCTTCAGTCTACAAGTGATTCACTAATGAACCCATTTTTAAAGATAATAAGAGCCGAGAACCAACCTGCAGCCACAGAGTAACTGAAGCCACGTGCAGAAACACGAAGAACCTCCAGGACTAGCACAGGAAACTAGGGCCCGACCGATATATCGGCCGATATAGGGGTCATTAACACTATCGGCTATCGGCCAAAAAGACGGCCGATATGGCCGGTATTGCGCTACCTATCCAGCAGATGGCGCCAGCTTTATGAACTCATGTTGTGGGGCTCCATTCCTCGGGGGGTTGAGCCACCGTCACAGCACACATGCAGCGGGGCAGCAGAACCAATTCGGTCAAGCAGAGACGAAGGTGATGAGGAAGTAGGAGGTAAATCTTCAGTTTTAAGCATATTTGTTGTTTCAGTGGTAAGTTGAACGGTAAAATAAGCAATGACAAAAGTATGTTTCCCCTCAACATGCTTCCTAAGTTTATTGTGTGCCTCGTGGCCTCGTATTGAAAAGTTAACCTGAAAAAATAAAATAAAACTGCTGCAGCATTACGCTCTATGCAGAGCTCACGCTGCTTCCCCCTTTTCTGCTGGCCTTTTTCTGGTAGACATTCTGGAATATTCTCAGACAATTTCCTCCGCTCTTCTTCAGCAGTCTTTTCAAACTCACGCGGTTCACCCGCGGCTCGCGAAAAAAATAGTGCAGACGCCAAAATGACCGCTGCACGGCGCGGACTTCGCCGGCCCATGTGGCCTATAGAATAGGACAGGGTTTCTCAACCTTTTTCAGCTAAATGCCCCCCCCCCCCCCCCCCCAATCCCTTACTGCCCACCAATGTCCCATGCAGAGAAACAGAAAGTTTTTTGATACAAAAATCATAATTAAAAAAATACATATACATAAATACAATTCAGCCTTGAATTTGAAACAGTTTCATACAAATATGTCATAAAAAAGTATCATAAAAAAGTGGTTTTAGCTATTAGCAACGAGATATTGTAGGAAGCGATAATCCTCGGTCCAGTAAAATCATGCTTCGAGCAAACATACCACTAATGCTACCTCTCTTAGAGTGTCTCTCTTTATTTACCTGAAAATAGTTCAGTTCCTTTAAAGCTTTGTCTGGATGCATTTTGGACAAGTGCTCCTTAAGCCAGGAGGGTTTCATTGCTTCGTTTCAAAAAACTTGTTCACAAAGCAGGCACATGGGGAGTTTTGGATTCGTGGGTGAAGGAATAAATCCATACTGAAGGTAGTTCACATTGTACTGTCAGCACTTCTTTTTATTCTGAGCCATTGTCTGTTATGAATGTCCTGTATCGCTAGCGCCCACCATTAGCATCTCAGTGCCCCCTTCAGTGGCAAAAAACTTTCACCGCCCCCTGATATAGTCTGAACGCCCACTGGGGGGGCGCTACAGCCCCCGTTGAGAAACCCTGGAATAGGATAACAAGGTCGACCAATGAAGGCGGTCCCCGTTTGGCGGCGCTTTGGCGGCACACGACCGTTGTCGCAGCTGAGGACGGGCGAGGGGGTGGTGGCAACAAAGCAATGAAACGCTGCGCAGGGAGTCCCCCTAGCTGGGAGAGGAGTAGGGGCGGTAATACGAGAAATAAACATTCCTCTCTACAACAGAATAAATCTATTGTATTTTTTCAGCCTTATTTTTTGCATAAGGCTTATACATTGCCACATACTAGTCATTTAACGTATCTTATTTTTATTTTCCTAATACTGTCGGCTTCGGAAAGGATCAAAACACAAAAGTGTAAAACTCCACAGACTCAGAAAACAAAAAACTTGAATGTTAGATTTATACTGACTGAGTTTGTGTGTTCTGTTGTTCTTGAGATTGCAAAATAAATCTTATTTGCATTACTTGGAAACCCTAGTGAGTTATTGAGACAGTTCTTTGGTGTGTAATATAGAAATAAGTTGGCATCAAAAAGGCAGAGAATGAAGGGTTTAATCTTAAGAACATTTGTATTTATTTTTGTAGGGGAGATTTATCGGCCATTATATCGGCTATCGGCCTTTGTTAAAAGTTTTATATCGGTATCGGCCCCAAAAAAAGCATATCGGTCGGGCCCTAGAGGAAACCAGGATCCTTCAAGACAACGTGACGATAAGATGTGCTTCTTATTTAGATATTTATCATTCAGAATTTAGCCATGTTCCACATTTCTGTGTCAGGCTCAGGAAATAGATTAGAAATAAACGAGTATTGGCCTCTCCCTAAGGCTCAACACTCATCCTTGTAATGACATGTTTGTCAGTGACCTTTGACTTTCCTAGCTTCGCTGGGCAATGGATGTCCTAAACACCAGTAACATCATTTAAACTGTATTTATTTTGTGATAAATTGTGTTTTTCAGCAGAGATGATTGTTTTCTACCCCTCTTCTCCCAGGTGGTGCCTCGTTCCTCATCTTCCCTCAAGGCTGAGCCGGGTGTCAGCCTGTCTCCCTCTAATGAGGGCTTAGAGTGGGAGCTATTTTGTTTCAGGAAACTAGCTTGGGAAGTTGTCGTGCCACATTCTTTCAACACTTGCCTTGGACACCTTCCTCAGACCGCACACACAAAGCATCCTCAGAACAGAGGAACATGTTAAAGCCTGTTTCCATGAACAACGCTTGTGTTTACGGAGTTAAAAAGATCATCTTTGAGGAACTAAAAGCTGAAACAGGGTCTTTTAATGGTCACAACCTGTAGTCAACTTGTTAGTCAAACCAGTTTATTTTAATCCACTCAGAAAAAAAAAACGTGTATCTTCTGTTTGTACTTTAAACATTTTATCTTTGAGTGTTTCATTTAAAAGAGATCTGTGCTGATTCAGATAAGGATGTTGGTAAAGGACAAGGTTAACCACATCTGCTGTACGGGGTTTCATCTGAGATCAGTAGTTAGTACTTTTACGTTCTAAAATGCTAAATGTTTGTTTCTTAAATATCTCCACATGTATAAACGACTAGGGATGTAAGAAAATATTGATATGGCAAAATATCGTGATATTTTTTCCAGCAATATTATATCGATATTCAAAAGCCGTGTATCAGAAATATCGATATGGCAATATATCATGATATTTTTTCCTGCGATTATTACATCAATATTCAAAAGCCGTGTATCAGAAATATCGATATGGCAATATATCGTGATATTTTTTCCTGCGATTACTACATCGATATTCAAAAGCCGTGTATCTAATTTTTGAAAGAAATTACATGCAAACAGTGTATTTTCTTTTCGTTTTGTGCAATTCAATTGCCACCCGCTAGTTAGCAGCAGTGTGCAACGGGTTTTGTTTGTACCATTGAAATGTAAATCCCTCCATCATGGGTCAGATACCTCATGTTAAACATGTTACGTATCAGTTTGGACTGTTTATTGAACATTCTTACAATAAATTCAGTAAAAAAATTGCTTGTCACGTTTGACTGAATGTATCGCAATATATCGTGATATATCGTATCGTCTCCCCTGTATCTTAATATGTATCGTATCACCAGAATTTCAACCATACACATCCCTGTAAACGACTGTCCTTTCCTAAGTTTCCGTTCACAAATGCCAAAACACACTGAATCATTTGGGTTCAAACTTTTAACCCTTTTCTTTTTTAAAGGGACTTTACAGAGTTTTTAATTTTTATGCTAGCGATTGCCCCCTCAGGCCAAAAGCGTAATGGCAGCTTCAATAGTAGGCTCGTGCACGAGGCGCGCATGCTGTACGTGCACACTGCTTAATGAAAATAACAGCTGAGACATTCAGCTCCGCTTTTGTGTGTGTGTGTGTGTGTGTGGGGGGGGGGGGGGGCGGAGGACAGAGGACAGGAGAACATGCAGCTAATTAATTAAATAATTTGGTTCTGTACCTTTCTCTTCAGCACAGCCGACAAAGGTTTAAGATGGGTCAGTCCTCCTGCATGCTCAGATCATTCCCTTCCCTTGCTTGAAAAATTGTTCCAAAATGAAAGTTGAACCCACATCTTTTTTTATCTGTGGGCAGATCTTGTACCAACACCGGAGCGTGAACGCGCACGAAGGAGCCTGCTCAACCCGAGCATCTCTCTTTTTCTGTGATTTTACAGAAAAACAGGCAATCACAGTAAAAATGCCAGGGCTCATTCTACAGGACCAGGGCATTGCAGGAGAATGTATGAAGAAGACATTTATTATTTCTATACATGTTTTGGGTCTCAAACTTCCATAATGCCACTTGTAACCTTTTTTATTACTTTCTTTTAAAAACAACAATTCCTATTTCATATCATTTTAGTCATGTTTAAACTGGCCTGTTTATGTGGGTTAGGGTTTAATAATGATGGGTTTCTCAGACAAAACACGCCTCACTAGGACAAACCCTGGCTCTTAACATGTCCAGCTGCTTGTGACTCATTTAAAGGAGCAATATGTAAGAATTCTACAGTGAAGTAATCCCAAAACATTGTAAATGTCTCAATCATGTTGCACTGAAACTGATTTTATTCTCAGCCAGCTGGGGGGTTGTCAGTTTTTCTCCTTTCAAAGGTCAAAGAGGGACGTAACACTGTTTACAATCTGTGAGCGTTGAGGTTGCCAAATCTGCGCCAAGCTAACGCTGTAGTGCCAGCACTTGTAATTCAACACTGGCAGGCAAAAAGCTCCAGAGTTGTTTATCAAGCTGAAGCAACCTAGAAGTTATTTTTTGTACCCCCAAGAAGCCACGGTATCTTTTTTTTTTAACTGGTGAAGAAGGCTAGAGGCTAATGTGGCGCTAACAATGCTACGCATAGCTGCCAACTTTCACGCATCCCCTTCACACCCCAATTTCTAACGCTGAAAAAGCAACACTGACTGCAGTACCCAAGTTTGAGCACAGGATGTCACTCATGCTTCATTCTTTTAATTTAAAATAAATGTACTAGTTTTAAGTTTACATGGAGCTCCAGAGCTCCAGTTGGAGTCGGTGCTTTTTTCTTGTCTGTAAAAACTCAGATATAATGAATGTAAAAGTTATTTATTGTTTTTTTTTACCTGTTTCACATGGAATGTAAAACATGTTGAGAGAAAACAGCACAAGTATTCATCAGAGCATCTCTTCTCTTTACACTAAAGCAACACTAAACATGCAGTAGAGAGACTGGTCATGCAGCACAGAGCTGTGGTTCACAGCTGGGAACGCATCTAATCACAGCATCTTTTAACCTTCGTAATAACAGGGTTCCTGGTGCTCGGAGACACAGAGGAGCAAAGAAAGCCTTCTGCAGCTGCAGACACAGTCTGGCTTCAGTCCAACACAACACAAAGTCTGAAAAGCTCTCAGATCCCTCCACACAAGGAGGAGTGTAGTGTCCTCAGAGTCAAAGGGGCATGAATTTCTCTTAGAAAAACAGAGTCCATTGTTTATGTCGGATGTTTGCCAGGCAGAATAGTTGTTTGAGTTGTAAGAGATAAGGTTTGTTACCTATGGAACCCGTTCAGGTGATCAAAACAAATCTCTAAAGTCCAAAAAAATCAAAGTATAGATCTTCATGTGCAGTCTGACGTGTTCTTACCTGAACATCCACCACCGTCCCTCCTCTTCCTTCTCTCTCGTGTTTTCAGCAGCAACTGCTTCATTGACAGAAACCGGATCATGTCTCCCGTAACAAACTCCACCTCAGAGGAGGGGGCTCCACAAAGAGAGGGAGGACGGATAGCAGGAAGAGCCCGCCGAGGAGGCCCTCCTCGCCTCACATGTTTGCTGCTGTGGGAGTAATCCCAGGAGAAACCTAACACCCGACAGCAGATCAAAGCCACGAGGACCTCTGACTGGTTTGTCATTACTGAACAGAGCCGACAAAGACAAGAGAATGATGGACGGAAACATGAACAAAGGTGACCAAAGGTGCTGTTTGCTTTGTTCAATAGTACAATTAGCCATTTGAAGGGTTAAAACTGTTAATGTCAGTGGAATATCACTATTAACAGAGGGTCATCACCTGTAATGATGATTTAATTACTCCACTTCTGGCCTGGATAATGAGTGTTAATCTGAACCTAACATGCTTTATGAATAGTCCTTAGTTTTGTTAGCTTTTTAAAGGGTTGCTATTAGCACCCCCTAGTGTCCGTTTGTAGAACGAAAAGCAAAACTCACTGAGTATTTGTCTTTCTAACACCTTCATCTAACAGCTGAAACGTCTCCCCAGCCTTCCTTAGTGTCTACAGGAGCGGTTCATCACCAAATTACAAAAATCAGCTGTGCTCATGATCTAAAGCATGCAGGAACCAGACTGCAGCACCAAGAATGTCAACTCAATGTTTTAGACGTCCCAGCATTTGGAAGTTGTGACTGGAATATTCTGGCCAGAGGGGGTGACAGGGGCTGGGTGGCCTGTTGATAATCCTGTTAACGGTCATGTTAGCACATACTGGCCCAAGAAAATGATTTAAATTATGAAAAGTAGAAAAGTATCTGTGATAATGTAGAGCAGCCAGAAGGTCTTCAAGGTGAAAGAAGTAGAGGCAAACTGTAGCACAGGGACATTTTTCCTTGGGAGCCTAAATGCTTCTCAGGCGTTTATTTCATTGCTTTCCTTTTACAGATAAAAAAATAAAAAACCTCATGCCTCCACCTGGCTTCCTTTAAATACCCCAGAAAAATCACACCTGCAAACAATCAGCCCCAATCATTGGTGCTCCAACATCAAACCCAAAAGGAAATAAACATCCACATAAATGTACCAAAGTGCTTATATATACAAAAGACAAAACTGTTTCTACAATGCACGAAACATTTTCACACTAAGACCAAAGAAACAAATCCCACTTCCTTTGGTTTGTCCAAATGAAGCAGCCAATCTTAGGCCTAGTCCACACGTAGCCGGGTTTTTAAAAAAACGAATACCCGCCCCTCCAAAAACTTGCATCCACACCACCTCGTTTAAAAAGAAAACTCTGTCCACACGTACCCGGATAAATACGTTGTTAAGGACATGCCAGACCTGTAGGCGGCAGTGCTTCCCCCGTTCTTAACCTCGTCCTTCGTCTGTGGTCTTCCACAAGGAGCAGTAATTCCGCTTGCAAAAACAAACAAGCAGAAAGCGCTTGGACAATTGATAAAGCGAGCGCAGCTCTGAGGGCATCCATGCTGTCGGCTAGTGTAAACACAGGTCGCACACGTGATGTCAGCATTTGTTTGTCGCGGAAAGTGACGTTGCGGACCTTAAAACTCCGGTTTTGTCCGTCCACACGCAGACACCCAAAACGGAGAAAACGCAGATCTTCACTTTGGCCGGAGTTTTTAAAAAGATCCGTTTTCATGTGAAAAAACTCCGTTTTCATGTGGATGACAGGCCAAAACGTAGAGAAATATCTACGTTTTGGCAGATCCCCGACTACGTGTGGACAGGGCCTTAGGATGATCCAGGGAGGTAGTACTGGGCGGGCCCGGGCGGGCCCTCCCCACCCTCCCCTCACAACCTGCTCTGGATACAAAGCAAACATGAAATCCCAGATGGTAACTACATCCACACCAGTGCAATATTCACATTTCAGTCTAGTTAAAGTATCCCCCATCACAGTGCCAGCAGGCTACAGAAATAAATTACAGGGGCGAATGGGAAATCATCCATACCACTTTGTCACAGTATCCCTTTAGGAATGTTTTTATTAGTTGTCAGACGGTGCATTTATTTGTTATTTTCTACGATAATCTTGATAAGTGAATTGTGTCTTTGTAGTGTGATCCATCTGAGGCAGATTTCATCCCAGGGAGACAAATGAAGAGACATTAACTCGACAACATCAACGTTGGTAACATATGAGGGTCCCTTTATTAACCTTACTTGGTGCATTAGTAAGCATTATTAAACAATAATGATAACTAATAATTGTTCTTAAGGTTATGACAAAGAGTTGTAGGGGTCTGCTTAGTAATGCTTTAAATAATATGGTTAAGCAGTTGTTAATACTTTATTTAATAGTTTATTAATGCTTAATGATGCTAAGTATGTTAGTAAAAGGACCTTTATTGTCAAGTGTTACCTGAAAATGTAACACTGACCACTGTCTTCGTGCTGCTAACCCAAAGTTTTCCAGGCTAGCTGCTGTACGGTGGGGTGTTTCTGAAAGAGAAGCATTCCTCAGCCTAACAGCAGACTGATGCAGTGGGTCTGACAGCTCCCGGGGTTCTTGCATATCTGTTGGGGCACACACTGCTACAGCAGCCTGCCAGGCTACTAGGATATTCCAGAATTCCCAATCCTGCAAGCAGCGTTGTCATTTCATCATTATTCAGCATGCTCAGGGGAACGTGCTTGGGAGTGTTTTATTTTTCCTTCATGTGTTCTGTGTCAGGTCTGTTCATGACGGCTCAGCTCAGAGACACGGAGGATGACCACAAGGTCAGCAGAGCGATTCTGGAAATGCTACACATCAGCAAAGTGTCAACAAGTCACCGGGCCAAACTTCATCCCTATATGAGGAGGATCCATCAGCATTTAGCCTCTTTGGAAGTTCAAGATATTGGAAAATCAGATGGAATGCTGGTGCAAAGCTTTCGAAGTGTTGATGGTAAGAATTTAGAAAAATCATATTTCTTAAAGTCCCATTTACTACCCGTGTTGGGGAGAATACTTTGTAAATGTACTTAGTTACAGAATACTGAATACTGGCTTTAAAATGTATTTGGTAATGAATTCCGTGACTTTGTTTAATCTTGGTACTGTATTCAGAATACTTGGAATGCTTTCCCATAAAAACAGCATTTAGGTCTATTAAATGTCACAATATGTGTTGATAGCTACTCCCGCAGGAAAGCAGGGCATATTAATGCTAAATGTCATGTACCGACTCGGAAAAAAAATTAAACGATAAAATTATTTTTGTTACTTTATTAATCAAACAGTCAATAGAAAGTATGTTTCTGTTTCTGTGAGAAAGTACTTGAACATTGCACAGCATTACTGTCTGCAAGAAAATGTAATCAAGACAAAACCAGTGGCGTGTCCATATCTTTTAAAATGGGGTGGCCCAGTTGAGGGACAGCTTTGTGCATGGGTGGCACCAATGGTTATGCTTTTTTTGTTTTACCCCCAAGCCTTTTGTGGACAATGAAAAGCCTATTTAAAGGTAAATTAGTATGATGGCACCTGGGGTGGCCAATCAGATTCCAAGGGTGGCATGTGCTACTCCAGGCCACTCCCTGGACACGCCCCTGGACAAAACACTTCAAAATAATTGGGACTGGCCAATCACAGTGCACTTATTTAGAAAAAAACAATGTATTATTTATATTTTTTTATGTGTTTTGTAGTTTTTCCACAGTGGAATGTCGGACTGCCTCGTTGACAGACATCCAAAGCCGTCCAATCACAGCGCTCTATATGTTTGATGGGCCAATCATAGCACTCTGTCAGCCAAATGGGCGGGATGTACCTGCAAGTTAGCAAACCAAGATGGCCGCCGCTCCGTAGTGGTTCAATCACAGCGTTGTTTTGGTTTGGTGGGCCAGTCACAGCACTCTGTTGGTGGATGGGATGTTACTGGCCGTGTTCGAGATGAGCCAGTTCTGCGCCGATTAGATCACCGGCGATCAGCGAGCAGTGTCCGACTTGACGCCGACTTGCTCTGACGTCATGCATACGTAGGCAACGATAACCTCGTGAGATCAAGGCGGCCGCAGATTTTGGAGCAAGGCGCTGCAGTTGCTCTCCCTCAGCTGCAAAACCTAGAGGATGACGGGAAACGCCTGACTCTCACCTGATCTAAGATCTGATTGGTTCACATTTTGATCCAAACATCCGCTGGTAGAACATGAAATGTTAGTTGGTCACATGTATTCTGTAAATCATGTAACGTTGATGATGACAACTATATAGGCCATAAAGAGAAATGTGTTTTGTGTTCTATTGTCACGTTTCCTATGAGCACACTGAAGCTACAGCTGATAACCTTTACTTATTATTACAGTCATGTCTTCATATACAATATATGATATCCACAAGCACGTGAGGACGTGTTTCAGCTGCTAACAGGCACCAGAATTAAAATTGAAAATTAAACAAGTATGAACGCTAACACGATATCTTCATCCATAGTCACCCACGAGCTACACATGCAGGGAAATCTGTCCGACGTAAACGCCGGCTTTCAGCCACTCCCCCTGCTGCTTCCGTCTGCTCTCGTCTGTTTTCCAGGCGAGGCGCAGCTCAACTCGAACCACCTGTGATGGTACACAGGTAAGAGCCAGGCGTTTCCCGTCATCCCCTAGGTTTAGTAGCCGGTGGAAAGCAACTGCAGCGCCTTGCTCCAAAATCTGCGGCCGCCTTGATCTCACGAGGTTATCGTTGCCTACGTATGCATGACGTCAGAGCAAGTCGGCGTCAAGTCGGACACAAAGCTAACCGGCAAGCACTGCTCGCCGATCACCGGTGATCTAATCTGCGCAGAACTGGCTCATCTCGAACACGGCCTATGTCTGGTTGTTTGGTATCCAACAGCACGCAGAGAAAGATCGTAGATCCCACCCCACGCTTAGAGCAGAGAATAGAAAGAGAGCTGAGAGCCGTCAATGGACCGTAGATTCTGCCCGACAATTTCTTTATTCATTTATTGGATTTCTTTATTCATCTTTAAGGTGAAAAGTGAAAAACACACAAGTATTCCAATGATAATATGAAAGTAACTGTATTCTAAATACCACATTTAAAAATAGTAACTGTACCGGAATACAGTTACTCATAATTAGTATTCTAAATACGTAATGGCGGTACTAATATTCCGGTACTCCACAACACTGTTTACTACATTTTTTTAACCACTTCACTATGGCCTTTAGTAAGAGTGAATGGCCGCTCCTTTTACAGGAAGTAGAAGTCTTACTTATTAACATTCATGATATGCAAGTATCTCTCCTCTGATTGGCTAACAGCAATGCAACTCTTCCGCTGCCTTTGTTTGCTCTTCTTTCTTGGGTAAAAAACGCAACGTTTATGCTTTATCTCCACAAATGACACAAGCCTGCGTGTGTTCTGCCATGTTGTGGAGTTGTCAGTGCTAACGGTTAGCTCAAGTGACGTAGAATAAACTGGTATCTTTGGACTATTTCCTGCATAAACTACAGTTGTGCTAAGAAGCTAGTCCTTCACAAAAGTAGATATTTGGTCATTTAGAGAGAGCCCAACATGTCAGTCCTTCAATCATTCACATCTTAACATATCTGTTTGGATTTCTGAGTTGATCTTGTCAGAAAATACAGTTTAGAAAGACCCTGCTTACAGGCTTGGACACAAACTAGAGCAGCAAATTACTTTGTTTGAAAAGAAAGAAAAAAATATGAGCTGACAGGCCTCCTGTTGTGATGTAGGAATGTAGGAATGAATTAAGCCAACTCCAGGTGAGACTGGATTCGACACCACTATGATTCAGCTGCATGGATGCCCTTGAGACAGGAAAAGACTTAAGGCCGCCCTGTTCCAAAACAATACATGTTACCTGAATTTTGCTCGTCTGTGTTTGGCCTTGAGGGCTGAAGACATGGGTTCAATGTAAATAAAGTTGATTCTGATTCTGATCATTTAATTTAATCCCAAAAAGGCTAAATAAACAAATAAATGAATAACAGCTCTTCATAAAAACTAACTTAGGCTAGGAGGTTGCCAGAAGTGGCTCTACACCTGGACCCTTGCAAACTCAGGTGGTAACGGGATTGGGGTTGCAGTTTTGGGTTCGACAGCGACGGATAGAAAAAGACTTGGGAGATTTATATGCAACAATGTTTTTCTGGAGCCCCTTAAATGCCTCATGATCCCTATCCAATCCTTTAAAGGTCACATGCTGCTCTTCCTTCAATCCTTGCAGCATGTGCTAATGGTGAGAGGCAACCAAGCCCCCACAATGCGGCTCAAAAATTGAGGCCAACCAGGAAGTACCAAAAATTGCAGTTCCACCCTCATCCACTAGGGGCTGGTGTCAGAAGGGAGCAAATCCTCATTGACTCCCATGTTAAAAATACCGATTTCACAGCAGAAATAAACATGTTTACAGCCTGGTACCAAAACATGTTTTTGGTTTAAATGATCTAGTTTACACTCATGACAACTCTGAGGGGGTGAATGTTTTTCTCACTCTTCTGTTTAAGTGTATTAAAAGCCTAAAATTCTGTATAATAATGAGCATCAGACCCACGTGACCACAGAGCTAGCTCCATGGAAAGGTCTCAGTAGAGCCTCGGTCTGGCCTGGAAACTGCTCCGGGATTTTGAGTCTCTGTGTTTGTATTCTTGTTTGGATATTTTTTGTGCAATTGTTGGACAAAATGACTTGCTGTGGCATTAATTGCACTAATAGAGCGTCCAAGGAGTCTCCAATTCATTTTTTTCGGTAAGTAAAATTATATTTATGTATTTTAGGTCACTGCTGAGCTTAGATTTTAACATGTACTGTTTAACCATGAAATTTAAATGTAATAGGGTAAACCCCAGTGCATTTAACATAATGCTGCACTTTAGAAAATGGGTTGAAATATAACATGTTGGTGGAGCTGGGTTCCCACTATCGGCTTGTGGAGCTCTCGGGAGACCGATGTTTTCCACCCGTTCCTCCCCTCCCCGCAGCTCGGCGCATCTCTGTCTGCTGCGCAGGCTGCCAGCTTTCAGCAGCTTTCGGGAGACCAATGTTTTCCACCCGGTTTTACCCAGCAGTCAGCCCAGCGTATCTCTGACTCAGAAGCTCTTGTAAGATGTCATGTAGCGCCCTTGTTTCCCCCTCTCCTCAGATGTAGAGTGGTACGACCCAGTTGGGGAAGTGGTTAGATTCACTGTGTTGGCGCCCGTTCTAGAAATACAGTTGTTGGTTCAACAAGCTCCATGTCTCACTGCTCCCCCAGGGCGTGGGTCGAATGCAGAGGACAAATTTCACCACACACCAATGTGTGTGACAACTGATGGGACTTTAATATTTAATCTTGACTGCGGTGCATGGGCAAGACAGGAAGGTGAGTCGAGCATGGTCCAGATGAGCTGAATAAGGCTGACTGAGCAGAAGATGCACTGAGTGGGGGTCTGGGAGAAAATACTAAAACAGGACCAAAACTACCGGACCATGACACCTCCTTTTACTAATGATGAAAGCTAGGAATCGTGTGACTGACCAGATTATAAGGAACAAAGTCAGAGTAATCCATGGGTTTTAGTTGAAACTAATTCTAAATTGTACTTCTTTGGGTTGCCCAGGTCCACATCATGCTCCTCAAGGATGGATCTGGTTTGATGTCAGCAGCCTGAGCTCATCCATGGTGATTGCAGAGCTGGTCCTGTTCAGGAAAAACCTTCACCCACACCCCCTCAGTGTCATAGTCACCCTGCACAGCGTCATCACGTCACAGAAGAAAATGAACGAAACCTGCATCTTGGAGGAGCGACAGTTGGGGTTGGACCAGAGACCCTCCTCTGGGTATGATGTGTTTAACGTATCCGCTCTTCTGGCTGTGAGATCCCTGAACGTGGTGGGCTTTGAGCTGCGCTACAAGGATGAGACCGGGAGTCTGGTCCTGCACGAGGCTTTAACACAGAGTCTGTACTGCCTGAACAGAGGCTGTGTGAATGAACCCATCCTGGTGTTCTACCAGGACCGTCCTCTTCAACACTAACTCCATCACGCGGTTGCATTTTTGTTTTCATTTGATTTGTCTTCTGTTGTCCTCTGAGGTAGAGCCCTGCACTGGAGCCCTAGGCCCGGGGGTCGGCCCGGCCCGGGGGTCGGCCCGGCCCGAGGGCCAACGACTGTGTAATTACCTCGGACACGGGCCAGGCGCCTTTATTTTTAATCAAATTCATTTTAAAAAAACTGAAACACTTGAACGCAGCAGCACCTGCCTGCTTCTCACACACCGGCACCCGTTAGCTCAGTTAAGGTGTGTGTGGTTTATAAACGCGCCGATATAAACGAATTCTCAAACTGCGGATTGAAACAGGTGCCCCTGTTCTAATACGCCATTTTATGTCCACTTTGATGTCAGAAACCATTCGTTTATTCTCATGAAAACGGCAGCATTCTGTGTTTCTGTGAATAAATTCGCTCTGCAGTTAAAAAAATTACAGCATTCATTGCTGGTTTTTTTTCTAACTGGAGAGCGCATTTTCAGAGCGGCAGATTAAATTTACAAACGCGATATTAACTGGGGGCGTTTATTTAATCTGCCGCTCTGCAGTTAGAAAATTAGAATGCTGCTTTTTTTTCTGATTGCACAAGAGCGCGTTTTCAGAGCGGCAGATTAAATTTACAAACGCATCCAATTAATATAGTGTTCGTAAATTTCATCTGCCGCTCGAAAAATACGCTCTGTTAGAAAAAAAAGCTGCATTGATGCTGTTTTTCTTTCTTTCTTTTTTTTTTTTTTACCGCAGAACGCTTCTCACAGATAATAAGAATGCTGAGCGTTCTATCACGCTAAAACATTATGAAAGGTTAAATAAAAAGTCGGGCTAAGGCTCGGGTCGGGCCAGAGAATCCTGAAAACCTTTTCGGACCGGGTCGGGCTGGGGCTCCACCCCCTCGGGCCGGGCCAGACACGGGCTCAGATTTTAGGCCTGTGCAGGGCTCTAGTCTGAGGGATCCAGCAGTTCTCCATCTTGTTTTTAACTAATGAAATATTAGTTCTACAGCTGGTAGATTCTCCTTTTCTCTTTCCTTGTGTCCTGTCCAGTTTCAAAGCAATCAGAATTGTTGTCTGAGTACCAAACAAAGCCTTACAGTTTTACTCAGAGGTGGAGCGTTACAGCTTCACTTATAACACCCTGCCTGGTAACTGGAAACTTTATTAGGCCCGAGCAGCGAAAGCGCTGCGAAGGCCTCTTGTTTTTGCTCTGATTATTATTATTTTTTGTTATTCCGTGCCCCCTTTGAACAGCTTTTTGGGGACCTTAACATACCCCAAAACTCACAATATTTTGCACACTTGTCAGGCCTGGTGAAAAATTTGATATTTTAAAGGTCCCAAAAAAATCGCAAAGAAAATGGCTGAACAGCGCCCCCTACAAAGTGAAAAAAACCCCTCTCCATAAAGCTTAGTTTATCGTACAGTTATGAAATTTGGTACACTTGTAGTACTCAACAGTCCGCACAGAAAAGTCTCTTGCAACCATGGTCAATATCAAACAGGAAGTCGGCCATTTTGGGTTGAAATGGCGATTTTTTGCCGTTTTTGCCGTTTTTAGGGTCCGTTTCTGATTGGATTGCTCGATCATTTTTCGCACGATCGTCTCAAAAATTGTGTAAAATTGCTCAGAAGGGATGGGCGAACAAAATGAGATAAGGATTCTGAGTTTTCGTATATGTTGAAGGGGCGGAGCCAGGCCTCGAAGTTTGACTACTCGCCAAAAATATTTAAATTGCTATAACTTCATAACTGAATGGAATAGAGTTACCAAACTTTCTGTGGTCATTCGTCATCCACCCACAAAGTAAATTGAAAGGTCGGATGATGACATCACACAAGCCCCGCCCCCTCAGGACCAAAAAGATCAAGTTTTACTGTGAAAGGTCCCAAATTGCCCCATTTCACTTAATCACCACAAATTTGTAGCTGGTAACTCAAGACAAGTGGGGGTTGCTTGGCGTCACTTTATGGGAGTTTTCGGCAGAGGGCGGGGCTGTGGTGGCGCGGCGAATTCAGGCGTACCGCCTTGGCCTTACGTTTGCCTCCCATTTCGTCATTTCCAAAGATATCGTCACGAAACTTCTTGTGAGTGATCCTAGTCCGGCCCCCCAAAAGATCTGATGTGAACATCTGGTGGGCGTGGCCTATTTTCTGAAATAGCGCCCCCTAGGACCATTAAAACTATTAGCCCCAAGCCATGCTTTGACTGAGGATTACGAAATTTGGTACACTAATGTGGTGTCTCAGGACCTACAAAAAAGTCTCTTGGAGTCAAGTTCAAAGTCGCACAGGAAGTCGGCCATTTTGGATCAAGTACGCGATTTAGTGGTTTTCGCACACGTTGTTTGGAGAGTGATGCTCCGTCGCCCTTTTCACCAATCTCCTTCAAACTTCTGCTATATACCCTTAAGACATAGGGGAAAAAATTCAACCGTCGGATTTTTCAAAAGTTGAAAGGTGTGGGCGTGGCTAAGCCTCAAACTTTGACCTGTCGCCACGCTACTCTTTTTTTCACAGCTCCCTACTGGACTCCTTTTACCCAATCACCAGGATTCTGTGGCAAACAGCAGTAGACAAGTTGAGGTTACTTGGTCTCCAGTACTGGCAGGTTTTGAAAAAAGGCGGGGCTTTGGGACCATGGCGAAAATCGCCATCACGCCATGGAAATACGTTTGTCTCTCATTTCTTCAGTTATCGTGATATTGCTACGAAACTTCTGGTGAGTGATCCTAGTCTGAGCTCCAAGAGAAATAGACAGCTGAATTTTGTGGGCGTGGCCTATGTTTTGAAATAGCGCCCCCTAGGACCATTTAAACTATTAGCCCCAAGCCATGCTTTGACTGAGGATTACGAAATTTGGTACACTAATGTGGTGTCTCAGGACCTACAAAAAAGTCTCTTGGAGTCAAGTTCAAAGTCGCACAGGAAGTCGGCCATTTTGGATCAAGTACGCGATTTAGTGGTTTTCGCACACGTTGTTTGGAGAGTGATGCTCCGTCGCCCTTTTCACCAATCTCCTTCAAACTTCTGCTATATACCCTTAAGACATAGGGGAAAAAATTTAACCGTCGGATTTTTCAAAAGTTGAAAGGTGTGGGCGTGGCTAAGCCTCAAACTTTGACCTGTCGCCACGCTACTCTTTTTTTCACAGCTCCCTACTGGACTCCTTTTACCCAATCACCAGGATTCTGTGGCAAACAGCAGTAGACAAGTTGAGGTTACTTGGTCTCCAGTACTGGCAGGTTTTGAAAAAAGGCGGGGCTTTGGGACCATGGCGAAAATCGCCATCACGCCATGGAAATACGTTTGTCTCATTTCTTCAGTTATCGTGATATTGCTACGAAACTTCTGGTGAGTGATCCTAGTCTGAGCTCCAAGAGAAATAGACAGCTGAAGTTTGTGGGCGTGGCCTATATTCTTAAATAGCGCCCCCTAGAGCCATTAAAACTTTCAGCCCCAAGCCATGCTTTGACTGAGGATTACGAAATTTGGTACACTAATGTGGGGTCTCAGGACCTACAAAAAAGTCTCTTGGAGCCAAGCGTAAAGTCGCACAGGAAGTCGGCCATTTTGGTGCAAGTACGTGATTTAGTGGTTTTCGCACACATTGTTTGGAGAGTGATGCTCCGTCGCCCTTTTCACCAATCACCTTCAAACTTCTGCAATACACTCTTAAGACATAGGGGAAAAAATTCAACCGTCGGATTTTTCAAAAGTTGAAAGGTGTGGGCGTGGCTAAGCCTCAAACGTTGACCTTTCGCCATTACTTTACTTGACTTAATAACTCCCATGTGCATGATCAGATCTTTTTCGAACTTTGTCTGTGTGATCATTGACCATATCTGTAAACAATGACAATGTGGACAGCTGACATCACCTAAGCCCCGCCCCCTGACTACAGGAATTTATTTTTTATGCTGAAATGCCCATATTTGTCCCCTCTAATTTAGTCAACATGACCCTAAGGTCATGCACTGTCTTCATGATGCTGTAATGACCATTCAGATCTGATAGCTTTCCAGAAAGGGAGGGGCTTTGATGCCATGGCGAATTCTGGCGTAACGCCGTAATCTTAATATTCAATTTAATGGTGAGCTCAGAGGGGATGCTGAGTCAGGGTGAGGTGCAGACTAGGAGGCCATTCGCGGTTTCTGGTGTCGGGGTGGTTGACGTTTCTGTTCTGTCAGACGTGCACTGGTGCGACGGCAGACCGGAGCGGCGCGGAGCTGCGAGGGCCGAACGACGCTGCTTGCAGCTTTAATTAGAATTGCTTTTGGTTTGTTTTAAATCTCAATGGATACAGAGACGGAAATGAAAGAGAACGGAGGAAGAAGAATGGTAAAGAAGTCGTACGGGGTGTTTATTAATATCAATAACATTAAAGCAAAAGGAATCCATTTCTAGACCTGCAGAAAGAGAGAGAGAGAATAAACATACACACAAACAAAACACCACAACAGAGATGCCACAGGACCAAACAACACATGGGCATACAACAATAACAACGTTACTGAGAAGCACATGGTAATCATTCATTCATGGTGTAATTAGTGCCAACCACAGCCCAAGGTAATGCGTCTGAAAACACCTTGTGAGTACCTGTGTGTACATGCTCTTGTGTATAGGAGTGTAACGTGCCAAAAGGCCAAGTATTTACTGCAGCACCAAGAAATTTACTTTTAATTCGCAGACACTGAGTCACACATGCAGGGAAGCATTACCTCTGTCTGGCCTCCAAACAAGAAAAACAAGGATCTACGACCATGCAACCAAATACGTTTGCCATAATAACTGCTTTTCCTGAACTTCATTATCTTTGCAGAAGACGAGACTTTCTGCACTTTCGCTCTGAATAAAGTTCATCTTCCTTTAATCATAAATGACTGTTATGGATGCCAGGCTGGCCTGTGGAGAGAAGCAGCCAGGATCACCAAGCCCTGGTGAATCAGCCTGACACCGCCCCTCCTCCTCCTCTCTCCGGGCTGCTGAGGAGCACAGCTGCGAGGAATCATCATGATGAGCAAACACCTGCATAAAAGGGCTGTGCCTTCAGCAGTCTGGGAGGCAGCAGTGCAGGGGTTCTGCTGTCCTCCTGGGTTTTGTTTGGTTTTAACCCCTTTTTGGTTGCATTCGTTTGGATTCGTTGGAGTTTTAGGGCTAGTCCACACGTAGCCGGGATTTTTGAAAACGAATATTCGCCCCTCCAAAAACTTGCATCCACACCACCTCGTTTTAAAACAAAATTCTGTCCACACGTACCTGGATAAATACGTTGTTAAGGACATGCCAGACCTGTAGGCGGCAGTACTTCCCCCGTTCTTAACCTCGTCCTTCGTCTGTGGTCTTCCGCAAGGAGCAGTAATTCTACTTGCAAAAACAAACAAGCAAAAAGCGCTTGGACCATTGATAAAGTGAGCGCAGCTCTGAGGGCTTCCATGCTGTCGGCTAGTGTAAACACAGGTCGCACACGTGATGTCAGCATTTATTGTCGCGGAAAGTGACGTTGCGGACCTTAAAACTCCGGTTTTGTCTGTCCACACGCAGACACCCAAAACGGAGAAAACGCAGATCTTCACTTTGGCCGGAGTTTTTAAAAAGATCTGTTTTCGTGTGAAAAAACTCCGTTTTCGTGTGGATGACAGGCCAAAACGTAGACAAATATCTACGTTTTGGCAGATCCCCGGCTACGTGTGGACAGGGCCTTAGGATGTGGTAGTTTTTCACTCTTGGTGATAAGTTTTTTAAAGGTTAACTGTATTTGGTGCAATTTTACTGACTTTGGTTTTTAAACATCTTCGTGTGGTAAAGCTTTTAAAATAAGCTTTTACCAGGTGTTTTAATCAGTAAATTGTTTGGGACGTTTTATCAACTTTGGGATTTTAAAACACCTTCTGCTCGGTTAAACTTTTAATATAAGTTTTAACCAGGTGTTTTATAGTTGATCATTTGGCTGTGTAATGTTAACCTTTTTAGAGAGATCTGTTTGCTTGTGTTTTAACACCTTTTTGCTACAAATAAACCCATTTTAAACTCCTCCGCCAGTTCTTATGTTGCCCCCATCCGTCACATTTTTACAACACCTATCGGGGACGTAACAATGGCTTTCCAACTCTATAGGTTGATGTAATCAAATGTGTTGAATGAACAAGATGTTTAAATCATAAAGTGTTTGAATAATGTGTGCATTAATCAATGATGTGTTAAAATGAATATTTTTCGTGTAATGATTCATTTCAGATCTTAAACTACACCAGATCAGTGTTTGTTGGCTTAACTATTTCATCTATTGGTATACTCATACATCATGAGATTGTTATTGATGTTTTCAGATTTACTTCTCATACATGTGTAATAACATATTCATTTCACACTAGGAGTCAACCTCTGAGTATCTGAGTGAAGGCATGACTTTCTGAGGATTTTGGATCCTGATTGATCATGCGCCCTGGCTACTTGACCAAGGAGACATCCCTTTGGCTGACTGGTTAGCACGCACGACTCTCACCTGGGAGTCTGGGGATCGAATCCTGCCCGGGCCCTCGTGTCTCCACCTTGCCACATTTGCCCTTTTAAACATGTCAAATTCTGATTTGTCTAAGTTTATAAACAATAAAGTTAGTAAAAGCTAGAACACTTCCTGTTCTAGCCAGTCTTCGCCGTTAACTTGATAAGGCCAATCGGGTGAACAAGCATTATGAGACCATCCTATCTTTTGACCTAAAGGTCAAAGCCTCTCTGCAAAGCTTGAGAGTGATTTCATACACGACGACTCTTTTAAGAGCCACCGAACAGCCTTAGATGCAAAACAAGCACTTCAGCTTCCTGCCGTCACCTGAAGATTACCCAAACTAGGAGGGTCAGACTCTGAGCTGGCTACGAGCTCCGGTACCAGAGGTCGCGCCATTGGTAGTGTCCATCTCGACCTCCTGACCCCCCTAGATTGCAAGGGGATCTTCACACGAGGGTGCGTAAACTCAGCACAAATTGTGTTGGATGGTTTTATAAATACATTTTAGCTTATCAAACCATACAGCCAAATTGATAGAAGCCACAAACTCTCTCAGATACTTAAGAAAGGTTTTGCTAAAACATCTAGCTTCCATTACATCCTTTTATTCATCATCTGTCATCTGTACAGCCATCATTTCATTCATACTTTGTCATGTACAATCCTTTAGTTTAGTAAAATAGAATTAAAGACCATTTTTATAACTATATTCTTGACTGTGTCTGGATTAATGTGAAGTATGTGTTCCCTGAATAAGTCAAAGAAACTAAAGTGTTCTGATTCAAAGACCAATCGGATTGATATTTCATATTTGTATGGAATATCACATCTTTTCGATAAATGATAAATGACCCGCACTTGTAAGGACTCCAAAGCACTTTACACTACAGTGTATCATTCATCCATTCACACACACATTCACACACTGGTGGGGATGAGCTACGATGTAGCCACAGCTGCCCTGGGGTGCACTGACAGAGGCGAGGCTCAAACAATCAATGATGAACAAGAGTCTGCTTCTAGACCTGCAGAAAGAGATAAACAACACACAACAATACAACAAGAGCAAGCTATCACTGCGTCAACCTGATGAGGAAATATCAAATCAACATTGTTGAACTGAACAATCACATGATGATAAATCACAGTGCATTTAGTGCCAACCACAGCCTTAAGACATGTGTTGAAAATGTCCAAGTCCATACTTATGACAGCACCATGGTAGCACCTGTGTGTGTACACGCGCTTGTTTATGTAAGGTTTCTCTATAGGAGCATCCAGTAGAGAGTGTGAGGGGCCACAGATCTGACCCCTAAAGATGCGTAGGAGACGGAGGGAGCTCCAAGTCCCAGACGTCCAGGAGCTGCCCCAGAACACAGGGACCCCAGGGAGACTGCAACCAGAAAGGCCCCCACCCCCACCCCCCCGAGAGGCGCAGAGGATTGCCCCTGGGGGTCACAACCAGCAGCCGGCAGGGTCCCGGGAGATATCAGCGGCAAGCCCACAGGCCCACCCGCAGCCTCCAACCCCCAAGCCAGGGGCGATCATCCGTGCCGGGGACCCAACAGAGTCCAGGGACTCAGATCCCACCAGGCAGCCATGGGGATTAACCAGGCAGACGCCAAAAATCTTAAACCCCCTGACGTGGGAGCCTCAAACACTCAGGCAGACCAAGGCACCACAATCCACACCAAATGTGGCAGGGGGAGGGCAAGCGAAGGTGTGCAGCATAAGAAGTCCCAGGAGAGGGGAGGAGTACAAGACCCCGCCTGACATATACAGTCATACACAGTCACACACTCCCTCCCTCATGCTCACACATACACATACAACCAAAGACTTACAAAAATGAACGCTAGACACCCATTCATGCTCCCCATAAACACCCTATTCACTCTGGTCCCGGTACTGCTCCGCAAACGGTACAACCATCACCGGTTCCCAGAGTTCAACCCTTCCTGCTGGGGTGATGATGATGACACCAGCCCATCCAGGCTAACGCTAGCCTATCCATGCTAATAGACAGCAGAGGGAGTGTGTGAACCAGTCAATGACCAGCCGAGGGCTGCTGGTCCCTACCGTCTCTAGTAATAACACCGGTAAAGGTGCTATTCCTCAGTAAGCAGCGCCAGCCTCTCAGTTACCGGCGCCAGCTTATCCAATCCAATCCAATCCAATTTTATTTATAAAGGGCATTCACAAGGCATTACAACCAAACAAGGCGCTGTACACTAAAAATGCTAGTTAATTAAACAGGCGGTATACAAACATGTCGAACACAGATAAAAGATAAAAAGGAATACAACAAAATTCCCAAAAACTAACAGCTAAAAATCAATAAGACACAGGGAGAATAAAAAATTAGAAAAACATTTTAAAAAGAACCTCAATAGTACGGAAGTTGATATTGTAAAGTCCATTTTTAAACAATGCAGACGTAAGTGATGGTCATAATTATGTTGTATAAGCTAGGTTGAAGTTTCAAGCGTGATTTAAAAATGCTAGCTTTTGGTGCTTGCCTCACTAGCAAGCACCAACTTATCATTAATCAGATCGGTAGTTTGCTTCAGAATTTATTTAGCCTCCTGCTGCTGGGCAGTAGTCTTAATTTTGGCCCCCATACCGCGCCATACATAGTGAATCTAATCGCTGCTCTTACACCAACATATATGGGACAATAAAGATATTTTCTATTCTGTTCTACTCAGGAATTAGGCCTACATCCACAACAGGAGCGACATTGCAGAAAAAAAAGGTAATTATAAAGAGTAATACAAATTACAGAGTAATTTACAAGGAAACAAAAGGCCATTTGTTTTTTCCTTTTTAAATCTGCTTGCTTCCTTTAGACACCGGAAGTTGTTTCCAGGTGCTCTGATCTGATTGGTTTTCCCACCTGCCATTTTCCCGACGTAATTCCGCTCAAGCTCCCTCTCCTGCCGAAGGAGCGCTAGGAGGTTTTGTGATAGTTCACCAACAACAAAGGCTCCTGTTTTGTGTTCGGTTCGGTACCAGCACCGGCAGGAGCGGTTCCGTCATGTCCCAGTAGCGGTTCGGAGGCCAACAGAACGGAATGTGTTCCCGGAGCGCCGAAGCAGTTCCCCGCCAGCACAAAGCCCGTGAAGCAGCGGAGTAGGCCGTGTTTTCTTCTCCAGAACCGCCGAACAGATGCTGCTCCATCATGTCAGGGAACCACTACAAAGGCCACGAAGTCAGCTGCTGCATCAAATACTTTATCTTTGGATTCAACATCTTGTTCTGGGTAATCCCGTCACTCTGCTTTCCGCCCATTGTCTTCAGTTCTGCTCGTTTACACGGGGTGGGGGGGGGGGGGGGGGCTATTGTCATGGAATACTTCGATAGAATACAGTAGTTATGTATTTATATATGTATGTATGTTTGTGTCGGGTCACGTCCCGGTAGGAGCGTCACAGGCAGGATAATCGGATTGAGGTTGAGCGCCTCTGCGGCTCCTTTCATCTGTTTCATCTGACCGACAGCTGCTGTTTCACTTTCAGTATGACGTCATATTTAACAATAACTCACGCGGATTTCAGATTTTTTTTAATCAGATCACGTAACGAGCCTGAAGCCTTCTGACGTTTCCCCCTTCATTTAGCTGTTAAACACTTCCGGTGTTGTAAGTAACCAACGTAACATTTTACGCATGTGCGTGACGTCCGAGGGTAGAGGCTGTGTGGAGAGATGTGACCGCTGAATTATGACGAGGAACATTGTGATGGTGAGTTTACTTACTGGGAAAAACGTCTGACCTTTTATTGCAGCTTGGAAGTGGTGTGTTCAAGGACTGGAAAATAAAAAGGACAGATCAGCATCTGGTGCAGCTCTGATAACATTGGTAGTTAGGGGTTGTATCAACTAGTCGGCGTCACTGCTCTGTAGTGACTTTTTATGCCATTCATAGACTAGTCGCTGTCACGTGATAATGACTGACAGGATGCAGTCCTCGGAAAAGACAGCAGGTGACGAGCCCCTGCGCTTTGAGAGGCGACGCGCTGTGCCAGAGCATCGGTATCTGACGCCCGCGGTAAAACGGACATTTGACCAAATTGTGACCTTTACCCTCTTGCAATGTAACCTTCCCCTCACCTCCATCCTAACCTTAACCAGCTTGCGTATGCAAAGCTTTGTTTTGCGTTTCGTCATTCCTCTCAAACACGCTTGGCAGAAAATTTAGACGGACATACTGGGTAAAGGTTAGGGTGGGGCCATGAGGGGAAGTTTAAATAGCAAGAGGGTAAAGCCGAAGCCGCCAGGTTGGGTCCACTTCACTAAATGTGATGGGTAACTGGGTGATGATGAAACCAGCGACAACGATCTAAGTGAGACATCCTCATCTTAATCTGCTCCGTAAATAAAATGTATACGATAACGTTAGCTTGATATGTTAGCTTCCGTTCCGCTAATGGTGCGTTCGCTTTCTCCTCGGAACTCCAAATTTCCCACTGGAAGAACATGAACACGCTCTAAAGTTTGACTTCACTTTACTAAATGCGACGGGTGATTGGGTGAAGATGAAACCAGCGACAACGATCTAAGTGTGAGGCATCATCGTTTTAATCTGCTCCAGCAGCTAAATAAACTGTTTAAGATAACATTAGCTTGATATGTTAGCTTCCATTGCCACCATTGTTATCAGCTAATGGTGCGTTCGCTTTCTCCTCGGAAATTCTAACTTCCCAGTAGGAAAAATCAAATGAAAAAGGACGGCAAAAGGAATGAAGATACACAGTAAATTTAGTTCACAGTAAAGATGTTTGCTTCAGTTTAATTATCAGCTTATAAAACTACAAGGACGATGTTAAAATACAAACTTGTATGTTATTTATCGTGATATTTATCAAATATGGTTATATATTGAGAAAAATATATATTTAATTATAAAAGAGAATTAAAATATTAAACACTCAAAAGTATCTAAAATTGGTACCGTTAAGTACCGGTATCGATTCCTAGGTACCGGGAATTAGTACCGGATCGATTCAGATGTCAAAGGTACCCATTCCTACCCGCGACCCTGTGAGGATAAGCGGGTACAGAAAATGGATGGATGGAATTACTTCAGTTTAAGTTAGTAACAGGAAAAGTGCCACCGGCTTAATCTCAATCTCACAGAGTGCGACATTAAGACATGGATGTTAGTTAGGGATGCACGTTTACCTAAATGTCTTTAACCGGCTATCAACGCCCCTTAACGGTTAATAGCCGGTTAACCGGAAGCCCCGAGTTGAACACTGAAGAACACAAGGGCTCGGCGACTTCACAGCAGCTCTCCTGTAATCATGCTTTGGTTAAAAAAAATACTGTTTCCTTTAAAGGGAATTGGTTGGTTTAAAGTGTGACGGTTGGAGACAATTTGGAAACTCCCTTTGGATTCCAGTTGGAGTGTGTCACCAACTGTTGAAGCCCAGTCAGACGCTGGCCCCTCAGCTACGTTAGCCAGCAGCTGCCTCAGTGCTTTCACAAGCACGTTCTTATGGATGGTCGCTGGGAACCAGTCAGAAGTGTTGACCCCACCCAAAGGATTCTTAAGTCTTACCAGCCTGCCAGGGCTGTTTCTGGGGTGATTTTCTACCCCAATGATCTGTTTTTAGCCCAGATAGGATTAAAATAATCCCAGAAGCAGAGGAAATCGGGCTTTTGTCAAACTCTTCAGCAACAAGTTCTATTAACCAACTTCACTGTGCAAAAGTCTTATTTGTCCATCAGGGATGGCAAATTCTATAGAGTCATCTGGGAGAGACCATCACACAGAGGAAACCTGGGCTATGATTGGATTAATCAGTGGTCCAGGTCCATGCCAGAGCAAATGGGGTCCTATAGGGACCTAAAGACAAAAGGGACAAGGTACAAAGTTCTGGCTGTGTGCTGTTCATGTCCAGCAGAGGCGTTAGAGCTTCATGAAGTGAAACCACCTTCTAAGTACAACTGTGTGAGTGAGGAAGAAAAGCAAACATCCACCAGACTGACCTTCCTGAAGTCCAGTCCAGTCCCCAGTTTGTGTGAAGAATTATAAAAATATTTAGTTTTGATTCTAATATAAACTGTCTGCAGGGGAAAATGGGACGAAGCACCTGAAAGTTTTAATTTTTGGGTATCTTAATTTCCTACTTTAAAGTTCCGGTGTCGGTACAGGATCTGCTCGGGTGCAAGATCGGCTCGGGGTCCTTCGACTGCCGATGACGTCAAAGTAGTTGATTGGCTGAACATGAACCTTATGGAATTACGTAATCACGTTACGTTGTTATCATGTTACGTTGGTCCAGGCAAATCTTTCTGTTGGGAAGATGGACAACTTTTACAAAGAAATCCATCGTTACCTCTTTGAAAATACACTTTTAGCATAGAGCTGCATGTATATTAAGGCTGAATGATTAACTGCACGTGCAATTAAATTGCGATGTGACAAAAGGAGATTTTCTAATCGCAAAAGCTGCAATTTGGCAGCGAGTGGTTAGCGCAATGCTAATATACATGGAAAAACCCATAGGAATGCTAATGCTAATATCACCGATTACATTCTTACAAATTATGAATTAGAAACGTGCCAAATGATTACATTTGCAGTCTAATAGAAAGTAAAACTACCAATCAAATAAGTACAGACAGGTATTTTAGTAAAGCCAGAAAACTTTTAACTCCAGAGTTTGGCTAGCAGCTATGAGCGTAACTGAACTACGCATGGACAAGACGTCAAAAACTCTAAACACAAAATACTTCAATAAACGGGACACACTTCTTTCCTGCTGTAGGAGAAACTGGCTTGCTTAGCCATATTTGTAGCGTTGTGGTTTTATGCTCTTTTATGAAAGAGGAACCATGCTACGTATTAATTCGGAATATTAATTTTTAATAAATCAATAACCAAATTTTATATTGTTAAGAAGACTCAAAGGTTGTTTTCATCGATAAACTGACGATAATATCTGTGTGTCTGTGTTTCAGTTCAATGAGGAAACCAGTTTGACAATTAAAAGTTTTAATTCTTCAAATTAAACTAATGATTTTGAAATTGACAAACATGGGAATAACAATCAACATTGGCAACTTGTGGGACAATCTTTAACAGTTGATATGATCAAATAGACCTTGTGGTGAATTTATGAAGATTGAGAATGTTGTGACATGAATGCGTGTGTGAGTCTGATTTTGCTTCAGGAAGAAACAGGTGTCTGAGTGAAGTGATGGTTTGGATAAACTTAGGTCTTATCAGAGAACTGCATCAAACGCTAAACACCGTGCTCTGTCTCACCGAACTCTTGTGGACCCTCTTTCGGATCCGGGCCGTGGAGGATGGTGGTGGTTCATCCAGATGACACCAGCGGCTGACAGGGGAGACGTAGGTGTCGAACGGAACCGGTCCAGAGTTGCCCTCGGTACACGTTGATGGTAAAGCGTTTAGTCGATGCGCTTTCTTAAGTTAATTCACTCAGAAATCAAAGACTCTAGTCTACGTTAGAAGTTGCGATTCAGCTGTCCTGTCTGGCTAACAGGAACAGCGTGAGAGGGGGGGAGAAACGAGCCAACCGGTTCTGTCCCCCCCTTTAGCGTTTATTCAGGTCCTCTCTCTTTCGTTGTCAAGCACGAACTGAAATCATAAGACTGAAACTTACCAAAAACCTTTCTCCTCTCAAAGCAAACGTGTGCGTCAGCAAATGTGTTTTGGAGTTTACTGTGAGCAGATGTGCGTGGGCGTGTTTGGGTGTGTGAAGAAGCAGGAGTGTGAAGGTCGTTACCAAACATTCTCAACATTAACATTTAATTAAGAATGGATTAATTAAATCTCTTATAATTACCCAAAGCATAATAGTCATTCATTTGATTAAAACACATTTATAATGAGCAAATTGATGATTAAACTTTTAACATTCAAAACAAGAAAAGGAAGTTTAAACTTCATGTTTTGACTTGTTCTGGGTACAACTCATGGAAACACGTCTTCTGGACGCTGCAGGTGGCAGATGTTATGGTTTCCTCCCAGACTCGCTGGCGTTCAGGTCTTAATCTGTGGGTGAAAGTTCTCAGCGACCCAGCTTTGACCCAGCTGAGTCCAACACCACCTTTGTGACAGAAAACCCATATTTCCTCACGTTACACTGCAAATACAATTTCACAGGTGTTTCTAATACCTATGATCCTTCAAGGGATGTGCTCAAAGAGGAGTTCAACATTATGAATACAATATAGTGTTTTATTTTACAAATACCAATATAAACACAAACTTACGTCGTAAGAAACATTATTTTAATAATGAAACTGCTAAATTCTTTCCAACAGTATAGATGTGTAGTGTATTTTTTCTGAGTGGGTTTGCCGTACTTTGACGTCATCGGCAGTCGAAGGACCCCGAGCAGATCCTGTACCGACACCGGCATCACCAAGGGGCTAAACCCTGCAGCCCGCCTGCATTAAAGCAGGAATAACCCATCTCATCAGTGTGGTTTGAATCTTTATAGCTTTGGGTTGTTGCTTGTTTGCTAGTTTTATTAGTTAGACATTCACTCGACAAATAACTAAGCCAAGCGTTTAACCAGAGCATGCCTCTCTGCATCTTCCCAGTAATGAGATGTAACTGGTGTTTTACAGCTGCTGGGAATGGCCCTAGTTGGAATTGGACTCTGGGCGTGGAGTGAAAAGGCGAGTACACACACACCCCTCCTTGTGGGATTCCTTTTCTTTTTTCACTAGTAAAGATGGCGGCAGGTCTTGATGATGTAACAGATCTGGCCTCATTATGGGATGCCTAACTCACTCTGTTTTCACTCGCTGTCTCGGTTCTGCAGGGAGTTCTGTCCAATATTTCATCCATCACAGATCTGGGAGGTTTGGACCCTGTCTGGCTCTTCATGGTGGTCGGAGGGGTTATGTTCATTTTGGGATTTGCTGGATGCATTGGAGCGCTTCGGGAAAACACATTTCTGCTGAAGTTTGTACGTTCCCGTTCTGCACACAGGAGTGAAAAACCGCAATAACATTTCGTTGTTTTTCTGTTTTCACCGATTCTCCTCCCGCTTCAGTTTTCTGTATTCCTAGGAATCATCTTCTTCTTGGAGCTGACAACTGGAGTTCTGGCTTTTGTCTTCAAAGACTGGATTAAAGATCAGCTTAATCTGTTCATCAACAACAACATCCGGGCCTACAGGGATGACATCGACCTGCAGAACCTTATCGATTTCACTCAGGAATATGTAAGTCAGTTATTGATGCATCAAATGCATTTTTAGCCAACACTAGATCTCTCTTGGGTATTTAATTTTATTTTTATTTAACCAGGAACATCTCACTAAGATTAAAAACCTCTCTTTAGAGGAGAACTGGCGGCAGCAAGTATTTAAACATGGGGTCAAAGATGACACAGTTAGCCTCATAGAAAAAAAAACATTTGGTTGAAACAAAGGAAAATATTTACATCAGTTTAAATGACACCGTTAAGTGGGCGGGTCGAGCCAGGCTCGGATACCAAAGAAAGATGGGCCTTTATGCCCCTTTTCCTGACTGACGCGGCTGATCTTACCGCAGCTCTGTTGTTTCCAACATGGCTCTGGTGTGAGGGGATCTGTACGTTGTACAAAAGCACAACAATGTGGAACGTTCTGCTTTGTCGCCGGCTTTTTGTCTGACTGTGAACCTGGAAATGGCTGCCAGACAGCAGGCGGAAAACTCGGGAGTGACCGGTAGGGTTGGGCACCGAGCATCGATTGGAACCGGTTCCAGCTGTTAGTTTTTCCCGGAATCGTTCAAAGTTATTTTTTTTATTCCTAGTTCCAATTCCTAGAATGCCGACTGGAGAGGAATCCGCGGCCGATCTTGGTGAAAAATAAACGTGATCTGCAAATTGTGATCAACGCTTTTCAGAGCTGATCACACAGCTGTCTGTGTGCAGCACGAGTCCCCCCTCCCCCCACCCAGATATAAACAAACGCGTCTGCCGAACTTTTACTCCGTGATGTAAACTTTAACTCCTGCAGCGTAGAGAAAACGTGTTAAATACGTCAACACGGTGGATTTAATGTGTGAGTGAGTGTGTTTGTGTGTGTGTGTTAGGGTTGTCACGGTAACCGGTGTAGCGGTAAACCCCGGTAAAAAAGTTGACAATAATAATAACCGTCTTGTTTTTTAAAACATATATTTTCTCGGTGGATTACCGTGGCTGCGGTGTAGGCGCGGTGACCCTTACCAGCCACCGTATCAGCTGCTGAAGTTGCCGGCGGCACATGCGCGCTTTGTTGTTTACAACCAAAACTTTCTTGAAGCTAAAGCTGAAATAATGGCCAAAGGAGGAAACGGCAGCGCTCAGGACATTTATTATCCCTCAAAGAAGACAAAGTGGGAAGTACGGGCATTTTTTGGATATTTGAAGAATGTCGAGGGACAGCTGATAGAAGACGGCTATCCTGTTTGCAGCACGTGCAGAAAAAGTGTCTGAAAGGCAGCAACGCTTCAAATCTCATGACACATCTGCGTGACCATCACCCACAACTCTACAGACAACGCAAGGCAAGCTAGCGTTAGCGTTTTAGCTAAAATGCGTGATCCGAGGATTTGGGTTGAGGGAGAACGCAACGAGTCGCTATATAAAGCAGCCGCAGCGCCGCTACCTGCATATAAACCGTGTCGCGGACACCGCCATGTTGAAATGACGCTATGCATTACGGGGCTCCCAGGGGCCGATAAGAGTTGGTCTCTCTCCGAGAATAATTATGAATTTAACAACGATTACTGCCTGATGACATTTTCCCACATCTGCAAAGCTCACTGGAAGGACACAAACCGAGGACGATATTTTCCTGATATAGGGTTTATTACTCAAGTAAGGGTAAAAAAGTATCTGATTAGAAGGCTACTTGAGTACTTATTATCATCTAATCTAATGTTTTTAAAATGATGACATCAAACAGACATAAAATAAGAAGTTATGGGCAAATATTTGTATTTTAAAGACTAAAGGGGAAAAAATGTAAACAAATAAACAACATAATTACAAAATAACACATTTTAGGCAGAATTTAGACACAAACTCAGGACAATATTTTCCTGACATACAGGGTTTATTTAATTGTCTGAAAATGTAACACGTTTAAAAAATACCGTGATAATTTTGGTCACAATAACCGTGAGGTTAAATTTTCACACCGTGACGAGAGAGAGAGAGAGAGAGAGAGAGAGAGAGAGAGAGAGAGAGAGAGAGAGAGAGAGAGAGAGAGAGAGAGAGAGAGAGAGAGAGAGAGAGAGAGAGAGAGAGAGAGAGAGAGAGAGAGAGAGAGAGAGAGAGAGAGAGAGAGAGAGAGAGAGAGAGAGAGAGAGAGAGAGAGAGAGAGAGAGAGAGAGAGAGAGAGAGAGAGAGAGAGAGAGAGAGAGAGAGAGAGAGAGAGAGAGAGAGAGAGAGAGAGAGAGAGAGAGAGAGAGAGAGAGAGAGAGAGAGAGAGAGAGAGAGAGAGATGTGAACATTTTAATTTCCTTTCTGAAATCGTTCTGTTGAGTTTTAATGTTTAAAATCTGTTAGATTGTTACTGACAGCAGCTACATTTAAGTTTCACTTCCTGTTCTGACTGAACGCTGCTGCAGCATGGAGGTGTAGTTCTCAGTCATCCTGGACATGATCATCCTGAGAGTTTTAGTTGAAAACAGCCGGACGTTTCTGGATATGTTGGAGACATTTAGCCTCTCGTCCCAGAGGCTTCTTCCAGACTTTGGTTGTGGTCAGAAACAAACACACTGGTTGTGCTGCAAGTCTTTTTCTTTTGTTCTCCAAAACATGTTTTTGTCCAAATGAAGGTGATGTTGTTCATAGAGTTAAAATTCATGTCGAAGTTAAGATTATTTCATCAAGTAGGACCTGTGGTTAGCTGGCTCATGTAAAGCATGAATCGTGAAAGAATTGGAATCGGGGATCGATAGGAACCGAAATTGAAACGAGGAATCGGAATTGTTCAAAATCAAACGATGCCCTACCTCAGTGACCGGCACTCGCTACATCGCGTTTTCAGCCCGGCACGGCACCCTTGGAGCTAGGGCTGCAACTAACGACTATTATAATAGTCAACGATCAGTCGACTAATCGGATAATTATTAAAATTTTCTTAAATTTAGAATGAGATTGCTTTAATTATGTGAAAAATTATAATAAACACAAGAAAGATGGGTACTTCAATGGAAAATGCATATTTTATTGAACTTTGCTGCTGATAGGCTGATTCATACTAAAGTAAATAAAACTGCCCTGTCTAACACCAATTAGGCACAGTGCTCAGTCAGTATAGACATAAATCCATAAATAAAATAAATAACATTAAATTTCTCTTTTTTTTTTAAAGCGAAAGTACGTTTAAAAAAATGTACATCCAAAACAAAACCTAGCTGCTTTCGTGTTATTTAAGTCCTACCGAGGTGAGTTAGACTCTGTTTCATTCAACTGTCCGACGTACTTTCTCTGTAAGTGTCCATGCATCACCCTGGTGCTGCCGTGATACGCGAGGACTGCTTTACAAATAATGCAGGTAAACTTTCTATTCGCCGAATCCCGGCTAGAACGCTTCCAAACTTTTGATGCTTTGGTACGCGTAGCTGCTGTGTCAGACGCCGCCATTTTTGTTAGTCTACGTTCAGCAGAGAAGCTATTGCGCATGTGCGACTCTCGGCAGAGATTGTAATGAAGTGAGATGCCTCACTCGGTTGGAAAAAACACGTCTGGTGACTGTTTGTATTGTCGATACTTGTCGACAACGACGACGAGTCGATGCAGTCCTACTTGGAACCACATCCAAGCAGGTACTAAAAAGTCTACAGCGGACACGGACCAGTCACAGATGGCAATGCTGTCCAACCCGATCTAACTATTTTGAGTTGTGTTGTTGGACAAAGGGCACAAGTATGGCTAGGAGCACAACAGAGGAGAGCTGGTCCCATTATAATTCCTCCAGGTGTGGCGCTTGGTGTGGTGTAAAGAAGTGCTAAAAAACTGGATCAGTTGTGCTCAGCAAAAAAGTCTAGCATTACAGTTTTTGCCTGATATATCAACAGATGTCGTCAAGCTGCACCTCTGAACACTACAGGGCCTGGGCTACAAGACCTTTTTCACAGGCTCCAAACACAAGAAAACTACAATGAATCATGACAAATGGCTCTTCATGAAGAAAAAAACAAAAAGGAAAACAGATATTTTCTTGTTATGTTTTGTAATTTGCAGAAGCGGGCAGTAACTTTTTCCAAATGAAATTTATTACAGCAGGAGGGACAAACATACTCGGCATTCATCTTGTAACCCCCAGCAGAACTCCCCCTGAACTCTACACTAAACCTCTATATATGTTAGCAGTGCTCTGCTGCCCCCTATTGGTCGGTTCTGTACTCAACATTTACAAGGTTCAATTTACACTTCATCAACAACACATATCCTAATTTTTACACACCCCATTAAATCTCACAGTGGTTATCTTTATAAGACCAAAGTAATCAAATAGACCTTGTGGTGACAGAAAAATGTCATCTGTGCCTCACTAAGATTAGTTTTCATGGAAAAAACTTGCTGAGTTGCAAATTGTCTTGAATGATTAAAATGCGATTAATCTAGATTAATTAATTACAAAGCCACTAATTAATTAGATTACAATTTTAAATCAAGTCCCACCCCTAATTCAATTTAAAACTGGTAAATAAAAAGATGTTTTAGAGCATTAACTATGCTGTTGTTATCCAGGAACATGAACAATGGTCTGCCCGTGGATGTGCCTGACTTTAAATGGGCTCTACTAAAGAGGTATATATAGGTGTATTAGTAGTCACGGTTTCATCTCTTTTGTCTGGCGTTAGTGGGAGTGCTGCGGCGCGTTTGGAGCAGACGACTGGAATCTCAACATCTATTTTAACTGCACTGATGGAAACCCTAGTCGGGAGAAGTGTGGCGTTCCCTTCTCCTGCTGCACCAAGGACCCAGCGGTACGGCTCACCAGTCTTTCCTCGTTTGTTAATGAGCTCAGTCCTGGCATGACGCTGCTTGCTTCATCTCACTAGACAGAAACAAGGGTGTTCTTTTTGTCTCTAGGAGGATGTAATTAACACTCAGTGTGGATACGACGTCAGAGCCAAACTAGTAAGTCTCCAGCTTCTGCTTCACTTCTAGTCACTGAATAAAAAAATAAACGGTGAGTTAGAGCGTTTCTAGTGTGAGAGACCTTAGTGGAAGTGTGAAGCTGACTGTAGTTGTGTTGCTGCAGGACTCTGAGCAGAAGGACTACATCAACGTGAAAGGCTGCGTGCCTCAGTTTGAGAAGTGGCTGCAGGACAACCTCACCTTGGTGGCGGGGATCTTCATCGGAGTAGCGCTTCTGCAGGTCACCTCTCTTAATGCATTCAAAGGGAAAAGATGGGAGGAAGTCGGTTCCTCTTCATAATTAATGCTGTTGTTGTTTTTTCTCTACAGATTTTTGGAATTTGTTTGGCGCAGAATTTAGTGAGTGACATCGAGGCGGTGAGGGACAGCTGGTAAGAACCATCTTATCTTCAATCAGACTGCCCTGTCTTTACAGTCCAGTCTCCCCTACATTTTCTCAGGTGTGTCGCCGCGGCTATGAAATCAGCTCATCCAGTAGAAAAGGGTTCTCAGATAACTGATCTTTAATGAAGAAACAAGGTTAATTGTTTTTAACTTTAATATGGATTTTATTTTATTTCTAAGGTCTGGATTAGGGATGGGTACCTTTGACATTTGAATCGATCCGGTACTAATACCTGGTGCCTAGGAATCGATACCGGTACTTAACGGTACCAACTTTAGATACTTTTGAGTGTTTATTATTTTAATTCTCTTTTATAATTAAATGTATATTTTTCTCAATTTATAACCATATTTGATAAATATCACGATAAATAACATACAACTGTTTGTATTTTATCATCGTCCTTGTAGTTTTATAAGCTGATAATTAAACTGAAGCAAACATCTTTACTGTGAACTAAATTTACTGTGTATCTTCATTAGCGTTGGGTACAGAATTCGGTACTTTTTAAGGTACCGACCGAACTCCATAGTGCCGACTGAGCACCGATTCACGTCATTTGAAACGGTGCCTCGTTTCGGTACCCGTCCTTCATAACGAGAACTTGCCTAGACAGCTGCGCATGCGCAAGAGTGTTATGTCGTCGGTCGCTGCGAGCCAGTTGTAAACAGAGCAGCATGGTAGAAAGAACGCACGCTAAAGCTTGGGTCCACTTCACTAAATGTGATGGGTAACTGGGTGATGATGAAACCAGCAACAACGATCTAAGTGAGACATCCTCATCTTAATCTGCTCCGGTAGGTAAATAAAATGTTTAAGATAACGTTAGCTTGATATGTTAGCTTCAGTTCCCCTAATGGTGCGTTCGCTTTCTCCTCGGAACTCCGAATTTCCGACTGGAAGAACATGAACGCGCTCTAAAGTTTGGCTTCACTTTACTAAATGCGACGGGTGATTGGGTGAAGATGAAACCAGCGACAACGATCTAAGTGTGAGGCATCATCGTTTTAATCTGCTCCAGCAGCTAAATAAACTGTTTAAGATAACGTTAGCTTGATATGTCAGCTTCCATTGCCGCCATTGTTATCAGCTAATGGTGCGTTCGCTTTCTCCTCGGAAATTCTAACTTCCCAGTAGGAAAAATCAAATGAAAAAGGACGGCAAAAGGAATGAAGATACACAGTAAATTTAGTTCAAAGTAAAGATGTTTGCTTCAGTTTAATTATCAGCTTATAAAACTACAAGGACGATGTTAAAATACAAACAGTTGTATGTTATTTATCGTGATATTTATCAAATATGGTTATATATCGAGAAAAATATATATTTAATTATAAAAGAGAATTAAAATATTAAACACTCAAAAGTATCTAAAATTGGTACCGTTAAGCACCGGCATCGATTCCTAGGTACCGGGAATTAGTACCGAATCGATTCAAATATCAAAGGTACCCATCCCTAATCTTCATTGCTTTTGCCGTCCTTTTTCATTGATTTTTCCTACTGGGAAGTTAGAATTTCTGAGGAGAAAGCGAATGCACCATTAGCGGAACGGAAGCTAACATATCAAGCTAACGTTATCGTAAACCAGGGGTGTCCAATCCTGGTCCTGGATGGCCGGTGTCCTGCATGTTTTAGTTTGAACTCTGTTTCAACACACCTGATTTCAATCAGCAGCTAATTAACATGCTTCTGCAGAGCCTGATGAGCTGCTGCACAGGTGTTTCAACCACTGAATCAAGTCTGTTGGAGTAGAAAAACCACAAAACCTGCTGTATACCGGCCCTCCAGGACCAGGATTGGACACCCCTGTCGTAAACAGTTTATTTACCTACCGGAGCAGATTAAGATGAGGATGTCTCACTTAGATCGTTGTCTCTGGTTTCATCATCACCCAGTTACCCATCACATTTAGTGAAGTGGACCCAAGCTTTAGCGTGCGTTCTTTCTACCATGCTGCTCTGTTTACAACTGGCTCGCAGCGACGACATAACGCTCTTGCGCATGCGCAGCTGTCTAGGCAAGTTCTCGTTATGAAGGACGGGTACCGAAACGAGGCACCGTTTCAAATGACGTGAATCGGTGCTCAGTCGGTACTATGGAATTCAGTCGGTACCTTAAAAAGTACCGAATTCGGTACCCATCGCTAGTCTGGATGTCTGTGAACATTACTGAGTATTCTGATTGGTGTAAATAATACACAATATTATTAATAACAGGTCTGGATGTGGTTTGGTCTGAGGTCTAAAACTCTGCCCTGGGCCTCAAGCCCTGCAGACACATTTAGTTTCTATAAACAACAACAACAACAAATAAACAACAGCAGCTGGATTCTACTTTGTTACTTCAGTTGAGTCACGTAGTTTAACAAGTTCTGCACGCTCACACATTCACCAGCAGCTCTGCCAGCTGATTGGTTCTTTAGTAGCTAGTGACATCATACAGGTCTGGTACTGAGCAGCATGGATGCATCAGAGGATTTCTCTGTAGGCGGTGCCCCCCGACCCCCAGAGGCAAATCTCAACACCCACACTTTACAAAAGCTAGCTACGCCCCTGCACACACACACACATTCTCCTCCTCCTCCACCCCCCTGCTCTCACAGATGGAACGATGTTCTGGTGAAAAATCTTTTTAATAAGCTGCATTTGTTAAAATCAGACCATATTAAACATGTGTTTTATGTTGGTTTTCAGTAGTAACGGTGTTTGGGACTCAGCTTCTGACTGGTGAAAACCAACAGTTTGGTAATGCCGTACACCGGGGTCAAACCTGGAGGAAGCATGAGCGTGTGGACACCGGCCAAGCCTAGTTTAGAGGGACAAGTCCCGTAGAACTCGTTGGTCCGGGTCACGGCTGATTGGATGATCAGAAGTTGACGTTTATGATGTTTCATCGGTGATCTGGATTAAAGCTGGAACTTGTTTGTCGAGTGACGCTTTGTCAAGTGACGCTTCTGGTAATGGATCAGGGTTTCCATTAGAACACTCACCTGCACCCTCACTCTTCCTCCCTCATGCTTCATCATCAGGGCACCCTCACCTCTCTCCATGCGTCGACTTCCACTTCATTCCAGCAAGAAATCCTTGGCGTACTGCTCATGAGTGTATGTAGCTGGTGGGTGTGGCAGCTCCATGTTTTGTCCTCTAGGAGGTGTGTGTGTGTGTGTGTGTGTGTGTGTGTGTGTGTGTGTGTGTGTGTGTGTGTGTGTGTGTGTGTGTGTGTGTGTGTGTGTGTGTGTGTGTGTGTGTGTGTGTGTGTTGTGTCCCTCAGATCTGGAGTAATGTGAACCATCAGCTCGTCTTTAGAGTCTCTCAGTTTAATCCCATCCATAATCACGTGGAACGGGTCATTTATCAACCAGCTTGTTGTTGACCCGATGCAGCATTTCTTCTTTTGGTCTAATGTGTGGCCCGGCTAGCTCCTGCGGCTAATGGGGCTTTTTGTTACGTTCTACTCAAAACTGGGTCCAAACAAGCTGGTTGGCTCAAACACTTCCTTTAGAGTTCAGGCCTGACCAGAATCCCACTGGGCCTCCTACGTGCCCTCAGCGTTTGGGTGGTTGTAGGTTTCCTCCTCTGCCTGTTCTGCCCTTCAGTTTAAGCCGGGCGGACACTGTGCGACTTTTTCACTCGTAGCACTCGGCTTCAGCTCAAACTGTACGACTTCCTCGCAGGGCAGATCTCACGAGCCATGCGCTCACACTGCACGTCTGGTAGCAACACATCAGTGCTAAAAATATGCTAAAAATAGCAGTTTTTACTCAACACGTCAGACTTTTTTGTTTTGCCTGTTGTCCTTCGGGAGTGCTGCAGGAGGACACACAGGGATTTATGGGGGTTGGATGAGGAAACGAAATAAATAAAGTAAATCTGTGTTTTGTGATCAGTTTAATTTGACATGAACACGACAAACACGCTTTCTTGACAATCTTTGGGAGTAAAAAAACGTGTAGAAATGAAAACAAACATGTGTTATTAGGGGAATAGCGGGCGAGCGGTGCTGATGCAGGATTGCGCATGCGCCGTGAGCGGTTCTGATACTTTTTGGGTCGCAGCTGCTCGCAGCGCCGCTTCAACAGTGCGATACCCTCACGAGGGACGAGCGAAATATCAAACACGCCAGAAGTCCGTGCGAGCTCATGATTGCTGATCGGTAGCTGGTCACGTGGTGTTAATCGCCTCTCGTAACCCCCTGTACACTACACGACGCTCGGCGCAAAACTCGCCCCGATGTCGTGGATTCTCGCACGAGTGGAAAATCGACTCAAAGTGAAAAAAGTTGCACAGTGTCCGCCCGGCTTTAGATTTAGATTAGCTCTTCAGGAGGTTCAGTCACTGTGTTCACATGACTCTCTCTGTTCTTCTTTCAGTTTCTTCACCTAATGCTGAGAGGATTGCCCCCTGCTGGGAAGGTAACTTCTCCTCTTCACTCATTTGAATCCAAACCAAAAGTGCCGAGTCTCTGAGGATCGTGTTGTTTTGTCTTTCTGCCTCAGCTCCATCTTCGAAGGCCTCTCGGGGAACATCACCGATCACCTTCAGTTCTACACTGAACCAGCATCTTTTTAAGGCACTAATGTTTGAAACGTTCTGTACATAAACTCTCTGTGTGTGTGTGTGTGTGTGTGTGTGTGTGTGTGTGTGCGTGCGTGTGTGTGTGTGTGTGTGTACACCTGCAGACACCTTTTTAGCACTCCTGAAATATTTCACAGAAGACGAGCTGATGAAGGTTTTTTTAACGTGCAAACGGAAATTTAAAACTACTAATATGGCGGCTGGGTGTAAACCGCTACATCCTCAGCACCACAGCTTCACGTAGCAACGTTCTTTATAGCTGGTGTCTTAGGCAAGACGGTTATAAAATGTCAAGAATGCAGCAACTTGGACTTCCTCCTCTGCTCCTTCAAGAGATTAATTTTTATTTCCTGAATCCTAAAAATAACCGAAAGCACGACTAAGCAGGAAGTACACCCAGAGAACGTCGAGGACTTTATTCTTCATACAACAAGAACGCGACTCACACTGTCAGTTTAGGTCGGACTCGAACCAGTTCAGTTATGAGTTTTACTTTTAGGATGAGATTTTACGATTTTGGTACCCATTTTCTAATAAAACCCACCAGGAAACATCCCAGCAGTACTTAGGTTCCACTTTTAAGAGTCTGAAGTTTGGAAAGTCAGCGGTTTTCGTCCCATCTGTATAAACGTGTAAATACGATGTGTTAAAGCCCCGTGGTCTCGCGTCGGGTGTAGATCGGACCTTTTCCAACAGAAACGGGCCTTTCTGACAGCGATTAATAGTTTGTGCACTCGGATGAAAAACCTGTACCCCTGATTGTTTCACTCTGTGTTCTCATGCAGATGTCATCACTTTACGCTCAGATTTTCTATGTTTGGAGGTGAAATGTGTTTGTAGCAAAGAATTCTGGGTATTTTTTCAAGCAGTGGTCTTTGTGGTAAGGTGGGTTAACTTGTGAGGAAGTGTTACCTAAAGGGATCAGCACTGTTTTGATACTAAATATTGTTTTTTTTAACACATTTAGTACCACATAAGGTAACCTCTGGAGATTGTAAACTGAACTAGAGGCGCTGTGCAGTCTTGCGTCTCACGCACCACTTCCTGTACAACCTTCACTGTAAATACCACAACCGTCTGATGTAACTACCTCCTCATGTCCCCGTCTCATGTCCTGCTCACGCTGATTTTAAAGTAAATGACTGGAAAATACATTTTGTATGTCTGTCTTGAGATGGATTGAGACGCTGCTCTGCTGAAACTAAAAGCTAACACACACACACTTAACTGTTTCACGTCCCACACACCGTCTGGCACTTCCTGGACCAACACCTTCAGCGTCTCACCGCTGATAGAGTTCAATTCAAGTTTATAAAGTGCCAAGAAACTCAGCAGGTCGCATCGAGTCACTGACTAGTGTCAGAGTCTTTACAGCAATCCTCATACTAAGCAAGCATGCAGCAACAGTGGAGAGGAAAACTCCCTTTTAACAGGAAGAAACCTCCAGAGAATCCTGGCTCAGTATAAGCAGCCATCCTCCATGACTCACTGGGGATGGAGAAGACAGAGCAGACACACACACACACACACAAAGCAATGTGTCTATAGTTATATTGTGATGTCTTAGTAAATATTCTATTTGATGAGAGATCAACTTTATTGTATTTATCCTAGTGAATCTATAATTAAACGGGTAAACTAGTAGTAGCACATCCAACGTCAAGGAAAGCAAAAAGTTATTATCAGGAGAGAGAGAATGTTTTAGTGGTTAGCAGCAGTGTGCTAGTCGATGGCCCCCTCCATGAGGCCACCACAGCTCAGCAGAACATCATCGTAGCTTCTTCTGGGGAGAAAAACACTTAGAGAAAAAATAAAGTTAACAGCTGAAATTGCAGAAAATAATACAGTTAAAGAGCAGATTGTAGAAGAAAGCAGTAGAGTGTGAAAAGTGGTCAGTGTATCCTCCAGCAGTCTAAGCCTATAGCAGCATAACTACACAGAAAACTCTGGATAATCCAGCCTATTTAGATGGAGGCAGGGCAAGGGAGAGCCGTCTTTACCGACTGTACACTCCACCTCCCTCTACTCCCCCACTTGTCCAAATCTAGGCTAACGTCAAATTTTAACCATAAATAAAAATGTTTTAAGCCTATTCTTAAAAGTAGACGAGGTGTCTGCCTCACGGACTAAGGCTGGGAGCTGGTTCCACAGGAGAGGAGCCTGATAACTAAAAGATCTGCCTTCCATCCTATTTTTAGGTATTCTGGGAACCACCAGTAAACCTGCAGTCTGAGAGCAAAGTGCTCGGTTAGGAACATGTGGAACACACTTGAGAAGTTTTATTTAGACAACCTCAGCCTGAAGTAACAAAAATCATAACAAATCCAGAATAAATGTAGGCAGATTAGTTTAAATCCATACATTATTTGTTTAGATAAAAACAGACCGATTACCGCCACAAACACAGCAGCTTCATCTGATTCCCCAGGTGGATGTGAACAGGTAAAGGGGCTCCACATCAGATTGTAATCCAGGATTGGCATTAACTGTAAACTCCATCTGAAAAGACTCAAACGTTACGTGAAATTCACTCTTTTTTTTGTTCTTAAGATGTTTTATGATTTGTTTTGATCTTTGGGATTCTTCTCGCTGGGATAAGTTACGTAGAGAACTTTTATTTCAGCAACACAGACACCAAACAACATTCAGGTATCATCTTTTATTAGCCGAGTCCTCCAAACGTACAACTCATGACATTTACAACAAATGCTTATAGTTACAGTATTAAACTCGTTACTATGGATACATCTCCACAGGCATGTGACTACAGCAGATCACAAATCTGATAAATAACCATTCACACCATAAAAATAAAAGGTTGTGGCCCATACCAGGGAACACATCGGGTGACGCCACGGTGTCGGACATGCTCAGGTGTGCACGTTGGCAGAACCCCTCTGACAAGATCGGCCAGAGGGATCACAGCCCCCCCCCCCAGCTCATCTACAATAGATTAAAAATAAAACCTCACATGGATCTTAATGTTTGTGTCAGACAGATGTTGCACCGGCTGGATGCTGATGTTTATTCTGCCACAGACATCTCTGATTCATCTCCTCCTCCCAGTGCCATTTCAGACTCATTCGTGTTTATTTTCCTTATTCTAGTCAGATGGTTACAGGACCGACACGATCATGTTAAAGTTGCTGTGAGACTGCTAGGACAGGCCACATTCGGCAGATCCAGTCAATTGTGCTGTCCCTCTGCTTATTTCAGCTGAGAAAGGCACACCTACTGGTTTGTTCCTAATAAAGCTTGGTTTATGCTTGACGCGTTCACTTCCCGCTTGGTGATGCGGCGTGCGGATGGAACGCGCTTCACAGCCCGCAGCGTTTATGGTTCATGTGGCTTGTCTCAGCGGTGAGCCAATATTCTCCCAAACTGTAGGGGGCAGCATGGAGCTCTACGGCATGCATCCAACACTACACCATAGTAGAAGTAGAAATGACTGTTGTTTACAACATGGCATTTCAGCGTTTTTTAACAGCGTCCTCGTCTTTTCCGACAGTGCGAGCTATTTCTCTCCAAGAATTATTAACATGTTGATCACGGTGATCTTTGAGAGCTGAATCATACAAATGTCTGTATTTACGAACCTCTGCCGTACTAGTTCTTGCCAGTCCGCCATGTTTTTCCACGTCCGACCGTCCGCGTGGTTAGAAAATTTCCTAGGTGCGCGGTGCGGAAAGTTAGGGCCGTGCGGAGGCGCGGTGGAGGGGCGTGGTTGTTAAAATGACGCAATTTTGCCGCGCGAACCTCGCAGACGCGTCAAGCATAAACCAAGCTTTACTCAAACTAAGCTGCACCCAGTCCTACTCTGGACCTGTTACAGACTTGTTGCTGGTCGCTCTTCCTCCAACCGGTGCCGTTTCAGACCCGAGCCTCTGCAGCTCACACGTGCACAGCTGTTGGATCAAACTGCCTAATCCAGGTCCTAAAAACAATAGTCAGAGAGGAGTGTGCAGGAGCGTCGGTGGAGCACGGGGCAGGCGGGACATGGAAACCGTCACAGCTTCAACAGGACGACAACATGCACAGCTTCTAGTCAGGTTATACTCCAGCTACATGGGACGTTAGTATGTACATCATTGATGGCTGCGTTTAAATAATGTGATAAAAATCCTTTTTCATGTGGATGACGTCACAGCTACGGTCATTATCAACTATTGCGTCAGGCTGCTGACGGCGCCTCGGCTCCCAGGGATCCACGGACACGGGACTCCCGTCTTCGTCTGGTGAACATCCACGATCACGAATCACTCCACTGTGTTTGATAGAAGGGATTTCCATCTTTGGAGCTTGAAATAAAGTTTTTGTCAGCCTGCTAACCCACCTGAAGAACTCTCCTCGTTATGGCTTTTAAAAGGCGAACACCTTCATCTCAGAGTTTCCAACGGGTTCAGTGGCTTTACAGCATAACAGCTGCTCAATTTTCAGGTGGGTTTAACAAAAGAAAAATGGCGGACTTCATATCTTCTGATCTGTATTGAGCACAAAGTATTGCACATCAGTCTAAGTCTATTGATGTGGGAGGAAGTCGAGGACAGAGGCGTGGCTGGCAGTTACTGTGACATGGTACCTTGGCACATGACGATGGAGCACGAGGGAGAGCAGTTATGAAATATCAGCTGGGTAATTAGGTGAGTCAGCAATCGTGTGTGTGTGTGTGTGTGTGATGGAATAAAGTCATTTAGCTCTGAGCAGTTAGCCGCTGCTCCGTGAGCGAGGCCTGATGTGACACGGTCTTGTTTTCGTGAGCTCTCAGCTTGGACACCACATCGATGAACGCCAGGTTCTGCACCTCTTTGTGGAGAGGCTCTGGAAGATGAGAAAACATAATACTTTCACTTTAGGCTTTTCCCTTTGGGCATCAACTAAGCCAATCTCCGGTCTCCATTATTCCCAGTTTGCCACTACCAGTCCCAGTTACCGGCGAGCTTAGACTTAAGCCTGATTTATGCTTCTCCGTCTGCGTCAGTGCGGAGACACGCAACGCCATTATCCGTCCTTGCGTAGGGCTCCGACAGGCACGCAAGTACGTACGGAGTCGAGCCCACTTTTTTAAACATCCGTCGAACGAGACGGATTACGCAAGCTTGTGATTGGTCAGGACGCCGCTGTTGTTTACAGCGCCGCCATTGCAAAGAGAGCCGAGGATAACTAGCGGCAGACACGGAGCAGCTTGAAGAATACCATGCGAAAAAACTCTAAAAACATGAATGTTTCATTCTCCCGTGACTGGAGGAGTGAAAAGATGCGCAGCAAGCGTTTTATTTGTGGACGGAAACGACAGGAAACGTGGGTTTAGAGGTGGCGAGCGCATGAAGCGGTGGGAGAATGAGAGACAAATATGTCCGTGTTAAAAGTCTCTTATATACACAAAAAACACAATATAAACACACGATCTTGGACCGATACATGACAGGATACCACAGAACAGCGCTACGCCCTCTGGTGTCCTGCCGGGGAATTGCTTTGCAACACTCCCCAGGAGACGGAGAAGTATGCAAAACGCTTCCGTCAATCCGTGCGTGTCTGTCCCTTGCGGAGCTGACGGAGAAGCATAAACCAGGCTTAACACGTGAAGCCAGTCGACAGAGAGACAAACAAAGAGAAATTGCCAACAGGCTGCTAATCGTTGGGTTGTTTCCTGCAGCACCAGAGCTGGCCGTGGCAGCTACAGGTGTTCTGCAGGGAAAAGTTTGCCCGCCGGCCGAGACGCCGCCCGCCTGCTCCGGCACGAGAACATACATATGCAGCTGCATATTGGGAGATTAAACAACTTGAAATAAAAGAAACGCTGCTACTTTAAATACATTCATAATATAAATATGTGTACTTCCTACATAAGTGAAAGTGAAACTTAAAGGACAACATGGATCTGTTTTCTTCTTATTTTGGGACTCCGTATCGGCAGACGCTGAAAATCTAATGACTCCGAATCGGATCAGGAGCAAAAAGGCATTTTAGCCCATAAAGAGAGCGGGGCGGAGTCTCACCTGAGCCCATGACTGCACAGATGAGGATCATGGAGTTGTATTTAATCTCAGGAGCACTTCTTTCATCGGACAGCAGCTTGTGCAGAACCGACACCAGGCTGGATCCAACAAAGTCCTTCTCCGCTGCAGCTGGACACAAACACAGTGGGTTACCTTCAGAAGGAGGTCATCACTTGTCTGCATACACTAAAGCCAGTCATCACAAAGTTCAGGATGTTAACATGTGGGCCGTAACTCAGAGAGAAATACTACAGTTTCTCAGTCAAGCAGTTAACCAACAACTATAATTACAACAGTAGGTCACGGAGAGCCGGTTCCCATCTCTAGAAAAACAGTTTGCGCAAAATCATCTTTTTAAGGCGTTTCCGAAATATAGACCCCATCCATCCATTTTCATCCGCTTATCCGGAGTCGGGTTGCAGGGGCAGTCCAAGTCGAGAGGCCCAGACTTCCCTCTCCCAGCCACTTGGGCCAGCTCCTCCAGGAGAATCCCAAGGTGTTCCCTGGCCAGGTGAGAGACATAGTCCCTCCACCGTGTCCTGGGTCTTCCTTTAGGTCTCCTCCTGGTTGGACGTGCCCGGAAAACCTCACCAGGGAGGCGTCGAGGAGGCATCCTGACCAGATGCCCGAGCCACCTCAACTGGCTCCTCTCGATGTGGAGGAGCAACGGATCTACTCCGAGCCCCTCCCGAATGTCCGAGCTTCTCACCCTATCTCTAAGAAAGAGCCCAGCCACTCTGCAGAGAAAACTCATTTTGGCCGCTTGTATCCGCGATCTCGTTCTTTCGGTCACTACCCAAAGCTCATGACCATAGGTGACCCTGCCTGCTCTCGGCAGTGACCTAAAAGATGAGCGTTGCCTTTGAATATTTACTACTGTAAAATTAAATAATAGAAATTTTACTAAAACAAAAAGTTTAAATACTAAAATCCTCTCTCTCTAAACAATGCTCAAGTATTATAGTGCAAGAAGCTGATGTCCTCTTGTGGTGACCCGGGGTCCAGGGTGGGGTAAATGCTATTGACCTATGTTACAAGTTTGCTGCTGACGTGCAGATTAACATAAAAAAAGCATCTGTCCAGGTTCTTACCCAAATCCAGAGCTGCGATGAGGCCCAGAGCCACCAACGCTTCATTCTGCATGATCATGTGCTCACTGGTTGCCATGGTAACAAGGTGCTTGACTCCTCCTCCCTGGATAACAGTCCTGACAACTTCCTAAAAGCAAAAAGAAAACCAGACTCCCTCAGAGGTTACAGGAAACCACAGACCGCCAACTCTGCCCCGTCTGTCGTGTCCAGGTCTGCGACGGCCCCAGATGGTCTGTTTGTGCGATTCTGTCCAGACTGACTAAAGGCGCATGGGTAATAATAATAATAATACATTTTATTTCAAGCGCCTTTCAAAGCTCTCAAGGTCACTGTACAAGACAGAATATAAGGAACAGCAAGCAATACAAACAACAAAAAATAAGTGCTAAGAGTAATTCCCACGGCTAGAGTCAGAGCAGTACAATGGATAATAGACTAAAAAGAGTAGATGAAGGAGGACAGTTACAACCAGGCCCCCACAATGCGGCTCAAAAATTGAGCCAAACCCGGAAGTACCAAAAGTTGCAGTTCCACCCTCATCCTCTAGGGGCTGGTGTCAGAAGCGAGCAAATCCTCATTGACTCCCATGTTAAAAATACCAATTTCACAGCAGAAATAAACATGTTTACAGCCTGGTACCAAAACATGTTTTAGGTTTAAATGATCTAGTTTACACTCATGACAACTCTGAGGGGGGTGAATTTTTTCTCACTCTTCTGTTTAAGTGTATTAAAAGCCTAAAATTCTGTATAATTAATGAGCATCAGACCCACGTGACCACAGAGCTAGCTCCGTGGAAAGACCTCAGTAGAGCCTCGGTCTGGCCTGGAAACTGTTCCGGGATTTTGAGTCTCTGTGTTTGTGTATTCTGTTTTGGATATTATTTGTGCAATTGTTGGACAAAATGACTTGCTGTGGCATTGTCTGGGGACGACTGTGGAACCGCTGGAGGAGAAAATGCAAAGAAGGATTCTCCAGAGAATCAAGAAGATGATGGACAACCCTGAGCATTCTCTTCACAAGACTGTCCGACAACGGAAGAGTGTCTTCAGTCAGAGGCTTCTTCAGTTTGGCTGCAACACTGACCGCTACTGGAGATCCTTCCTGCCAACAGCCATTGTAATATACAACAACTCTTTGATGACTTGATTATTATTATTATTCTGAGCTACTACAGCAATCAATTTCCCTCTGGGATTAATAAAGTATTTTTGAATTTGAATTTGAATTAGTTGCACTAATAGAGCGTCCAAGGAGTCTCCACTTCATTTTTTCTGTAAGTAAAATTATATTTATGTATTTTAGGTCACTGCCGAGCTGAGCTTAGATGTTAACATGTACTGTTTAACCATGAAATGTAAATGTAATAGGGTAAAACCCAGTGCATTTAACATAATGCTGCACTTTAGAAAATGGGTTGAAATATAACATGTTGGTGGAGCTGGGTTCCCACTATCGGCTTGGGGAGCTCTGGGATGGAAACCTTTCCACCCGGTTCTCCCCAGCGGCAGCTCGGCGCATCTCAGATCGCAGCGGCGCTTGTCTGCTGTGCGGCTGCTGGCTTGTGGAGCTCTCCGAGACCTCTGTGTTCCACCCGGTTTGACCCAGCGGTCAGCCCGGCGTATCTCTGACTCAGAAGCTCTGGTGTTGTGCACAGTTAACTCTGGTTGTAGCTAGCTTGCTACCTCCGTTAGCTTAGCTCCCACCTCCGTGTTAGCTTTGGGTTAGCTTCAGGTTAGCTCGTAGCTAGTTTGACCGGGTGTCGTCAGTTGATCCCAGCCTTACAGCCCCACCCTCAGCTCCACCTCTCTTCCCTTTTATGGAATTGTCTGGGCTTGACGGAACCTGTGACACGGTCAAAATGGCGGTGGTGGCCACCTCCCATTTTAGCACAAAAACTTATCATTGGAGCCTATGGAAACCCATTGTCCAATATATATATGTCAATGGTTACAACGAGTAAGCCAGGCGGAACATGTGAGTTTTGAGTTGAGACTAGAAGGTTGAGAAGGAGTTTATACTGCGGAGGTCAGGCGGTAGAGTGTTCCAGAGTTTTGGAGCTGAGTGGCTGAAAGCTCTGGCTCCCATAGTACTGAGACGAGGACATGCCCCCCCCCCCCCCCCCCCCACACACACTTTTTCCAAAGTCAAGTTTTGACCCCTGCACTTTTTACCATCCAAAAACAATATTACGCTATATTAAATTGACACTGGTTGAGCTCTAGGACCAAGCGGAAAACAACCGTTTGTGTTGAAGCCGGTTTCCCATTAGAGCATACTGTAAAGACCCCCCCCCCCCCCCCCCCCCACCCACTTCTAAAGTGAAAATTACGTCCATGGCTCCAGTGGATTTTACCTTGGACTTGCTGTGTCGAATCAGAGCCGACAGGAGCCTATTGGACTCGCCCATCACTCCGGCGTGATCTTTGGCTTCGCACCACTCCACTAGCCTCTCCACCAGCTTCCCGTTGGTCCCCAGCTGCTCTGCAGCCTCGGCTGAATTACACACAAAGCAGGAATGCAGATTACCAACATGGATGTCTGACTTCTCCAGGCCGGCCATGACTAACTACAGGTGAAATAAAAACATCAACGTTACTTTTATATTAAACAACTATCAATGTAAAACCCAAGTGATCAACCTTGTGTATCGATGAGCATACGTAACGTCCCCAGGAGTTTGAATTGGACTGGAGGCATCTCCGACTGCAAGAACTTCAACACCACATCTGCCACTCCAGCAGACAGCATCTTCGACTTGTTGACCACTGCAAGAGGAGACCAATAAAACATCGTGTAAATGCTTCGAACCATTTACCAAACCTCAACACCTCCATCTGTGCGCAGGGGTGGACTGGCCTATCTGGCATCCTGGCACTGTCCCGGTGGGCCGCTTGCCCAGCTTGGGTCGACACTACTCCACGTTCGGTGATCTGCAGAGCATTAGCTACACGGTAACCTGAAGCTAACAGAGTTTTTCCAGGCGTTTTTAGGAAGAAAAACGTTGTAGGGTGATGACGTAGGAGTTGTTTTACCGCGTTAGCATGTAGCTAATGTCCCGCTGATCTGGAAGGCCCCGGGCTCCCGGTCGCAGCGGTCTGGCCCTGCTTGTAATTTAACAGTCCCAGTCCATATTAGATCTCACATTCGGCCTAGAGACGAGTCCGCGGGCGGCAACACCCCCCACCCCCACCCCCACCGCTCTCCTAATGGGGAGGGCCGATGATTCGTAAAAATGCCAGGGCCGAATTTTGGTCCCGGTCCACCCCTGCCTGTGCGTCACCTGCTAACGCTAAAACACCCCTTACCTTACAACTACACACACATAACCAAGCTTGCACATGATCCAGTTATGGCCTGAGAGTTTGTGACTTTTAGGATGGTGTGAAGACTCTGGAAAACTGAAATCCATTTCTCTTTATATAAATAATAAATTGCAGCGACAGTGAAGCTCCAGTGACGGACACGCGTGTGACCATGGGGTAGCGACTTACCGGGTATAGCCAGATTCCTCAGGGCACTCAGCGCTGCATGTTGAACGGTCACGTTTCCCTCCTCCACATGGCGGTCCAACAGTTCCAGAAGCTTCTGCACGATTCCAGCATCCACCATATGGATGCAGTTCCCATCTACAGAGCAACAGACACGGAGCTAGAGGTCATCGAGCACGCAGACCACTGCCGGTTTTATTGAATCCAACTTCTTCAACAACAACAACACCCGTTAAAGCATTTCGTTAGTCAGGAATAAAAAGGATGGTTCAAAAACACAAGTTGGGGCCATCGGAGCGTGATTCGGGAGAAAACATTCCTGATTTGAGAAGATTTCCCAGATGAAGGACTGCTTTACTGTAGAAGGTCAAAGGTTGCCTACAACACCAACATAACAACCTGAGTAACTCACCATTGCGGGCAAAGTTAGCGATGGCCAGAGCGCCGGCTAGCTGCAGCTGGTGGTTGTGGGATGGAATCCAAGACAGGACCCTCTGGAAAACGCTGCCTCTTCCTCCCTCAAACAACTTCTGCATGGACTCATCTACGCAGAGGAAGAAGGACCATTGAGAACTGCTCCCAGACCTGCGGAGTTGCTAAGATGTGCTTAGTTCAGCCTCATCAGGAACGAATGAAGGACATGGCAATCTGCTGAGACAGCAGACCGACAAACGTGTGTATTTACCTCTCGTTAAGTTTAGCTTCAATTAAATATTTACACAAAGTTATTAATTATTCATCCGAGCTGAAAAACCCCGCCAGCTGTCTTTGGGAGGACTCAGCCGAGGTAGTTCAGATTAAGAGTCCTCTCCTGGGAGCTGGGAGGAGACCCGGAGTAGTTCTTTGTGCTCCTTTTTATTTGACTTACAGTAAAAGCAAAACTAAACTTGGCTCAGAGACAAAGTCTGGTTGTTTTTCAGATTTTAATCCGTCTGCCTTGCAACAGTAATTTAATCTCATACCATGAACAACAGTTGTGGGCTGCACAAACTCTCTCTTTGGATTTAACTAATCCATAGATTCCAGGAGAACTCAGATTGACGCATCTTCTTCCCATCATCATCCGGTATTATACAACACTGGAAAAACGGTCTGGCCCTAGCCGCTGCTAGTGAAACCCCTAAGGTCCGTTTACGGGAGCGGCCATGCTGCATTACTGGAGATTACTCTTTAGCATGGCTTAAAGCAACACGTCTTTTTGTTTTCATTTAAATAAAAGTGGTACAGAGAAACAAACAATAATAAATCCTGCATTTTGGTAGAGACCCAAGTTAGAAGGCTGTGTGCCCAATCAGCCGCCGCAGGTGTGAATGACAGAAACACACACACACACACACACACACACACACACACACACACACACTTGATATGGTAGACTAATAGAAAATTTATCATCATCAAAATGTCTGACTCTTACCAATATGGTTTTTCCTATGTCATTAAATCTGATAAAAGTTGAGTCACATAAAAATGTGACTCAACGATACACGTGACAGCCCCATCTAGTGGACAACCTGTGTTTCTGCGTACACCTGTAGTTGTCCATTTATCGTTATTGTAACGTGATGAAGGAGCTGTTCCACCGAAGGTTATTTACCCGCTCTCCTCAGGAAGAACTAATCTGCATGAGACTGCCTCAAGGTCATGCATTTGCTTCTAAACTGCTTCCTTTCCAGCTCAGGAGAAGAGAGAAGACAAACTCTTTTAATAAATCAAATAACTCTATTTTAATGAAGCTAATCAAACAGTTTGTCAATAATTAAATGTGAACCAATCTGTGAAATGACAATGTTTAGGATCAGTAGTTATTATAAGTAATATAACTTTAAATGTTTCCACTAGAGACTGATCCACGTAATGCTTGAAGTCACATGACACATTTCATATTTCTCAACCAATCAGAACCTTCCTTTCTGAGGCGTGGCATGCTCTCTGTGGTGTTTATAAATCCGTCAAACTTTGATTCGACCGTAAATCACAACATCCAGATTTTAAACACGAGTTATTTCTCGCTAACCTTTTCCGCACATGTCTTAGCCTCAATCACTGCAAAGCTCTCCAAGCTAACTCAGCTAACTCAAGTGTTTGTTAGCCAAATTAAGTGCCGTCCGCCAAACGGGACAGGATTTATTTCCTGATATTTGGACATCTCACCTCTGATTGGATAACAGCAAGATGACTCTCACCAACTCTGTTTACTTTGCAAAAATGATGTTTTATTTAAAAAAAAAAAACAAAAGCCTGACGAGTTCTGCTGTGTGGTGGAGTTGCTAATGCTAACATTTAGCTTCTACAAGCTGAGACGTTCTCTTCTGTTTCCTGGATGCTAAACCAACAACAGCCTTCCCCGTCGTGAGTCCAGCTGGGTGATACTATAAATGTTACGTGACAGTGTGAGGTAGCTATGTCAGGCTTTTCAAATCCTAGAGTTTCACCGTCTATCAGAAGCTACTGCAGGAGATTGGTGTAGGAGACTATTTTTTATCAGAAGCTAACGCAGGAGATGGGTGTAGGAGACTATTTTTTATCAGAAGCTAACGCAGGAGATGGGTGTAGGAGACTATTTTCGATCAGAAGCTAACGCAGGAGATGGGTGAAGGAGACTATTTTCGATCAGAAGCTAACGCAGGAGATGGGTGTAGGAGACTATTTTCGATCAGAAGCTAACGCAGGAGATGGGTGTAGGAGACTGTTTTCGATCAGAAGCTAACGCAGGAGATGGGTGTAGAGACTATTTTCTATCAGAAGCTAACGCAGGAGATGGGTGTAGGAGACTATTTTTTATCAGAAGCTAACGCAGGAGATGGGTGTAGGAGACTATTTTTTATCAGAAGCTAACGCAGGAGATGGGTGTAGGAGACTATTTTTTATCAGAAGCTAACGCAGGAGATGGGTGTAGGAGACTATTTTTTATCAGAAGCTAACGCAGGAGATGGGTGTAGGAGACTATTTTCGATCAGAAGCTAACGCAGGAGATGGGTGTAGGAGACTATTTTCGATCAGAAGCTAACGCAGGAGATGGGTGAAGGAGACTATTTTCGATCATAAGCTAACGCAGGAGATGGGTGTAGGAGACTATTTTCGATCAGAAGCTAACGCAGGAGATGGGTGTAGGAGACTGTTTTCGATCAGAAGCTAAGGCAGGAGATGGGTGAAGGAGACTATTTTCTATCAGAAGCTAACGCAGGAGATGGGTGTAGAGACTAATTTCTATCAGAAGCTAACGCAGGAGATGGGTGTAGGAGACTAATTTCTATCAGAAGCTAACGCAGGAGATGGGTGTAGGAGACTGTTTTCGATCAGAAGCTAACGCAGGAGATGGGTGTAGGAGACTGTTTTCGATCAGAAGCTAACGCAGGAGATGGTTGTAGGAGACTATTTTCGATCAGAAGCTAACGCAGGAGATGGGTGTAGGAGACTGTTTTCGATCATAAGCTAACGCAGGAGATGGGTGAAGGAGACTATTTTCGATCAGAAGCTAACGCAGGAGATGGGTGTAGGAGACTATTTTCGATCAGAAGCTAACGCAGGAGATGGGTGTAGGAGACTGTTTTCGATCAGAAGCTAACGCAGGAGATGGGTGTAGGAGACTGTTTTCGATCAGAAGCTAACGCAGGAGATGGGTGTAGGAGACTATTTTCGATCAGAAGCTAACGCAGGAGATGGGTGTAGGAGACTATTTTCGATCAGAAGCTAACGCAGGAGATGGGTGTAGGAGACTGTTTTCGATCAGAAGCTAACGCAGGAGATGGGTGTAGGAGACTGTTTTCGATCAGAAGCTAACGCAGGAGATGGGTGTAGGAGACTATTTTCGATCAGAAGCTAACGCAGGAGATGGGTGTAGGAGACTAATTTCTATCAGAAGCTAACGCAGGAGATGGGTGTAGGAGACTATTTTCGATCAGAAGCTAACGCAGGAGATGGCTGTAGAGACTAATTTCTATTAGAAGCTAACGCAGGAGATGGGTGTAGGAGACTATTTTCATGTTCAGCCTGCATGTTAAAGTCAGAGTGTCCTTCAGTGCAGTGGTTCTACTTCCTCTATGGTCAAGTCATTCTGGATTACAGTGTTTAGTAAAACATGACGGGGAAGCTTAGTGTGCAGCACTGCAGCTTCAAAAGCCTGTGATGATGAATATCCGACATCAACAATCAGACGTGTTGGTTCGGCTCACGTCCTTTTAGATTTACCTCCAAGAAGCAGTAAAACCATGAGGTCAGAGGCCGTCTTGAGCTGGGCAACGTCCTCCTCCCGCTCTCCGTCCACAGTGTGAGCCACCACCTCCAGCAGACACTCCACCACGCCTGCCTCCACCAGCTGCAGCTTGATCACATCTGACAGGGGAAAGGACAACAAGCGTATGTCAACAGCACCAGGAAGGATGATGCAATTACCAAAAAAAATAAAAAATAAAAAATAAGTGCTGTGTCAACGTCATAAAACGATCAGTGCTACTGTCTAATCAGCAACGTCATTGTTAATTGGTTTGTTTTAATTTTACTATCATTTTGTTGCTATTCTGTCGCTAACTTTAGTTCAATCTCATTAAACCAAGAAGCAACAGTTTGAGAAAAGTTTGAGTCTTTCTATGCGTGGAACGGCTTTAAAGAGCAAGTCACTCCAAGTCAACTTTTTTTTTGCTGATAAACTTAATAAATGAGTGTCTGATCGTGCTGTAGACACATGCAGTCAATATTTCAACACTTTAGTGCATCTTAGTTCAAATTTTAAAATTCTGCCTAAAAGTCAGCGATGCACGGTCGTCAGGCAAAAACTCTGCACTGCATTTGAATTGAAATCTGCCGTCGCTATTGGCTAAGAGGTGCACTATGAAGTTAGATGGTACATTATGATGTCACAATCTTGTGTGTGTGTGAATTTGTTAGCGGCTCCGCCCTCTCGGTCTGGTAGGCTACAGCATTTGTTGCATTTTTCAAACAGGAAGTGGGAGTTGATTAAGAATCTGGTAGGGGGTGACTTGCTCTTTAAATATTCTGCCCATAACTGTCAGTGTTGCACCATCGTCGGGTAAAAACTGCACTGCATTTGAATTGAAATCTGCCGTCGCTATTGGCTCAGAGGTGCACTATGAAGTTAGATGGTACATTATGATGTCACAATGTTGTGTGTGTGTGTGTATTTGTTAGCGGCTCCGCCCTCTCGGCCTGCTAGGCTACAGCCTTTGTTGCATTTTTCAAACAGGAAGTGGGAGTTGATTAAAAATCTGGTAGGGGGTGACTTGCTCTTTAAAGGACATCTCATAAACTTTGACTAACATAAAGTATCAACAGGCACCACAGCAAGGCCCTGCAGCTCACACGGGCAAATGAGAAACCTCACAAATATTTATAAATATGTTTAAACCCAACGCAGGGAAAAAGTCCAGAGAGATTTAAAAAATGCATAATTTCAAACAAAATTAAATTTCCAGATTTAAAATTAAACTTTCAGAATAAGATTTTAGATTTCACAAAAAAAAACCTAGAGGGAGTCGTTAAAAGAAGCTTTAATACTGGACTTGTTGTAAAGGCGGAATAATGAAGATAATTTGGAAGTCTTTAATAAGACGACAGTTTTGAATTCGACTGGATGCAGCAGGAAGCGCCTCTTATTTTCATGGGGAATAGAAAAAAACAATGAGACGATAATTGTGATCGCTTCAATCAGCTGTTCTGAAAAAACAAAAGTAACTGAAACAAAGAGAAAAACCCTGCTAGTGTCCTGCATCTATCCTCGTTTCACCGGTGCCTCGGTAAAGAGCTGCTGCGACTCCGTTAATGGACAAGCACCAGAGAGGCAAAGAAAGGAGGAGAGACTTTTCTCTGGAGGACGTTGTCCTGGAGACTCAGCATGAGAACACTTAGCAAGATGCTCTGCTGCGCGCGCGCACACACACACACACACACACACACACACACACATACACACACACACACACACACACACACACACACACACAATCAGAGGGATTTAAAATAAAAGAGCAGCTGAGCTAACACAGGAGTTGTCTGTCATGACTGTGCAGTCATTCTGGGAGGGATGACTCATTGGAAGCATCACGTACGGTTCAGTAGCAGCACTCTGCTTTAGGCTCATTTGTAACAATTAAAACATTTTAAATACAATTACCGTTCTCAGCAAGTGGTGCCAGAACCTCAAAAATCATTTCCTTCTTCTCGTGCTCTGACTGCTTCTGGAAAAGATGCACCAGCTCCTCGGCAATGTTGGTGGAAGCAAACTGCTCCTTGCTGGACTCTGAAAGAAGAAGAAGTTAACCCACAGGTGTTACTGATCCACGTGTCTCCACTCTCATGGGAATAGGGCTGCTTCACATTTGGGCTGCAGTCACTTCCATCCCAGGTGTTGTCAGATAAACAAAGCACCGCCTATTTATTTATCAGGAAGGATGCAGACACACAACTCCTTCACTTCTGTCCGGGAAGTAAACCCAAGAGGCCTCTAAGGTAGTCCCACAGGGACTTGAGCATTGATAACACGTAACCGTAACAACACCTTGTTCTTGAGGGGTGCAAACACACCAGTCACGGTGGTTAGATGTGAGAACTAGGGATGCTCCCATCCAATCACGTAATTGGAAATCGGGACAGGTCACGTGATTTTCAAAGGATCGGGAGGAAAAGTTCCGATTTAACCTTTAAAAACAAACGCGACATTTCAAATTCATCCCGATTGAGATTTTCTAACACAATAACAACAAGTTCCTCTACATCAATATTATTTGTTTCTTGAATGAAAACAACACAATTTATGACAGGGTGCACCAAGGTGCAGCTGCTAGCAAGCAGGCTAACACCGAGTCTCCTCAGGAGAGCCTAAACGAATGCAGCTTGGTGGTATTTGAACCGGACAGCGAAGGCAGAGCCACGGACACTTGTAATGTGTGCATACTCAACATGCCGGAGAGGACACAGCTCCATGATTCGTTGCCTTCAAAACAGACAACTGTCATTTCAGCATTCCCTTTGGGTGTCGTCAAAGCGAATCTCAGCTCTCCGTTATTCCCAGTTTGCCACTACCAGTCCCAGTTCACAGCGAGCTCAGACTAAAGCCAGCTGACAGAGAGAGACAAACAAAGAGAAATTGCCAACAGGCTGAAAAACGTTGGGTTTCCTGCAGCACCAGAGCTGCCCGTGGCAGCTACAGGTGTTATGCAGGGAAAAGTTCGCCCGCCGGCCGAGACGCCGCCCGCCTGCTCCGGCACGGGAACACACATATGCAGCTGCATTGAGGGAGTGAACAACTGGAAATAAAAGCAACGCTGCTACTTTAAATACATTCATAATACAAACACGTTTTTAAATCTGTGTACTTCCTACATAAGTGAAAGTGAGACAACTTGGATCTGTTTTCTTTTAATGTTAATGCTTTCCTGAAAAGTATCGGATCACGACTCTATCGGCAGATGCTCAAAATCAAATGACTCAGAATCGGATCGGAAGCAAAGAAACAATATTCTTTGTTTCTTGGATGATGACAACAACGTCGTAACGTCAAATGGCGTCTTTCTTTTTGGGACTCGGGTAGTTTGTCCTAAATTAGAAGCGGTAGCAGCCGGCTGTTTCTCCAACTCTGATGTCATTGAGGGAGAACCTCCCACACCGGTGGAGCTCTGATGCTAGATACGCGAGTGTGTGATGAGTGGAGGAGACAGGGAAGTGCAGAGGTGCTTCAGTTTGCCAACACCAACAACTGAATGGTCCAATCATTGCTTTTGGTCCGAAAGCAATTACTGGCCCTTTTTTTTAAGACAAATGTGAGAGAACCACTTAAATTTTTCTTTTTTTTTTTTTTACATCTCCACAATTTTTTGTAGCTATACAAATCAGCCATTGTAGCTTTAATTAACATTGTATTGCACAGATTTCACCAATGCTTCAGTAACATTTGAGGTTGTATTAATAACACTGACTTTTCTAAAAACAACATCTAAATCCACATGTGATCAGTAGAAATGAATGCATTTCATTAACATGTTCAGTAGTAAGCTACTAGAAATGCTAAATAATTTATCTCTACTGGTAACAATGTCAAATCTAAAAGTATATTCAAGGGTAGAAGCATTTGTAACTTACATACTATAACTGCTTGCCACCGATTTTGGCGGTATTGCGCACACTTGTAGCAACAACCTCAGGGAGCTGCAGGTCTGCTCCAAACTGCTGCAGATATCTACAAATAGCTTCACCATCAACATGTTTTGTACAGCCTTCACCTGATCATGAACGCGCTACCTGCTAGTTTTAGCATTAGCCGACCTGGTCGTGTCAGCTACTGTGAAAATATTCTATTGGGGTTATTTTTCAGTTTCATTTGACATCCGATCATCTCAAGACCTCCACACAGGGAACCACAGCTGCAGTCAATCAGCTGCTGTTGAAACATAAGTCACACAAAAACATTCCAACTAGGGATGTAAGAAAATGTTGATTATGGCAATATATTGTGATATTTTCCCCAGCGATATTATATCGATTTTCAAAAGCTGTGTATCGAAAATATCGATATCGCAATATATTGTGATATTTTTCTTGCAAAAATGTATCGATATTCAAAAGTCGTGTATCTAATTTTTGGAAGAATTTACATGGAAACATTTGTGTATTTTCTTTTCTCGTGGTGCAATTCAAACGCCGACCACTAGTTGGCAGCAGTGTGTAATGGATTTTGTTTCTACCATTGAAATGTAAATCCCTCTGTTATGGTTAAACATGTTAAGTATCAGTTTGGACTGTTTATTGAATTTTCCTATAATAATTTTAGTCTAAAAATATCGCCAATATCGTCTGACTGAATGTATCGCAATATATCGTGATATATTGTATCGTCTCTCCTGTATCGTAATACGTATTGTATCGCCAGAATTTCACCGATACACATTCCTAATTCCAACTAAATAAAACAGAACATTTTCATCAGTTAGTGAGTTGAGATTAGAATTACTCGAGTCAAACTCTTATGCAACCTCATCATTATGATCAATTACCACTTTACCATAAGCTCGATGTCCAGCTTAATAATCATTGTGTTGTAGTAATTATTTTCATTCATGTGTGGATCTAAAGTGTAATAATACCACTCTTAACGTTTCTACCCACTCCTGTTGTGCACAACCTAGAAATTGTGTCTACCTCTGACAGAGTCCAGAATTTAAAATCACATTTATTTAAAGCTACATGTGTATACAAACATAATTAACAAAAATAAATAAAAAACAGAAACGCAACCTGACACTTTCCTACCTTTTTTGTAGAAAAAAACAAAATATCAATAAATACCGATTACCGAATTTTCCGGACTATAAGCCGCTACCTTTTCCCCCACGCTTTGAACCGTGTGGCTTATAATGAGGTGCAGCTTTACTGAAGATTTTCTTTCACCTGCCACCAGGGGGCGCTTTAGCAGAAAGTGAAACAGGTGGAAGTCAAAAGTGCAAGCAGCTGGCACTACGAAGAATTTTTTTCTAATCCACACCCCCTCATCATGGTAACTACACGTATGAGTTCATATGATGCCGCATTTAAGTTGAAGGCCATCGATCTGGCAGTAAAGGAGGGAAACAGTGCTGCCGCACGTAAGCTTGGCATGAATGAATCCATGGTTCGGCGCTGGAGACGGCAGCGGGAAGAACTCATTCATGCCAGCTTCACCCGGGAATGATGACAGCAACACGGACATCGCCACAGAAAAGGTATGTGACGAAGCTCTTCTGAGGATGTTCAACTCCCGACACTGAAGAAGAGGACTTTAATGGCTTTAGTGCGCAAGATGAGAGCGAATGACTTCTTCTGGTAGGCAAGTGTGTTTTATTTACTAACCAGGCATGTGTTGTGTGCAGTTGTTATTTTCTAATCATCCAGGGCTTATTAATGCTGTGTCAGCGCTGTTCTTTTCTTCTAAACATGCAAATTACCGGTAATAACGTGTCAGTGCTGTTTTTATTTTATAACATCCAGAAATATGAATGCTATCAGTGCTGTTTTCTTTTCTAAACTTGCAGGCACGTTCACCCGTGTTTAAAATTCCTTTTGTTGAATTAAAACAACAACGAAAAACCTTCGTGTAGCGTCTTTCTGTCTAATTATCTTATGTTATGGCCGTGCATGCGCTGTGCGCCGGAGACCTGCATGTGGCTGCTGCGCCGCGGCTTGTATTTGAGTGCGGAGTTTGTGTAGAAAACCTTTTTTTTTGTTGGTGCGGCTTCTATTGAGGTGCGCTCTACAGTCCAGAAATTACGGTTTTAGAAGATTTTAAATGTTTAAAAACTGCTTTTTGTTCATATTTCTTTGGTGTAATTATTTTAGTAGTCCGTTATTATAAGTCCTACATCACGGATGAGTCCGGTAGCACATATTCAGCTTCTACCTCATTACCTCAATAACAGACGCCATCATTTGTGGAGAGGAAAATAAACAGAAGAATAAACAAAACTCCCTCAGATGTTAAACTCTTTGTGAAACGGTGTCGACGTACTTACCAAGCTCCGCCAGGTTCCCAAAAGCAATTAGACACATTTCAGTCAGGGCGGTGTTGCGGGAATGGATGCCCAGCAGCTTCACCAGAGTAGGAATCACACCCATGTTAATCAGCTGGGCTTGTAGGGAATCTGCAAAACAAATGAATACAAACACACAGAGGAAACATCAAACGCGGAAGGCTGTTATTCAGTAACTAAATAACAGTTACAGTTACAGGATCTCAAAACTGGATTATAGATGGCAGACAGTTGGTGTCGTAAACCACCGCCTCTGTTCAAAGATGGTTGCTCACAGTGGACATAAATGGCTTCCTTTACTCCTCTTTCAAACCATCTGTCCTCTCTGTCCAAAATGTGAACGTTGGCATCCTCGAAAGAGTGACCTTTGTCCTTTAGATGCAAATGAACTGCTGAGTCCTGTCCCGTGGAGGTGGCTCTTCTATGTTGTGCCATGCGCTTGTGAAGTGGCTGTTTGGGCATCTATAATCCAGTTTTGAGATCCCTTCCCAGATGCCTTAACACCCACGCATATCCTAGGCCATCTGACCTCAGGAATTCACATGATAGGGTGGGGCCAGGCTTCACAATGAGCTCACCCGAAACTCTGGCTGAATGGGACCCACACCCACCCTAACACCTTGGCTCATGTGTTTATGTAGAAGATCATCGGGGGTCTTTTGTTCCCTCTTTGGGGGGAAACTCCCACTGTGTTTAAATCTGGGACTCTCCACCATTTGACCTTAAAACTGAAGAAACCTCTCGGATGAGAGGAGAAACGTCTTCAAGCAACTCAAAGAAGTCCAGACACTTTTCTTTCAAAGCTCCTTAGACTACAATGACCTGGATGACTGAGAGCCTTCACAGACATGTCAGCTTTATAGCATATCAAGGGCCAAACATCCCCAAAACCACCTAAACAAATGCACACGGACAGTTGTCTCTAATGGGTTGAAAATACTAAATCATTTTGTAATAAACACATTGGTTTTAAAACAGTTTAACAACAGGTTTTTATGCAAGTAGTCACAGAGGTTTTTGAAATCTAATTAATTTAATGCATCATGTCATTATCTTAACTGTCGTTGTGGCTCATCAGCAGATGTTAACACCTGACTGCACCACCTGCACATAACACTAAGAACACTCCAGATTATCAGTGACATTTCCATCATTACCACTTCTGTAATCTAGCATTTACCCGACAACAAAACTGTAAAACCTGCAGAGTTGTGATGCTGTGAACTTGTTACGTCAGAATTTTGTCTCATTCACTCAGAAAACACACAGAAACCTTATGTTGTTGCTGCTGTTTGGAATACTGCAGAATACTGCCGAATACTGCAGGGCCTTTAAGCAAACTTCAAGATTTCTACTGCTTTAAAAAGCAGCTGAAGACCCTTTTATTTAAAACTGCTTTTACTTCCATCTTTTGTGGTTTCTGCAGCTGAAATTCATCGGCATTTGTAATTTCACACCGGCAAGCTAAAACTCCTAAGTTGTTTAAAGAACCGAAGTAAACAGGACTGACCCAGAAGTTATATCTTGTACTCCTAACAAGGCACATCTTTTTTGTTTTACTCCCAATATCGGATGCAGCAGGCTAACGTTGAGCTAATAATGCTAACGATGACTTGGAAATAGGGCTGAACGATCTATTGTTTCTGGACCGAAATTGCGATTTCAAACAGCACAATCGCGTGACCGTCAAAGCTGCGGTTTTAGCGGTTTTGACTGATCCAGGATCAGTTGTGTAACTTTTTTTTTTACATCAGTGGTTTTCCCCGTGTTATGGCGGCGGCAAAGGCCAGCGCGGGGGTGGGGGTGGGGTGTACCATCCAGAGCCGAGCTCAACTCCACAGCTGCCAGAGCTGCATGTTCAGGTTATTTTCCCTGTTTTATGTTTCCACACACAGCACTGCTAGAGCCAATAATGGCACCATAGGTGAGCCCGGGACAGAGAGAGAGAGAGAACGTAGTATAGTAAGGGAGAGAGAGACTCCTCCCACATCAGCAGGTTCAGGCTGACTTCTAAAGCTTGGTTTATGCTTAATCAGCGCGAGTGCGGAGTCACGCACTTTAGTTGACTTGAAAGCTCAACTTCTCTTTTAAAAATGGTTTGAATGTTTCTGACGGCACACGTTAGCTCAAACAAGCTAAGGTGTCAGAATGCGTGCGTCTCTCTCATGGAGCCGACGTTTAAGTGAGGAAAAACTATCAGACGGCTTCAGCCTGCTGCGGTAATGCAGGGAAAACTGTGTGCATTTTTTGTTATTTAATACATTTAAAAGCTATTTCTACCTACAGATTTCCTCCATGCATTTTTGGAGTAGAACATGTTTTTATAACGCTCCTCTCTAGATAAAAATCACAAGCACACGTTGCTTCACAAACACATAAAAAATAAAAAATAAGATAATAATGGGAGAAAATATTACTAGCTTTAACTTTTTTTATTGTATGATTAAATAGTAAATAACAATGTAAATGATTTGTTGTACTAGATTATAGGGTTGTCACGACACTAAAATTTCAAACTCGATTCGATACTTGGAAAAAAACTCGATACTCGATTTCGATAGCATTTAAAAACACCAATTTATTGAACAAGTTTATTCAAAAAATAACATTCCTCAATTTATATTGCAAAAATTAAATGTTAAGAATTAAGTGTATTAAGTGATTAAACCTTTCAAGTATCAGCATTTTTTCAAACGTGCATACAAAAACTGGTGAAAGTTAACACTTTAAATCATGAATTGTCTCACTATATATACACTATTTGCGGAGTGATGTTTTGCTGCTTAAACTCTGTTTAAGGTGCATTTTTGTCATAAGCTGTAATGCCATATGTTTTGTTCTGTACTTTTGAACAACTCTGTTGGTCAATAAAGGGAGAAAACGAATTTCTCCACAGTAGGACAAAGGTACATCTACCGGTAATCTTAATAAAAACAGATTGGCGCACGGCAGTGACATCATTAAAAGCGCCGGTTAATTAGCCGCAGCTAGTCTGCTTACGCCTAGAAATCCCAGACTCGCTCCAAACGAACAGGGGAAATCACGTTAATGATTCCTAACAAAACCTTTCGACATTGAGATGTTTTGGTGCAGATAATGTCTTATTTCGAGGCTGCACCATGGGTGCCCGTCCGCACCCGTTATATGGATATACACTGATGGCGATTCGCCGATGGATCTAAATACCCCGGGGAATCCAAGTAGCACCAAAGTTGTCAGCGTGAGTAAACAAACGTACTGCATGCTAGAAATTAAGTCCGGGTTGCAATAAACGGGAGTTTTCCTTTAAGCACATAAGTGTGAATATACAACTAAGTGTCGGACTTGGTTTGCTAATTAAGTTGGGCTGTGAAGCGCCTCCCAAATTTGCTGATTTTGTTTATTTATTTGGCAGACAAAACTTGGATCGGAGACAACTCACGTGGGAAATTGCAATGTAGCCATGCGGCGTTTTCTTCTGTTTGTCTGGGAGGCGGAGGCTGCTTTACGGCATCTGGCTGTCGTGCGTGTCGGTGTACTTGAAGAAGGCTGTGTATAATAGTCCATAATATCGATACCACAGGGATGGAATATCTAATTTAGATACCACTTTTAGTATCGATTTATATCTGGGTATCGATTTTTTTGACAACACTACTAGATTAGAATCTAGACCGGCTTGGCAGGCTAGTGTTGGACCTTTGTTTGCAGAAAATCAAGAATTGAACCGAAATCACAATTTCTGCTAGAAAAATTGCAATTCAGTCTTTTCCTAAAACCGTTCAGCCCTACTTGGAAACAAATTGTCGGCTCTAAAAATAATAATAGTAGTATAATAATAATAAAGGTTTAATGTAGGTGATTTCAACATTAGAGTGAAATGATGTGTGAAGTCCAGGGGCCTCATTCATCAAACATTCGTATAAATATTCCTATACTCCTTCCTATGAACAAAATGTAGAATGTTCGTACAAACGGTCAAAATCCTGATTTATAAAACATGCGGTGGCCTCTCATATGCACATTCCTCCGCAATCATCTGATGATAAATTCCACCTGTGCGTACCCAGGTGCTCGTGTCCGTTCACAGTCATTTACCCTGGGTTCTTGGTTCTTCACGGAAAAAAAAAATAAAAAAAACTTTGATTGCCAGATCGAGACACTGGGTGTTTCTCAATGCCAAGGAGCCTTGCCTTGATGTCTCTGTCCCGACCTGGTTGCCTAGGAGATACATCATCAGGAAAAGCTAAGGTATGTTCCAAATGTTCATGTTCTACGGAGGCGTCTTTTCTCCGTTTGTTAGCTGTTTAGCTAGCTGAGCAAGCATACATGGGAGGTGTCTTGCAGCCTAGCTTTGGAAAAAATTTCCCAGAATACACCTCAGTGTTTTCAAAAGGATGGTGGTTTAGAATCCAGCAGCTACGTCAGGGGCAAATTTCAAGTTTAAATGTAAGTCAACTAATTGTAGCTATACCGGATAATTATTATTTTTTTTATCTAAAGCAGTTATTTATGGTTGGTTAGATGCTTAGTAGTTGCAACTTTGGCGGCTAGCAGGTAGGAACTTGCTTACATATTTAACAAATATACATACAATTTTAAAGTAAAAGGCTCGTTATACAATACCGGTTAAAAGATTTAAAATGCCCCAATGTTTCCAGTTATTTATTGCAGTTTAGGTCATTCAAGTCCATTGAATAGCTTGAAATGGTACAAAGTTAAGTGGTGAACTGCCAGAGGTTAAAAAAAAGGTAAGGTTACTCAAAACTGAAAAAATATTGTACATTTCAGAATTATACAAAAAGGCCTTTTTCAGGGAACACAGCTGTTCTGTAGCAATGGAGGTTGATCAAGCCTTGAAAGCTGGTGCTGCTAATTCCCACAGGTGTTCCAACTTTTCTGGATTACTTCCAACCCCCTCAGTCTGCATAAAAGCAGTGTTGGAACATACTGTGGTACCATAACCTCGTTAGCATCAGCTGAACAGTATTGTACTGCAGATAATAGTGTGTTGCTACAAAAATGGTCAGAAAAAGGCAATTAACAATGGAAGAGAGACAGACCATCATAACACCTAAAAAGGTAGGTCTTTCCTACAGAGAAATAGCAAAGAAAGTCAAGGTGTCAGTGACTACGTTTACATGCAGCCAATATCCGGGTTATGATCGGGTTAAGGTCGGCATTCGGGTTTCTGAGTTGATCAGAAAAAACCCGTTTACAAGCACAAATAGAAGGAGTTACCCCTAACTTGCATAACCCGATGTAAATGCGGACGTTGGGGTAGCGTCAGGACGTGTGGACTACGTCCAGACGCAATATGCGTCATTTCCGGTTCTTCTCGTTCCGGTATCCGTGAAAACAACAAAATTTTTCCCAGTTCGGAAGAGATAGCGACCGCGTTTGTTTGCGCTTTAGTTTCCTCGTCACTCCGAAAGTGTGGTGCTGTGCTGCGACTCGCCATGTTGCTCCCAACTTGTTTACTTCCGGTGTTCTGGTGCATACAAGACGTCTCGCTACTCAAAAGACCAAGATTCCTTGCGAACAGAGCATGCGCAGAACACACGCTTTGATGGGGATATCTCGGTATGCGTTTACACGACCAAACATTCGGGTTAGAAAAGGGTTACCCCAGGTGTAGTAACCGGGTTTTTAAAAACCCGGTTATGAGCATATCCGGGTTTCTGCCGGTGTTTACCCGGACCTGCAGAACCGGGTTATTGTGAATATCCGGGTTTTAAAAGGGTTACTGGCTGCATGTAAACGCAGTGAGTGAGTACAGTTTCCATCAAAAGGCACTCTGGGGCAAACTCTGGCAGACCCAAAGCCACAACTGCATCAGAGGACAAGTTTCTGAGAGGTAACAGCTTTTGTGATGGGCGGCTCACAGGACAACAGCTTCATGCATAGCTTAATAGTGGTCGTAGTAAGCAAGTCTCAGTTTCATCTGTGAAGAGAAGACTTGGAGCTGCAGGTTTGACAGGAGGACTTGCAGCAAGAAAGCCACTGCTAAGACGTCAGAATAAGAGAAAGAGGCTTGCCTGGGCCATGAAACACTGCCATTGGTCTACTGAAGACTGGAAGAAGGTACTAAGGACTGATGAGTCCAACTTTGAAATCTTCAGTTCATCATGCAGGATCTTTGTACACCGTGGAGTAGGTGAAAGGATGGTTCCACAGTGTGTGGCATCAACTGTCAAACATGGTGGAGGAAGTGTGATGGTCTGGGGCTGTTTTGCTGGATCCAGGGTCGGTGACTTGTACAGAGAAGGACCCTGAACCAAAATGGCTACCACAGCATTCTCCAGTGCCATGCAGTACCCTCTGGTATGCGCCTAGTTGGTCAGGGGTTCATTCTACAGCAAGATAATGACCCAAAACACAAGTCCAAGCTATGGCAGAACTACCTCAGGAACAAAGAACAAGATGGTGAGCTTGTAAACATGAAGTGGCCAGCACAGTCTCCAGACTTAAACCCCATGGAGCTGGTTTGGGATGAACTGGACAGAAGAGAGAAAGCAAAGCAACCTACAAGTGCCACACATTTATGGGAACCTCTGAAACAGATATGGAAAAACTTTCTGAAGAATATTTGATTTATATTGTAGAAAGAACGCCACGAGTGTGTTCAGCTGTTATATCTGCCAAAGGTGGCTACTTTGATGAGTCAAAGGTTTAGAATACATTTTGGTCTATAAATTGATTCCATGATTTCTTTATAAAATTTCACTTGCGTATTTGTCCTATGCTTTCATTTCAGAGTGCAATGTGACATTAAACTGCATCATTTCCAATCAAAAACTGGAAAATTGGGGCGTTCTAAGACTTTTGACCGGTAGCGTATATTTATATTGAACTTATACATATAAAATATGTTATTTCCCATGTCACGTGATGCAAGTCTGTTTTATTTAACCATTTTCTTTGACCAAGGAAGGACAGTGTCCTTGTAAGCAAGGTGCCTGGCCTCGCAAGACATCGCCCTGCGAGGCCAGGCACCTTGACACTGATAAACACCCACTGGCTGCCGAAGTGGAGAAGAAGCAAACAAGTTGCAGAGGATATAAGGTTTGTCTGTGGCTCCACAAAAGGTCCCAAATCCCAGCATAGCTCCAGAAGGATCTCCCACAGGGAGATCAGTGCGCTCACGGAGGACACGCTTCCTCTAGAGCACATATGTCAGACTCAAGGCCCGCGGGCCAGATGCGGCCCGCGGAGCATTTTTATGTGGCCCGCGAGATTAATATCAAAATGTATTAAAACTGGCCCGCTGGCCGATTTTACCGCAAAGACTCCAACTCCCATGATGCTTTGCGGCGTTAGCGCGGAGCCGAAGCGCCCCCTCCTTTGTGTTTTTTCCAGCATCTGCTGCCGGGTGTCTGCAGCTCCGCTGTCTCGGACAAACTACACTCCTCTCACTCAGTGCCGAGTTCACTCAGCTGTTTTCTGACGTTGAAGCCCAGAAACGGAGATTCTAGCCGCTCAGTAATGTGTTCACGACTGAAAGAGAATGTTTTCCAACTAACGTCCAGACAGAGCCGATATAACTCCAGCGAGCAGAGACACACTCAAACCAGCACGACTCTGTGGCTGCTGTGGTTGTGTTTCCTCCCCGACACACAACAACGTGGTCAAGCTGCTCAGACATGTTCATCAGCACAAACCTATGTGAGCACCTGTTGTCATCTAATGTTGTCATTATTATGATGAAGATGAACAAAACAACAGGAGTCTCCTCCTCAGCTCAGATCAACCCCATGATGCAGGTATCTGGCTGGAACAGGTGAGCATCACAGTAAACCAGTGGAGCAAACTGAGCTTTAAATATGTTGGTTTTATGCTCTTTTTCTGCTCCAAAACATGAAAGTTAACAGGTGAGATGTTGCATTTTCATTTAAGATAAAATGATATTTTTATTTTGTTGTTGGCCCGTGAGAAAAGATTTAAAGATTTTTAAAATGCTGATTATACCACAAGTAATGAATACCACTGGTGCCTTTTATTTAAAACTGACTTGCTCGTGTGTAATTTGGTTATTCCACATTCAGTGTTAATGCAGAAATAAGTTTGTTTCCAAATTTAAAGGTTCAAAATTGCATATATGTTGATGAAGAAAATGTGCAAATTTGCCGTCACTTTTTCAAGGTTTGGCCCTCGACTCCGTCCCAGAGTTTCATTTCGGTCCCTTGTGAGTTTGAATTTGACACCCCTCTAGAAACTAGAGTGCCAAATTCTAAAATAATAGTAATAAGAAACTATCTTTTATATAGCGACTCCCAAGATAAAACTCACAAGGTGTTTCACAAGGACAAAAAAGTACAAGAAAATAAAAATAATATAATAAAAATGATTAAAAAACATAAAAAATGGGAAAATTAATAATTGTGAATAGAAAAATAACATAAGACCAGCCATGCTTCAATATCAGATTCCCGTCGGTCACCAGTGTCTTTTATAGGTTTCAGCACCAATTATGTGACACGGCTGTTTTTCCACCCAAATAATTATTGGGTAAACTAATTTGTGGAAGAGGAACGTGTGGATGACTGAGACCTTTGGTTGTGGTTCCACCGTTCTACCACTAGATGCTGTGCATAGGCATGATCTGAGGTTTTCTTATATTTAGGAACATTTTCACACAAAAGTACATAATGAAGAATACCGCACAATGTGTGTATTATGGCCGGTTTTGTTTTGAGGCTGCTGTTCCAGACCACACTCCACACTAGTTGGTGGCAGTAATGCACCATTGGTTGTTTGCCAACCACCATTAAAACTCCAAAAGAAGAAGAAGAAGAAGAAGAAGAACCCCAATGCCAGTTGATACTCTCACATGGGTAGCATCTAGCCTTGAATCCGCCTTGTTCCTGTGATCCTGATCTAATGAAGTTTTATGTCTCCTGTTCTAGTATGTAGACACATTTGTGTGTGTGTGTGTGTGTGTGTGTGTGTGTGTGTGTGTGTGTGTGTGTGTGTGTGTGTGTGTGTGTGTGTGTGTGTGTGTGTGTGTGTGTGTGTTTGTGTGCGTGCGTCTGCTCTGTCTTCTCGATCCCCAGTGAGTCGTGGAGGATGGCTGCTTATACTGAGCCAGGATTCTCTGGAGGTTTCTTCCTGTTAAAAGGGAGTTTTCCTCTCCACTGTCGCTGCATGCTTGCTTAGTATGAGGATTGCTGTAGAGTCACTGACACTAGTCAGTGACTTGATGCAATTTGCTGAGTTCCTTATATAGGAAACATTATTTCTGATTGGCTTAATGAACTGACCTGAATTGGAATGTTTATTATGTGAAGTGCCTTGAGACGACTCTTGTCGTGATTTGGCGCTATATAAATAAACTTGAATTGAATTGTATTAGTATGCACGAAATCCGAACAGATCTGTGCGTGAGTACGGTTGATAAACGAGGACCCAGAACTATAACAGCAAGATGGCAAACTTCCCTCCCTCTGATGCCAGAGGCATAATACTTTAATAAGTGTATAAAGTGCTCCCTACCGTAAAAGACTCTAGAGTGCCAACACCAGATATAACATTGTATTTATCGACTTGTCTTCATTTGTCATCTAGAATCATCTGGTGCTGATCCATGACTGCCAACAACATGAAACTCATGGAACGGTAGTGAGAAAGTAACTTTTTGCTCACGAAAATGGACTGCAGTACACACATTTGACCATTTGGTGTCATTCTTACATATTGCACCTTTAAGTGTCTTGTCCAAGGACACAACTGCAACAGACTGAGTGGGGCTCGAACCTGCAACCCTATAGTTTCAGGAGAGGCATTTAACCGACCAGCGGAGTCAAAGTGTGCACTACAAAATCACAAAGCAACAAGAGGAAAGTACTGCTAGGATGAAAGCAAACATTAACATTTTCTGATTACCTTGAAAGTTAAGTTAGACAAGGAAGTAGACATGACAGGGAAAAATGACAGATCAGTCTAAACCAGAATCCCAGATTCTGTTCAAACCTCCTCTGCCGTTGCACAAGAAAAAGAAAATCAGCTGATTAGTCGAGATCAGTTAGCAATAGGTCTTGGGGGAAGATGGTTATTACCATTATCATTGCTATAATTCACCAGCATGCCACACAAGACAGTCAACAGCTTCTCATTTTCCACATCAGTATTTTGGGAGAGGGATTTAATGTGTTCAGCTACTATCTGAGCCCCTCCTGCCAGGTGAACGGCACTCCTGCCCTCATCTGAAAAACAAAGAGGCCAGGACAAAAATCAAACACAAAGGAAAAAGTCAGGCAAAAATAACTACAACCTGATAAAAGTAAATGAAAACAATTTTGAATAAAACCAACATCTTACAAAAGAAAAGGGGGCGGAGTCACAAAGCATGAGAACACAATAAAAACCTAAAGGCTCCCTGCTGTTTAAACTTAAAGTGTTGTTTTAACTGACTAAAATGTTTTATGTGTCTATGCATCTAAATCTGTACTATAAATACATTTTTTTTACTTTAAAGCAGTTTACCGAAAGTATGATTCAAATATTTTATAGATATAAACAAAAAAGGTGTAATGGTAAACAAATCACAATCTGGTACATACCTCGGTTAGGGCTCATGGTTTGGTACAACAGGAAAAATAAACAAGCCCCCAATTTTTTAACCCTTTAAGAAAAAGATCCACACACCCCCAGCCTGTCCTAACTAGAAAGAAGGTAGCAGGTCACAAGACAGGGTTTTCCATATAACATTAGGAAAATAAATGCCATATTGCTTTTAATATCTAATTAGAATTTTAACAAGTGTCTACAGATAGACCATCCGTCAAAGCACAATGTTGGATCTACTCTGAAACGAAAAGACTTTTAACAGGAAAATTCTAAATCAAAATCAGAGGATTTCTTTAAATTAAAGGAGAAATTGTGTGTGTGTGTGTGTGTGTGTGTGTGTGTGTGTGTGTGTGTGTGTGTGTGTGTGTCGGGGTATCTGCAGGTTTAAGGGAGCCAAATTTAAGACTTTTTAAGGCCACTTTGACCAAATTGAAGCTATTTTTTAATTAAATTTAAGCTATAATTTCCAGCTATTGCCTGGAATCGGTGCTAACCACGTCGCGAACGTGGGATTAGCCATCCAGTTACCATAAAAGTTGTACGTCCCCATGGCGCAATCTTCCACTAGCTTAACCAGCTAATGTGCTCATCTAAAATAGCCCCCTTTCACAACCATCTGAATGTGTACGGCTCCGCTTACGCCAACATCGTACAGAAAAAATGCTGAACACTAACTAGAAATTCATGAATATAGAAATAAAATAATCTTGTTTATTGGGTCTTTGGTAATTTAAGACCTTTGGAAACTTTTTTTAAGGTTCTTTTGTAATTTTTAAGGATTTTTAAGGCTATAAATTTGGAAAAGCAAATTTAAGACTGACTTTTTAAAGACCCACGGTTACCCTGGTGTGTGTGCATGCGTGCGTTTATACTGCAGTAAATATAATTCTGAAGACTCCTCCCACCCCTATCCTGATGAGAACCTGACGGAGCTGGCACCCACCAGCATGATGGGATCCCCACCACAGCACATCAGCACTACTGAGGCTGACGAAGCTCACGATAGCCAAGCATGTGTTATGTTGGCATTAAGACCTTCTTCACAAAAAACAGAACCCCGAAGATCGCCAGTAAACATGAACCGAGTCAGAGATTATTCTAAACATGTTTTACAACAACTCTCATCTTGTGGAGTTTCATGTAAATATTATTTAATAAACATTCGCATTATTTAACTGAACTCTAGAGTTATTACCAGCTCAAAGAGCAGCAGTAATCTCTAGTGCAGGACTCTTCCCATCAGATATTTCTGCTGGATTAGCCATGTAAACATGGGATTAACTTTGGTTTAAATGTCTCTAGAACCATTTTCAAATTACCCCATGTTGCATTTAGTGATAGTTAAACCCTCAAATCCCACTGGGTGCATGAGTGGCGCGTCACGGCAGTGACAGTTTCATAGTAACCTCTGCAGCAGCAATTCCCACCAGTGTGGCGAGTGAAAGGTGACACAGATTACCAGTTCAAAAAGAACCCCATGGAGAAGCATGCTGTGACTTACATCACTATTACTACAACTACTGTTGTTGTGTTATGCTGTGTTACTGGGCCATCTGAGGGAATAAACGGTAATGATTTGGAGGTGGTTACTTTTAATGAGTGTTCAATAGAATATAAAAGGTATTCAATAAAATGTAATATTCCATAAAAATATGGATTATCAATATTATCGAGCCTTTAATATTCGATGGATGATGAATCTAGGTACTTTGGTTAATCCAGTGTCACGGTCTGGGTAACTATCCTGTTTGTTTTCCCCGAGTTTCCCTGCAGGTGTGTGTGGCTGAGATTCGCCAACTGTCTGGCATCTTCATCATGGCATCGGAGTGTTTAAGGAGCAGCGTGACACTTCTCCACGCTGGTTGAATACTCAGTTTGGGTAGATCTGTTTGCCAGTCCTGCACTTAACCCAAGTGTTCTGTCTGTTGGTATTTTTAACCTGCTTGTTCGCTCTGCTCAGGTCCCCGTCTACTTCCACCAACTCCTACGACAATAACTCCGGATCTTCACGCCACGTCTCGCTGCTCCCCTATGGGCACCCGCTATCAGTACCCCACCTGCTTCTACCTCCTGGATCATCCACTCACCCAGACCTGGCTCGCCTCCCCCGGCTCTCATTGTTCACATTTGGGCCATTCCCATCTGTACCGGGTCGGCTCGGGCCGGGTAGCCCCAGTCGGCCCCAGCCTGGCCCGGTTGATTCCACACATCCTTGCCTTAAGCCCATGTGGGCTGATTCTACCCACCAATCAGAGGCTTGCTCTAATGGAAGGTGTGAATGGGCTGATTCTACCCACCAATCAGAGGCTTGCTCTAATGGAAGGTGTGAATTTGCTGTCAGCAGTGGGCGTGTTGGCCCTGGTCGGCCTGAAGCAGTACCCCTCGGGAAGAGGGCCGAGAATGAGCCTTGGTTGGCCCGGGAAAATTCCAGGCCACCCAGATATGTAAACAACCTACGCTACCCGGCCCGGGCCGACCCGGTACAGATGGGAATGGCCCAATTGAAAACCCGTTCAAAAGACTCGATTCGTTCGTGAGCGTCACATCACTAGTTCAGTTGCATTCATTGCTGCCAGCCAAAACTCTGGAGTTGAAGTCTCTTACAGTTTTATAGCTTTACTAAATCATCTGTCTGCTTATTTGATTTATGGCAGTTTTTACTTTTTATTAGACTCCAAATGTAATAATTTGGCACGAATTTGTAATTTGTAAGAATGTAATCGACGATATTAGCATTAGCATCCCTACGGGTTTTTCAATGTATATTAGCATTGTGCTAACAACTCGCTGCCAGTCAATTCGCAATCTTTGCCATTAGAAAATCTCCTTTTGTCACATTGCAATTTAACTGTTTATGTAATTAATCGTTCAGCCCTACTGAGGTCAATAAATATTACTCCCCAAATCAAAAGATGGCAAACTAAAGGATGAGCTGGACCCATGCTTGGTGTCAGAGCAAACCCTGTTTTTGTTCATCTGTAGGTCTGATGAGTCACATCCTAACAGAACAGATAACAATGCAGCTTTAGTTCCATCTGATGGGGGATTCACCTCTCAGCCATACTGACTCAACACTATGTTTAACAAGGACCTAAATTAGTCTGACAGAAAGAAAATCTACAGGAATTTATTCAGAAAAAAGAAACAAGAACGTAAAAAGATAGGAGACGAGGGGGTTCCCATGTCCAGTTAGATAAGTGAATGTGTGCTCCACACAGAGTACAACGCAAAATGAGAAAACATGCCTTTAAGGTAGTGAGCAGCTGCTTCTCCGCACTCTTCTAATGTGAATACCATAATGGCAAGTCAACCTGCTGAGTCCTTCTCTCTGACAAATGTCTCATTCCACAGATAGCCATCCTTTCAATGAGACAAGACAAGCTCTGCACCACAGCTAACAGCTGTGATTAAAACCTCTAAATCAGGATTAACTTCTGCTACTCACGCTTGAGATCACGCTGCAACAGCAGGCCAACATCTACACAGCACACACCAGAAAACTGCATAATATTCATATACCATGAAAGCATTGTTGTCGGATAAATTGTGAGTATTTAACATTTGGCTGAAGAGGTTTTTATCTTATCGCTTTCAACAACCCCATAACGTCTTTAGCCTTTAAGTAAAAACAACATGTTGCATCATGGGATTGTATGGAAAGAAACCGCATATGTAGCTTATACTTCGCTTGTGTTGCATGCTTGGAGGAGGATTTAGCAAAGCAAACGATTCACTTTTGCTGTGCAATTGATTGTAAAACTTGTCGGGGGTTTGAAATAAATCTTTCCTCAAATTCCGTCCATAAAGAACGAAAGAGATGGTTGCAGATGATCAAGAGATTAAACGCAGATGCACAGAAGAACGCCTAGACTCCTAGAGCCTGCTCATTGTGTTCATGGTAAGTCCTTGTAACTAAGTATTTGTTATTTAGGGAAGATGCTTTTAAAAACATGGTAGTTTGTGTATTTTAAAATTCACTGAGTTATATTGTATTTGCGTTACAATTCAGGTGTCCAAAACCATGATCACGTCCAACTAGGGCTGGGGGATATGGACCAAAACTTATATCTCGATATCGTTTAGCTGAATTCCGATCTACGATATACATCTCAATATTTTTCCTCCTGTAAAATATTTACAAGTTCTCACTTCAAGCTGTCTGGAGAAATTATAAACATAAATCAGTAGATTAAATGCATAAAAATGTATTGATTCTTGTCAAACTTTAACCTGGTACAGCTGCCTGTTCTCACACACACACACACACACACACACACACACACACACACACACACACACACACACACACACACACACACACACACACACACACACACACACACACACACACACACACACACACACACACTTGAGAGCTAGAGGCGTATCAAATGTCCCACAGGCACTTTAAAATTATATATTCATAATTAATGTAAAATTATTTTTAATTTCATCTAGAGGTGGGCCATATCACATATTTCTTGTCCAGAGAAAAAAAAAGTATCATATTAAGTTAAATTTATGATGATGTCATTGCATCTACTGAAGATCACATGGGTCATGCACCGTGGAGTTATTAGTTATTAGGGCAAACATGGCTGGAGTCTGACAGTATTGTAAATTATGAATTATTTCTTTTGTTTAGTACGTCTTTTCCCTTCCTGAAGCGATTATCCTCTTTTCAAACACCTTTAGGGTTGTGTGTATCTAAGAACGCCATCAGTGGTTTTATTTTTGATCATTCACTGTCTCTGTGTGACAGATGAGTTTTATTTTCCTTAGAAGAATCTATTGTTCAATTTAACGTAGAGTTTTATTTTCCTTAGATAATTCTGTTGTCCGATTTCGCTTATGGAGCTTTAATTTCCCAGTATTTATCTCCTGTTGACAAATTTTACACATTATTTGAGTTGCATTATTGAGTGACATTGTACATTGTTGATGCTCTCTGAAGCAACCTTACCTCACTGAATCTATGTGGAGTCGAAATATTATTTTTATAGTTAGGACTGGTTTCGTTGTTAGTTAATTCCAGTGTTAGAAGCAAAGAGATTAAATTAAGAAGTCACTATGGTGAAAGTTTCTGCCATGGTGAGAGCAAACACATAGAGTCTATGATATTATTATGTTTTGATATGTGCTTGGGGGTGTTGACAAGCTCACCCTTTTTCCCAGATGGGTTGATTCTTTTTGATTTTATTAGTTATTATTTTGGCTATCAGTTCTTTTACTTCTAGGTGATGTAAATCACTTTGTGTTTAATTTTCAATTTTCTTTCCACGGATTATGGCTTTTTTGTTAGTTGTTTAGTTTGTTTTGGCTTGTTTTGTTGTTTTACGCACACTGTGTTGCACGACCCTGCCCCTTGCTGATGTGAACTAGTAATTGCAAGTTCCTTGGGACGGGTGCTTTTTCACATGTTATGCGAGGTCTAATTTTAACATCGGGTTGGCGCAATGCTTGTCAGAATCTGACCTTTTGTTTATGTTTTGTTTCTGGTGAGCCCTGAGTTGCCTCATGCCTCAAGAGGAGGGAAGGCTGATAACGATTTCCTCACATTATTACACTGCCTGCATGGAATTACTATAAATATTGGAAGATAAGGATTTTTGCTGAAAACAATTCAAAATCAGCAGCGATCTCCCAGAATTTTCTTGTGCCTTTTCGCCACAGGTCGTGAAACCAGGAAATTGGGTTCTGATGAAGGCGCTGAAGCGAAACTGATGGGGCAGCCAGAGGTCCATTCGAAGTACTCCTCATCACTCCCACTGCTGTGAAGATTGCTGTGAGGCCATCTTGGATTCCTCTATCCCACTGCAAGCTCATCAACGTCAACTAACCGCTCTAGCGTGGCAACGAAGTCCGGCTGCACAGGGGTGGGCCACCACTAGGGTGCCGTCTCTCCAACCCGGAAAAGATAAGATAAAGAAATACTTCGAGCTTGCTGGGTTCACCTCAGTGGCGTGTCCAGATCTTTTAAAATGGGGTGGCCCAGGTGAGGCACAACTTTGTGCAAGGGTGGCACCAGTGGTTCTGCTTTTTTTGTTTTACCCCCAAGCCTTTTGTGGACAATGAAAAGCCTATTTAAAGGTAAATTAGTGTGGTGGCACCTGGGGTGGCCAGATTCCAAGGGTGGCATGTGCTACCCCAGGCCACTCCCTGGACACGCCCCTGGTTCATCTCATTGTTGATGTTGGTGGTCGCACTCATGGCCCGCACTTGGGCCGCATCTCAGCACCTGATGGAACAACTGGGACAGCAGCATTTGAGGGGGTACTAGAACTGGGACTGAAACGACGGACTGGGCTCCTCCCTGACCGCGCACCTACAGGACGACGTAACCTGCATCTAGGGATGAGTACCGAATTCGGTACTTTTTAAGGTACCGACCGAATTCCATAGTACCGACCGAACACCGATTCACGTCATTTCAAACGGTGCCTCGTTTCGGTACTGCCAAGACAGTTGCGCATGCGCAAGAGCGTTATGTTGCCGGTCCCTGCGAGCCCGTTGTAAACAGAGCAAGCATGGTAGAAAGAACGCACGCTAAAGCTTGGGTCCACTTCACTAAATGTGATGGGTAACTGGGTGATGAAACTAGCGACAGACAACGATCTAAGTGAGACATCCTCATCTTAATCTGCTCCAGTAGGTAAATAAAATGTTTAAGATAACGTTACCTTGATTTGTTAGCTTCCGTTTCGCTAATGGTGCGTTCGCTTTCTCCTCGGAACTCCGAATTTCCGACTAGAAGAACATGAACGCGCTCTAAAGTTTGGCTTTACTTTACTAAATGCGACGGGTGAATGGATGAAGGTAAAACCAGCGACAACGATCTAAGTTTGAGGCATCATCGTTTTAATCTGCTCCAGCAGCTAAATAAACTGTTAAAGATAACGTTAGCTTGATATGTTAGCTTCCATTGCCACCGTTGTTACCAGCTAATGGTGCGTTCGCTTTCTCCTCGGAAATTCTAACTTCCCAGTAGGAAAAATCAAAAGAAAAAGGACGGCAAAAGGAATGAAGATACACAGTAAATTTAGTTCACAGTAAAGATGTTTGCTTCAGTTTAATTATCAGCTTATAAAACTACAAGGACGATGTTAAAATACAAACTTGTATGTTATTTATCGTGATATTTATCAAATATGGTTATATATATATATATATTGAGAAAAATATATATTTAATTATAAAAGAGAATTAAAATAATAAACACTCAAAAGTATCGAAAATTGGTACCGTTAAGTACCGGTATCGACTCGTAGGTACCGGGAATTAGTACCGGATCGATTCAAATGTCAAAGGTACCCATCCCTACCTGCATCCACCTCGGCTGAAGACCCCCTGGACGCAACTACAACAGGACACAGCGAAGAAGAGACGCTGGGAAGGATAACTACTTCGAGCACTTGCACCCAAATCTCCGGACTGGTTTCACGGTCAAGGACCTGTAGGACTTTTCGGGGACAAGATCAGCTCCCAGACAATTGGACAACCGTCTCAACACGCCACGGAAGGACCATGAAGTCTTCCTATTGAGAAGTTGGAACTTTGCGCTTCATGTTCCGAACTACGTTATTACGCTCTGGACCTGGACTTCAAGATACTCATCAACGTACGACTGAAACCATCCTGATCAACGGAAGAAGACTCTGACTTTCAAACCTATTCTCCAACCGGGACTCTTAGTCCACGGACAAGCCCTTTGATGAAGAACGCCTGGTTTGCCTCAGCTCTGCCGTAGTTAGAGCTGCGTAAATTAATATTACACCCTCAATTTTCCTCCTTCACTGAAGGAGTCCTGCTGGTTTTCCAACTATCTTAGTTGTTCCTGCTGTTGATTACCTGGATCAGGTATGTTCAGCCATTTAGAAGGTGCAAGTTCACGCATGACTGGAAAACATGCAGGACTGCAGCTCTCTAGGACAGAGTTGCCTACCCCTGCACAAGGCTAAAGTGATGGTATTTACTGTGCATCAATGTTTAAAGAGCAGGAAAAAGACAAAGTGAAAGGAAGAAGAAAACCAGGTATTTGAAGACGTGTTACTCTTGGCATATATTACGGATTTATGTATTGCCTTTTAAGTTTCACTTTTATATAATTACAATAATACAAAATAATGAGTAATTTCAGTGAACTAAGTCATTAATGAAAATAGTAAAAGCAATATAAAAAAAATGTAATATAAAAAAAAGAATATAAACCTCAAAAACAAACAATGCATTAATGTTCAATAAGTTAATCACTAAATAATTACAATAATTAAAATGCAATATAGAGCTAACCTAGCCATGTATATTTATTAATTAGTACAATACCACGACTGTGTTTCTTCAGTTCTGGCTTGTAAAACCTGAAGTGGCCTATACGAGCACGTAGAGGTGCCAGCACCCCGACCCCTGGCTGACACACAACCATGCCATTTCTACTTCCTGCTTTCTGTCATCACAGGCTGATAAGCAGTCATGAAAATAGGTTTTATTGGCCAGCTGGTATTAATTCTTACAGAAGCAGTAAGGACGGGATTGTGCGTCTTCTAACTGTGGGTTGGTTTGTACTAAATTACTGATGGAACCTGTCATAAATGTCTTTCATCTCAGATCTAAAAGGACCTTATGCTAAGAACCGACTAATTTTATATGTAAAACCCAATTTTTGAGAGATGAATCATGTTATACGACATGAAACACAAGACTGTCACCGAGTCGTGAGCAAGGTTCAATTATTTTTCTAGAAACAAACTATAACTATATTTATTTCATTCTATAAAACCATACTCATTTAAAACCACCAGTAATAAAATCCCTGTGTGGTTATTAGGGAAAAAACAACAATAAACAGAAAACCTTAACAAGTTGGGTGTTGGTATCCATCCTGTATTTTGCCTATGATGAAAAGTGTGACTCAGTTTTGTGAAAGTAAACCAAACTCCTACTTACGGCTGTCATAGCAGATGTTACCAAGAGCTCGTCCAGTCTGCAGTAAAACCTCCTGGTCGGTGGAGTTTAACAGCTGAACTAGAGGAGGGATGAGGCCCGCGTCCACACAGGGGCTCCGCATGAACTCTAAACACAACAACATGGAAGAAGAAATTAGCCCTGAGACATTGTTCGCATCAGTCAAGGTTAACAGCAGCTAATATGTTAGATCAAGACAAAACCTCTAATTCCTATCAGTTCCGTCCTATTTTAGAAAATAGTCCTAAATAGAGAATTAATGACCCATTAAAGAAGACTAAGAACTAGGGCTGCATGATATTACAAAAACCTGTGATAACAGTGATTTATATTGCGATGACGATATTACATGCGATAAATAAAATCTTAACTCAGGAACAAAAATTATCAAAAACAAAGAAATTAAAAAATTACAAAAAATATTGTAAAAATGAGAAAAGCAAAAGATGTGAGGAAAGGGAAAAACTAAATGAACAAGAAAAGGGATTCAGTGGATCCCGGGAAAAGCAGAATCAGCAGAAAGAGCAGAGCAAAGCTAACTCAGGTGTTTGCTAACCATCCAAATTAAGTGTCGGCGCGGCATCTAACCTATGAGAACCCACCCAATTGGCCAAATGGGTTAAGAGCTCTATTTGATTAGTTAAAAAAACATCATGCTTCCGTTTGATGGACAGAATGCATTATGTGTAGCAAACATTTGAGCTGACCATTCATTGCAATATTTAGCTGTTCTTTGCGATATGCATATTGCGCATGCTGATATCGCGATAACGATATATTTGCTATATATTGTGCAGCCCTACTAAGAACTGTTCTAAAACCATGCAAGGCTTAATTCTAGTCTAACAAAAGGTAGTTCTTGTAAGGTTTAAAACTATTAATCACACTTTTTTTTTACGTACATATAAATTTGCTGTGCTATCGTGTATCAATGAATGCTTGGTGAGTTGTTTTCTGTGGGGGAAAAAAGCTCTAATGCTCCAGTTTCAGGCAGTAGAAGTTGGGGGGGGGGGGGGGGGGCAGGATTAAGAGTCTTACTCATAAATATTTATGGTATGCAAACATCTCCCCTATGATTGACTAACAGCAACACGACTCTTCAACTGCCTCTGTTCGCTAGGGATGTGAATCTCAGAGCAACTCAAGATTTGATTCGATTCCGATTCTTGGGGTGCCGATTCGATTCAGAATCGATTCTCAATTCTCAATTTAAATCGATTCACAATCAGTATTAACAAAGAGGGTCAGCTCCAGGATGAACTACTTTGTTGTACAAGTTAGTTAAAGCTATGGGACATTTTTATTTGACTTTAAACTGGTCATGCTCCAAAAATGCTAATTTACAAGGTAAACTAAAGTGATTCTAAAACTGTAAACAGAAACAATCTTTTGACCAAAATGCAACATTTATTTTTGCTTACCTTGTAAAATATAACTAATCTGTAGTTATTAACAGTAGCTTTGAAAGTAATACGGTCAAATACTTTTCAAGTATGTGTAGAAACAAGTTACATGAGTAATCCTGAGTACTCATGTATCAACTTAGAAAATAAATATGAGAATATCTCAAATTTCTGAGTATGGAAACAATGACATTCAAGTGCCCTCTTAGCAGATTCAAACATAAATCATCTCAATTTATGGGACCACAAAAGTAAACGGAGTACTGACTCTCCTAACAAAGGTCAAAAAAGTGCATCTCGGACCTGTAACATGCCAAATATTTCAGTTCTTGGAATCAATTCTGAACCTTTGTGAATCGATTCTGAATCTTTATAAACAAGAATCCCGATTCAGACTTGAATCGATTTTTTTCAGCACCTCTACTGGTCGCTCTCCTTTCTTGGGTAAAAAACCAAAACTGAGACAAAGTGCTGCAAAGTGGACGGGGAATCAGGAAGGCTTTGGTCATTTGCAAGTGGTGTGGCAGCAATGCGCTTTTCACAAAAGATTACCCAATGGCGGTGTAAAGGGGTAGCGTCCGTGCTGTTGCAGACATCCTTTTAGCTTGGATGCAACTTGTTTTTTATCACGATTAAAGCCACGCTCAAGTTTTTTCATGAGCTGTTCCAAAAGGTGGCTGTCCTTTGCAGTGCCTGTGAACCGTCTTGTCTTCAACTCTAACGGACAGAAGCTCCCAGCTTTCTGCATCAGTCCAGTTTGCTATCTCAGCTGATATTGTTTGCAAGCGTGAAATTGACTCCTCATGTATTTTACGCTATGTTGCCAGCAGGGGCTCAGCTCACACTCAACACATGCATCATCCTCTTTGAGAGGCCCAGACTTCCCTCTCCCCAGCCACTTGGGCCAGCTCCTCCGGGGGAATCCAAAGTGTTCCCTGGCCAGGTGAGAGACATAGTCCCTCCAACGTGTCCTGGGTCTTTCTAGGTCTCATCCCGGTTGGACGTGCCCGGAAAACCTCACCAGGGAGGCGTCCAGGAGGCATCCTGACCAGATGCCCGAGCCACCTCAACTGGCTCTTCTCGACATGGAGGGGCAGCTGATCTACACTGAGCCCCTCCCAAATGGCCGAGCTTCTCACCCCATCTCTAAGGGAGAGCCCAGCCACCCTGCGGAGAAAACTTATTTCGGCCGCTTGTATCCACGATCTCGTTCTTTCGGCCACTACCCAAAGCTCATGACCATAGGTGAGGGTAGGAACGTAGATCGACCGGTAAATTGAGAGCTTTGCCTTCTCACTCAGCTCTCTCTTCACCACGACAGACCGGTACAACGCCCGCATCACTGCAGATGCAGCACCGATCCACCTGTCTATCTCACGCTCCAGTTTTCCCTCACTCGTGAACAAGACCCCGAGATACTTAAACTCCTCCACTTGGGGCAGGACCTCATCCCTGACCCGGAGAAGGCATTCTACCCTTTTCCGAATCCATGGACGTAATTTTCACTTTAGAAGTGGGGGGGACACTGGGGGGGGGGGGTATCTATACAGTATGCTCTAATGGGAAACAGGCTTCAACACAAACAGTTGTTTTCTGCTTGGTCCTAGAGCTCAACCAGTGTCAATTTAATATAGCGTAATATTGTTTTTGGATGGTAAAAAGTGCAGGGGTCAAAACTTGACTTTGGAAAAAGTGGGGGGGGCATGTTCCCCCCCCCCCCCCAAATTACGTCCATGTCCGAATCAAGACCATGGTCTCAGATTTAGAGGAGCTGATTCTCATCCCAGCTGATTCACACTCGGCTGCAAACCGCTCCAGCAAAAGCTGGAGATCACGTTCTGATGAAGCCAACAGGACCACATCATCTGACGCATCAACTAAGACGCATCTCGAAACTAAAGCACATCCTGAGTGTCCGTCTTCTGAAATCCGTGGTCCACACTTTTATCACCTCAAGGCTGGATTACTCTAACTCCTGCTTATACGGCATCAGTAAAGCAGCTCTTTCTAGACTTCAGCTGGTCCAGAATTCAGCAGCTAGGTTGCTGACTGGAGCTGACAGAAGACAACACATGTCTCCAATTCTGAAATCTCTCCACTGGTTGCCCGTGCAGTTCAGGATAAACTTCAAAATTATGCTTCTCACTTACAAATCCTTGAACCATCAAGCTCCTCCATATCTGTGTGAACTGGTCCATTACTACAACCCGCCGCGTGCTCTCAGGTCTGAAGATAAGCTCCTCCTAGCTGTTCCCAATGCTCGTTTAAAAAGCCGTGGAGAGAGGGCTTTCTCTGTCTGTGCACCGAAGCTGTGGAACGCATTACCACTGCTAGTGAGGCTAGCACCAACAGCTAGCATTTTTAAATCACGCCTGAAAACTCACTACTTCAACCTAGCTTATATAACATAATTATAGACCTCACTGACATCTGCACTGTTTATAAACTGACCCCACAAGTATCGACTTCCGTACTATTGAGGTTCTTTGTAAAATGTTTTTTCCTATTTTTACTTCACCCTGTGTCTTACTGATTTTTAGCTGTTATTTTTGGGAATTTTGTTGTATTTCCTTTTTATCTTTTATCTGTGTTCGACATGTTTATATAATGCCTGTTTAATTAACCAACATTTTTAGTGTACAGCGCCTTGTTTGGTTGTAATGCCTTGTGAATGCGCTTTATAAATAAAATTGGATTGGATTGGATTGGATCTGCAAAAAGCAGAGACCTGACCCTCAGGCCACCACCTTGGCTGCGTCTAGAAATCCTGTCCATGAAGGTTATGAACAGAATCAGTGACAAAGGGCAGCCTTTAATTGATTTTAAAACAACAAAATTTCTCTAAATGAAAATAGAAGCTTCTTTTTAGGGTTCATAAATACAAGAGCAATCTCCCCAGTTATGAACCTCACCCCCAGGATGGCTTGTTGGTCCGTGTGGCAGCGGAGTGCAGATTCAGGCAGGACATTAAAACAGCCATGAGCCTGTCTGAGGCTAAATCCAGAACTTCATCATGACTCCAGGCTTTTCAGCAAGCCCCATTAGAGACCTTTGATTACGCACAAGCAGGTGACCAGTTCAGGTTTACATCGCAGCATCTGGCTAGAGGTTAAATGTTCCTACTTTAAGAGAAACCGTTAAATTGCATCGTTTATGTGCTACCTGGGCAATCCAAGTATTCATTTTAAACTAAATCAAAGAAAATTGTAATGGTATTAAATGTTTATTCATTACTATTTCAAAAATGAAAGTGATGGGGGAAAAGGTCCATCATATTTTTTTAACCCTGTCTGTCGAGTTACTGTTTATGGTGGGTGGGAGACAGACAGACAGACAGATAGATAGATACAGTTGTGGTCAGAAGTTTACATACACTTGTAAAAAATATAATATAATGGCTCTACTGAGTGTCCCGTTATTTCTAAAACTCTGATTTTTCTCTGATAGAGTGATTGGAACAGATACTTCTTTGTCACAAAAAACATTCATGAAGTTTGGTTCTTTAATGTCTTTATTATGGGTTAACAGAGAAAAGTGATCACATTTGCTGGGTCACAAATATACATACAGCAACATGAACTAGCAATTTTGGTGACTTAGAAACGTGTCAGTGAACTGAGCTTCATAGCATGGCCTCTTAACTTCTTGTGAGTGATTATGAGTGACTACAGCGGGTGACTTCTCTTAGGCCAGGTAAATAGGGCT